CTAGAATACGCTAGCGTAACTATAGCTTATTTCTCTAAAAAGAATTCTAATTTACTACTACTATATTAAGAAGACGTAGATTATAATATTAAGCTTATAGTAGAAAATACGCTAACTAATAGCTCTCTCTATAGTATATTACTAGAGTACCTATAGCTTATACGTAACTACCTAGAGAATTACCTCTACTATAGCTTTATTATCTATAGTAACGCGTTATATGTATTACTAGTTCTATTTACTAAGAAGCTAGAGAAAGAATAGAAGTTCTACGTTAACTACTAAAAGCTTAATACTATTATAAAAAAAGATATCTATTCTATCTCTTTTATCTAGAAAACGCTTATCTACTTATTACGTATAAAGATCTTTATAAAGTTAGACATTTAGTAGACTTTCTATAGAATCTAGCTTAATAAGTTAATAGAGAACCTAACTTCTTTCTATATATAATATAGTAACTATAAGTATTACGTTCTATTCTTTAGTCTTTATAATAGCTCTACTACCTTTTAGTAATATATTAATAAGGTATTATATAGATTACTAGACGATTTCTATATAGTATATATTAATAATATTCTTATTTATTTAGAGAATTCTTTTAAGTATAAGACTTACGTTACTAAGATACTTAATTAACTATATAAGGCTAGATTATAAGTAGATATTAAGAAGTTAGAATTTACTATTAAGAGTACTAAGTTTCTAGAATTAATTATAAGTACTAATAGAATCTAGAAGAACTCTAAGAAAGTTACTACTATTTAGAATTAGCCTATACTAAGAACTCTTAAGAGCCTTTAATTATTTCTAGATTTCTATAATTTCTATTAAGCCTTTCTAAAAGATTATAGTAGAATTATCTACTTACTTACTAAGCTACTAAAATAGAGAGTATAGCACGCCTTTAGTAAAACTAAGCTTATAGTATTCTAGTACGTTAAGAATCTTATACTAGCTAATAACGTTCTAGCTTACTACTCTCTCTATTAATAAATAAGAGTTAAGATAAACGTATTAGATAGCGTAGTTACTAGAGTTCTTTTATAGCTTTAAGAGAATAGTAGCTAGTAACCTATAGCTTTCTTTAGTAAGATAATAAATACTATCTAGATAAATTATAGTATTTATAATAAAGAAATACTAGTAGTTATTCTTAGTATATAGAAATAGAGAAGCTAGCTAATTAGTCTATAAAATCTAGAACTATTTATAGTATTAACTAATTATTAAGCTCTAGAGTACTTTATAACTAAGTAAGAACTTACTATAAAGTAGATTTACTAGACTAATAATATTACTAACTATAATCTTAAGCTTATATATTAACCTAGTTTAGCTAATATAGTAGCTAACATATTATTATAAAAGTAGAAAGAACTTAAGACTTAAAAGAAAAAGAATTACGCTACTTATATAAGAGCTTTTCTAAGTAAGAAATAAATTAGCCTCTCTACTATTAAGTAAATTTTAGGTAAGCTAGCTACTCTAGCTACTAAGAGGCTAGTAAGTAGTATTATAGAAATTACGTCTACTAATACCTTTATAGAGGTATCTTTTATAGAAAATCTCTATACTATAATTAACTAGATTATTACTACTAATTAATTAGATAAATCTCTATAGCTAGCTTAATAGAAAGCTACTATATTAGACTCTATCTAGAAAATAGAAGCTAGCTTACTAATATATTAGAATTAATTAATAGTTTCTACTATTAACTATCTATAAGTATATTTAATACGTGCTATATATACTACTTAGGTAACTACCTATTTAGAGTACTAGAAGACTACCTAGTTACTATAAGATTAATATTACTAGCTACGTATATAAGAAAACGTTAATACGTACGTAGTAGTATATAAGGCTTACTACTAGAGCTATACTTTATAAGATAAGACGCTAGGTCTTCTAAAGCCTCTATCTATTTCTAAAAGAGTATAGTAGAACGTCTTTATAAATTTTAAGAGCTTTTTCTCTAATAAGAAAGAATTTAATTACGTATACGTTATTATAGATTAGCTAAGTAAGTAAAGCTTCTCTTTACTATACTATAAGAAAATTATAGCTTAACGTATAGTAAAGCTATATTATTAATATATCTAGTATATATATAGTTCTTCTAGATTTATTATATTAGATTATAGTCTATAGTTTACCTTTATCTTTATAGATAAGCTCTATTAGCTTACTAGAATTAAGTAGAAGCTTTCTACTACGTATTACCTATAAACTAATAGAAATATAAAGATTATTAATTAATATTTTAATTAGTATCTATAGCTATTTATTAACTATTACTAGAATAATTAGTTAAACCTTTTACTCTATATAGACTAGGTATAAGCTACGTTACTATATAAAACTATAGAACTAATAGTATATAATATTAAATTTAGATACTAGCTAATATACTACTAGAATTAAAAAAAGTATATAATTAAGGCTTCTACTCTATATAAGCATCTTTTACGTTAAAAAGCTTAGAATTTTACTAAGAAGTAATACAACGCTATAAAGAAAGCTACTAAGATTATATAGAGTAATATTATAAAAGTATAAGCTAGATAGACGCTTTAAGTAAATAAAAAGTACTAAGAACCTAATTTTACTATAGGTAACCTTATCTATATTAAACCTTATAGCTTTTTAATAGATTAGCCTAGCGTAAAGCTTAATTAATAGATATATAGCTCTTACCTAATTATTACTATAAAGAGTTACTTTTTCTAACTCTAGCTATCTACGTATATACGTATACACGATATCTTTTATACTAATTAGCTAAGAAAAGCCTTAGAGCTATTACTAGAGTAGATAGAGTCTAAGTAGCTATCTATTAATATTAATAGTAATCTAGAATAGCTTGTATATAAGATTCTAAATAGCTATCTTTATTAAAATTATCTTTAATACTAAGCTATATAGATTACTTATAATTCTAACTCTACCTAGTATAATACTATAGACTTTATTAATACTCTCTATAAAGTAAAAGACTTTTATATAGCTTACCTAGATAAGCTAGAACTACTATTATAATTAGATACTTAGATTAAGGCGTATAAAAAAGAGAAGACTCTAGAGAAGATAGTAGAGAATTTAAAACCTGTATAGGTAGAAAATAAGAGAGTAACGTAAAGGCGCTACTAAGTAAAGCTAAAAGTAATTTAGTAATAGAGTTAATAGCTAGAATAGTTTTAGAGGCGTATTTTAGAGCTTAAGAATAAGCTCTCTCTATAAGAGAAAGTAATATAATAGTCTAGCTTAGTATTTACTAGAGTTATATAATCTTTCTAGAGTTATATAATCTTTCTAGAGTTATATAACCTTTTCTAAGTTATATAACCTTGTCTAGTATCTTAGCGCTTAGCTTTCTATATATAGAGAGCTCTTAGAGTATTCTTCTACTTCTTATCTTTAGATAGCTAAATTTAATCTAACCTACTCTACTTATCGCTCTTATTCTTATAGCTTATAGAGACTATATTATCTATAATTAACTTATCTAGCTAGGTATTCTAGAGCTTAACGTATAATAGTAGAGACTATAGAGCTAGCTCTTATAGTAGCTATCTATTAAAGTTAATAGTAATCTAGAATAGCCTCTATATAAGATACTAGATAGCTATCTTTATTAAAGTTACCTTTAATACTAAGCTATATAAGTAGCTTATAATTCTAACTCTATCTAGTATAATACTATAGACTTTATTAATACTCTTTATAAGATAAAAAATTTTTATATAGTATATCTAGATAAGCTAGAGCTACTATTATAATTAGATACTTAGATTAAGGTATATAAAAAAGAGAAGACTCTAAAGAAGATAGTAGAGAATATAAAACCTATATAGGTAGAAGATAAGAGAGTAATATAAAGGCGCTACTAAGTAAAGCTAAGAGTAATTTAGTAATAGAGTTAATAGCTAGAATAATTTTAGAGACGTACTTTAAAGCTTAAGAATAAGCTCTCTCTATAAGAGAGAGTAATATAATAGTCTAGCTTAGTATTTACTAGAGTTATATAATCTTGTCTAAGTTACCTAATCTTATCTAGTATCTTAGCGCTTAGCTCTCTATATATAGAGAGCTTTTAGAGTATTCTTCTACTTCTTATCTTTAGATAGCTAAATTTAACCTAACCTACTCTACTTATTACTCTTATTCTTATAGCTTATAGAGACTATATTACCTATAATTAACTTACCTAGCTAGGTATTCTAGAGCTTAACGTATAGTAGTAGAGACTATAAAGCTAGCTCTTATACTTATAGATAAGTCTTCTAATTCTAAAGTTCTAGAGGTAGAGTATATATACTTTCTTCTCTAGATTAAGATTCTTAATAAGAGTATCTATATTATAGATCTTAAGATATTTATTTATAGTATTTAGATTCTACTATTTAAAAGTTTTATTCTTAAACTAAATCTTTAGGTTAGCTTCTACTAGCTATAAGTAATCTAAGATAAGATTATAATCTATAAAATTAGCTATCTAGAAAGGCTATAAGTCTATTACTCTTAAGTTACTATAAATATTAGTGTAAGTAACTATAAGATTATAAAAGAATACTTATAAGATAAGTAGTAAGATAGATAGATAATATACTAGAGAGTAGTAATATAATATATTAGATAGTACTAGTATATAGTTAAATTCTTATAGAGTAAGAATAGAAGAAGACTAAGCTATATACTAGGCTGCCACGTAACTATAGGTAAGCTAAGTAGCCTTTAAGAGATATCTAGCTAGATAGACGTTATAATAATCTACTTACTAGTAGAATATATTATAAGTAATATTAATAAGTATATAGAAATAGAGTATTCTAAGGTTAGACTTAAGAGAAATTACTTCTTCTAAGGTAGCATTCTGTTAGTAGGCAGGGCTCTTGTACACGCTAGACCTGCTCCTGGACTGGCGCCTATGCAAGACGCACGGGCCAGAACCTTCAGCGAAGGTCCCCGCTTCCGCACGCACGGAGTGGACGCCGGGAAAGAACGAACTTGCGAAAACTAATAAATGGCAATTAAGCTCGGTGATACGCCCCTGGCTGTCAGGGAAGCTATTGGATTTGATGATGCGCAATGGCATCGCTTCTATGTGCGTAGCGCCTTCTAGCTAGCAGCTCGCGTCTTACAACAGCAGTGGCTTACGAAAGAAGAAGCACAGAAATTGCTTCGCGATCACCCTAAGTGGGCAACTTACGAAGACGTTTCAACGTCAGAGTGCGCTGGTCTTCTAGCTCGCATAAATGAGACGCTCGCCAAAGACCACATCCCAACAATTACTGAGGACGTTCTCCGTTGGCGAATGACAAGAGTAATACGCGAGAGAAGAAGAAGTCAAGGTTCGCGTATGCGCTGCCTCGTTATCTTGTAATGATAACTAACTATATAATAGCTGCAGGGGGGATTACCGGTTCGGCGCAAAGCCAGCCTTCTGTTGGGGGGACTCAGCCATATGATCCAGTGAGGGACGTCTAGCAAGGACGGCATGGCTGGCCAACGACGCATTCGACACAGCCGCGGTGGCGTGAGGTCCCCGCTTAACCCGCATATTCTGCTCGACCTTCGTAGTGTCAGCTTCGACGGTAACGGTGGCTCTAGCCTGTCACCCGCTTTCGTCGCTACCTTTTACTAGCCATTCGACTCAACAAAAGGGGACGAGTAGTCTAGGAGGGACATAGAGTCCAATCGTTATTCCAAAGCGCGGCAAGCTCTTGCACCAAGACACTGCGGCCCATTCGAGGGAAACGTGCTCCGCCCCATTGTAGATCGTGATGGCTTTGAAGGCGGCTACCCTGCAACTCCCTGCAGCTAATCCTGTTATGGCACACGGCTCCCTTTCCGCAGTTCCTGTCAGTCAGGGTTCGGGGGGGGCGCTGCTGGATTTCTGCAACTTCTACGCCGAAATGCCAAGCTGACAAAACTTCACCCTGCAACTACAGTTAGTCTCCTATCCGCATACTACTGATCTGATAGACCGTCGCTGCTGGCGGCGCGAGCTACATTACCCGTTTTCTGTATAATGTTCTAAGGCGATTCCGCAGAGACGACCACTAACGGAAGACTGCAGATCGAAGGTCCGGGCATGAGAGAGGTTCTCCTTTCGCGGTTTGCGCGCGAGCTCCCCTTTGGACAGATTGGGGAAGCATTCTGCCATCTTTGCAATCTGGCCGTCTGTGACAAGTGGCGGACATGCGGTCATTTTAGCGAGATGAGGTAATGGAGCCTTGAGATCTCTTGTGTATGCTATGCCGCTTGCGAGCTCGATATACTGCGTGTCCTGTATCTCTCCGCGTATGGCATGTTGTGCGTCAACGGCCACGGTCGTAGAAATGTATGCCTGGCCCGTTGCGTCACTGGCATGACCCAGCAGTTGTCCTTTTTTGGCTGCGCTTATATGGCCTACGGGGCAGAATTAGTTGGGCTTTGGCTTTTCAGACGAATTCCATACCATCTATTCCATTGGCAAAACCCCGTCGGAAGCAGTATGCACTGATTGGCTTCTCATATCCGTATCGTTGGGCTAGGTCTTTGAGTGCATGGTAAAGCGAGCTCGCAGACAACACTTTGCCGTTCGGTGCGCTACCTGTGAGCATGCGTAGAATGGGCATACCCTTCTTGTCCTCCCTTATGCTGAAACGGCGCGAATTCGACGACACAAGGATCCTTCGATCACCCAGAGTTGAGAGACACAACTCAGTGAAAACGTTATCGGCCAACGCCAGGCCGAGAAAGTGAACAACCGGGCAAAAAGCTTTCCGTGATACGTCTGTTTCCTCATAGAACAGAAGGTTGTCTCTGCGCGTGGATTAGCAAAGAAGAAGAGTATAGCTTGGGTTTATGGGTCGTACTGATCTCTCGATTCGCTTCGGTATCTCTTGCGATATCGGAGTTGTATCCGCAATTGATATCGAGGAAGCCCCTTATGGTAATGAAGTGATAATTCCACATCCCCATAAGTGAGACCCTCGTTGGAGCCTCGGTAATTACCAGCCTCGATGATTTCACCAAAACGAAGTCCGTAACACGCCATAAGGATCAGACAAAAGCATATCTGTATCATCAGACGTGGGTGTGCGTATTTGTATTCATCGCATGACCACAAGAAGAAATGAATATCTTCAATGTCAGTTCTCATACCAACCAGTTTCTGCCGTGACACGGTTCTCGTCTTCGATGTTGCAGGGAGGATCTTCTTAACAAACTACATCGTGTTAACATACTACATGTACAAGATGTTGCTCTACCATACGTGTTGCATCGCTTTGACGTCCCTCTTGCGAACGTCGCAACCTGTTGATGCTCGAAGTATAGTCCTCAGCGAATCAAACTCGGTGAGCAGTGTCGCAGTAGTCAGACTCCCTGAAGAGAGTAGCCGCCCCCGACTGCTAGAGATGGCTCGCCATTCTAAGAAAAGCTCGATGACCGAGAGATCTGGGTGAGTTTGTAAGCCACATGGTTGAAGCTCCGGGACCTCGCTCTCAAATCTTTGATTGATTTTAGCTGGGTTTCAATAGAGAAGCGCTTGTATACATACTGCATCCAGGCTTCTGCACCCGTTTCAATCGATCAAGGTGTGTTCCAACTGCGACCCTTTCGAGAGGGAGCGCGGAAGTCTTCTTAATGGAAAGCGCAGCAGCGCGAGCTCGTAGATCTGAAAGGCTATTCATAACTCAACACATATTGCGTTCATTGAAAAACAGCTTGTCCAACTGACCATAGTGACAGGATAAAAGGAAAGAGAGAAAGAGAAGAGAAGAAGGGAACGGAAGATGGAAAGGGGACACGAGAACCTCCTGCAGCCTCCCCTCCCCCCACCCCCCTTCCTTCCATTTTCTTGTTGCAGTTTCGATTTTTGGGATCCCGCTTCTCATCCCCGTCCGGTTTTCACAACTGTAAGTTTTCAGTTTTTCTGTTTCCCGTTTAATGTTTGTCGCTTCCTGACTCAGCCTCTTGGGGTAAATTACGTCTGTCCCCCTCTAGCATTAAACCCCGCACAATGTAGGCAAAAATTGTGGTTTTCACATTCAGAATGCATATCTTAGGCGTGCATCTTTCGTATATATATATATTCTTATTTTGAAAATATTATAAAAGTAACGGAAATATGAAGTCGTCGCTCGGGCGTGTAGCTCAGTGGTAGAGCGCCCGCTTTGCACGGTCACATGACTACCAGTGCGGGAGGTCTAGGGTTCGATCCCCTACCCGTCCATTCTTTTGTCGGCTTGAGAAACAACCTCCTTTTTTTGCTTCGATTTTGGTCCCAAGATGCATTCAGGTCGTGTTGGCGGCGTTGTGAAACTTTTTGGAGGCCTGATGCGCGTTCTCGGCAGGGGTACAAATTTAGCGAGGCACGCCAAGGCCAAGAGATGATCGCCCGTCGCGCCGACAATCTGTCAACACGGACTCTCGATGGAGAACTCAAGAGAGTCGACCGGGACGATGAGGATACGCGGAGTTCCAGCATGGCACGCTGCTGCTATTTTCTTTTTGCTGGGCGGCGCTGCTCATGCCTCGCTCGGTGACAGGCTTCCGGACTTCAAGGATTGCGTACTGGTATGGAGCTCCCCTCGAGCTCGAAGTTTAAGCCTAAGACGGTCTACAGGTCTGCAAGGAAGCAAACTGCGGAGAAGATCCTACGCCAATTCGTATGCTCTCCTCCTCCACGAAACAGACCATGAAAATATTGACCCATCACAGCTTTCCACCGCCGCTTGCTTCTCTGGGACTGCCCCTCAGAATGCGACTACGCCTGCCAGCACGTCGTAACGGACAAGCGCCTCGCCCGCGACCCTCCATATATGCAGCCCATCTACCAATTCCACGGCAAATGGCCCTTCTACCGCTTCATGGGCATGCAGGAGCCCTTCAGCGTCATTTTCTCGCTCTTCAATTACCTCGCGCACGACTGGGGGATGACGCAGCTGCGTGAGAAGATTCCCGCGTCGTATGCGCTCCGCAAATACTACATACTGTTCGGATACTTTGGCCTAGCGAGCTGGATCTTCAGTATGATCTTCCATACGCGCGATTTCAATTTGACGGAGAAGTTGGACTACTTTGCCGCGGGCGCGAGCGTGCTGTACGGACTGTACTTCACGCCGATACGGATATTCAGGCTGGATAAGAAGGACCCGATGAAGCAGTCGGTGCTGCGGATTTGGACCATGTTCTGCATCCTACTGTATACGCTGCACGTCATGTACCTGACGCTGTGGTCGTGGGACTACACGTACAATATGGCTGCCAACGTTGCCGTTGGCGTGATCCAGAATCTTATGTGGAGCGGTTTCAGTTATCTCCAGTATAAGAAGGTGGGGCGAACATGGGCGATGTGGCCTGGGTTGATTGTCGCGTGGATTATTGTGGCGATGAGTTTGGAGTTGTTGGATTTCCCGCCTTGGAAGGGATTGATTGATGCGCATAGCTTGTGGCATCTAGGTACCGTGGGACCGACCATTTGGTGGTATAAGTAAGTGTCTTATTCGCTTCTCACACAAAGCAATTGGCTAATAGTGCATAGTTTCCTGGTCAAAGACGCCCAAGAGGATCTCGCAGGTACGCGGCTCAAGCAGTAGGGAGGAGCACCCGTACGCTATTCCGTCGCTTACTCGTTGCATCCCAGGGAGACTACCGACGGCTGATTATGATGCAGGCGCCCGAAAGGATTAAGGCCGCTCGTTCGATGAGCCTCCAGAGCAAGGTAGTTTTCAGGAGTTCATTCGCATGTATTGCATGGAATTCGGGACCAAAAGATTCTAGTATATTAAATCAATACCCAAGCGTCTTAGGTCGAAGTCACCTATCTTGCAACAGTATTCATCGTATCGCCTGAACGCCCCTTGACTACAGTTACTGGAATGATGCGCCCTGCCACGTAGCTACGGCGATTAGAGACGGTGGTCCTCAATGGTTCGCTAGAGATCCTTCTGGCGGAGCTGGGCTGGGATCCTTGCAATTATGGAGCGATTTGCTTACAACATGAGGCTGACCTTACTTACACACCGGTCTACGTACAAAACACGATGAGGCCGAAGAATCCCATCGTCTTCCATCCTCACGACCTGCGGATTGCGCGTCAGTTGTTGGCCTGTATCAGTGCCTTCCGAGCTGTATAATCGCCATGTCTCTCCAACCTTACTCGTATACGCCTTTGCACACTGCAACATCCATTCGTCTTATCAGATGCATTGACGACAGGGTTGGAACCAAGTTACATTTCAGGACGGCCCAGATTGACTTGGAGGATACATCTTCTCCCCCTTATCGTTGCCTGTCATATACCTAGGGCAACCCAGTCCTCGAGACCAGCAATTCCGATCCACCAGATTCAGCACTATGGCTTCACCAGCATCAGATCCTTCTGTCCGAGTCCGATGATGCAGATGCTCTTCGAAGTTTTTCGGTTGCGACCAATCTGCTCCACTTCTTGAAAGAATTCCATACCAACGCCCCGGCCGATAATTCCTGGATTTGGGTAGACGCGATATGCATCAATCAGCCGGACCTCCAAGAGCGCGCAGTCCAGGTCAATATGATGAGTCGAATCTACATTCTTGTGCTGAAGCCATCATCTGGCTGGGAAAAGAGGGCCCCGAAACGCACTCTGTAGTTGAAATCCTACAAATCCTGGCAAACATACCGAATGATCTCTGGTCTGATATGTTTTCATATTCAAGCCCCAGGGCACCTCATATCACGGCCGACGAGTGTTCGGCGATATCCAATAACCTGGCGTGTCACGACCTTCCTTATGCGGGAGAGAATGTGTGCGACGTCTTGTTTTCTTTTTTCCGCAGATCGTGGTTTCATCGTATATGGACAGTTCAAGAATGTGTTCTGCCTTCGGAAGGGCACATTTGGTACGGAGGATACCGCATTTTGGCCATGGGCGGACTCGCAAGAATTGGCAGATTGGCAGAGTTTTACCTAGGGGTGATGGAAGCGGAGAGTACGGTCGCCCAAGCGTCATCGATATGGGATGTGCTCTACTACCTCAGGCAATTTTTGTTCAGCAACATCGCCCCGAAGGAATCACGGGTACAAACCGCCTTTCTCAGCCAATCTCGGCCATTCGATACCTCTGCCTGCGTTGTATATGGAAGGATCAAGAAGTGTTCAGGCCCTCGCGATCACGTCTATGGGATGCTGGGCTTGCAACGCCAGCCACTAGTTAAAGTAGATTACGGAATATCAGTACAACAACTCTACGAACAGGTGACCCTCCATCCTACCATGCTGAAAACTCTCTTCAACGATCTCGAAGATAACTCCGTACGCAGTATATCTGGTTTACCTTCTTGGGTAAACGATTGGAGTACACCAAGTGTCCCGTCACCGTGGACCTCGTGTGGTGGGCGGAGGATATACCGCACCGGCATCATAGAGGGTCGGGACATCAGTTGCAACCAAATATGCAGCGGACTTCTAGAGGTCGAGGGTTTCGAAGAAGATGAAATATCGCTTCTCGGGGGGGGAGATTTCCAACAGACATTTACCAGGGAGGGGCTCCTTGCATCGTTAAATGCGCTTCATGTGGCGTCAAGGAAACCCCACCAGCTAGAAGAGTTGCGAAACAAGTGCACGATGATCGAACGCTTTTGGCGCACGCTGATTGCAGATTTGCCAGGTAATAGTAACTGCTATCCTTCTTCCGAATACACGGCCATTCATTTCGAGCTTTCGTACTCATTCGACTTTCGAATTATCTCTCACGCCTCAATCGCGACGACGGCGAATGGGACTCCGTTCGCTTAACACTAGATTCTCTTCAGAGACACGACACTGCAGCTCACCTGCCATCCTGGGAAAATATAGCACATAATACCGCCCGGAACGCAGGCTCCAACAGCGAAATCGAAAGAGTCAGTGCCGATCCGCAAACTATAGAAAGTGCGAAGTACTACGAGGCATCTTTGAGACAGATGTTCGACTGTCGACGGTTCTTCATTAAGGCCAAGGGCCGTATGGGTATTGCTACCAAAGGAGCCAAAGTGCAAGACGTTGTTGTTGTCGTCAAGGGTGGGGAGTGTCCGCTTTTGATGAGACGGGGCTCTTCGACGCGGTTGAGGTTCCTTAGTCTGGCGTAAGTGGATGGAATTATGCATGGAGAAGCTTTGGGAGCGAATACGTTTCGGAAAGTTGAGATTGAGTAACGCCTTGCACTTGCATTCAGGACAAGAAACGCTGCGTCGTCGCCAACCCAGACCAACAACCATGAAAAGCTCATTTCAAGATGTCCACGAAAGAGCGCAGTACACCTTACGGACAGAGTCGGAAAGCTACACCGTCATACTGAGGACATTGCTGCCATGCGTCCATGAATGGTCGCCCGATAGGACCGAAAGATTCTAAGATTAAAGATTAAGAGAGATTCTATGGGAACAATTTCATCCAAAACACAAACCGAAACCAAGAGAATGTCTAAATGCAGAGATAGGCATAACACCCCAGTGTCAACCATTACCCAACAAATTATCCCAATGCCTACACTCTGCCAAAACAAAAACAAATGTGGTGGTTTATAAGGAGAGACATAACACCCAGTAAAAACAGTTATCCCACAAATTATCCCTACGCCTATACATACTCTCAGGCAACCACCAAGAATGTGGGTATCCATATGCAGAGACATAACACCCAGTGACAGCAAGTTATCCCACGAAATCCTCCCTGCCATGTGGATTCACCATGACTAGGGAGTCCGCTTGGCCGCTTGAAGGGGCGACGCACCACACTGCGTGGTCCCTTGAGGTGTTGGTGCCGCAGTCTGCGCTGATCCTAGAAGAGTTGACGCGCCTGTGTGCAAAGACCCACCGGAGGCAGACGAGGTATCGGTATTGGAAGCACTGGCCCCCGATACACCGGACGATTGTGTGGGAGATCCAGTTCGCGTGGGCGACCCGTTGACCGCCAAGCAACCAGTTGCCAACGCACCGGAAGGCGGCTGCGTAGAAGACGGTCCGAACCCGAGCGATATATTGGCAGTGGAGGAGAAATGTGCTTGCTGGCCAGCCGGGGCCCATGAAGTCGACGCGCTAGCGTTAGGTTGACTGCTCGTCACTCCACTGGCAGCAGAGTGGTGCGTTATCGGAAGCTTGGGACTACCATTTTGCACCATCGCTTCCAAATATTTCCGATCCCAGTCTGCTTCGGCGGTACGTGCATTCGCCATATTTGCTTCGTGGTCGTTCTTGATCTTCTGGCGCTCTGCTAAAAAAGTTAGTCCAAGTCACACCTATCGTTATCGAGGACTATTACTTACCTTTGGACTTCCATGCACGACTTAGTATGAGAGCCAAATCTGGCTCAGGAGCTCTCCAGGATTTCTTCCCGACTAAGAGCTCGGCGATGAATTCATTCCCGAGGATGACCTCGAAGATATCGAAGATATCATCCCGCTTGACGTAGAACTCCTCAATTTTCTTTTTGCTGTCAAGATAAAACGAAAGCGTGACCACTCTGTTGAACGCGTATCGAGTGTTCTCGAAGCTACGAAGCTTGCGTTCTTCTTCCAGGATCTTAACTTCGTCGTCTTTTACGCCCTCTCTCCTGAGAAAATCTTCGGAGATCAGGTTGACATCGCAGCCAGTGTCTAACTTCGCGCGAGCTGGAATGAGCTTACGAAGCCCATTGGGTTGGCTTATATCGAGCATAATATCCACGATGAAATTCGACTCAGCGAGCGTGCTATGGTCGCTGTTCCAGGACGCTCGATTCGGCTCGGCATTCTCCTGCGGTTCCCAGCTTCTGTGAGCTAGTTTCAGCTCCTTTTTCACGCTACAATTCTGTTAAGTCTAGACAACAGTAACTTGTGTAGAAGCCAACTTACGACGAAGCAAGATCGATAAGATGGAGGACCGAATCTCGGAATGCATAGTATGCACCTCTCCGCTCTTGCTCCGTCGCCATAGCTTTGATCCATCTTCTGGCTTTCAGGATCCAATTTCCGCCGCGCGTATGCCTCTTTTTCCCGTTTTCCGCTGACTTGTCGAGGAGAGGCTCTAATTCTTTATAGCGCGCTTCGCATCGTTCTTTGGCCGCAAGGATAGACTCGGGTAGCGAGCCGTGCTCGCTGAAGCTGTTTATCGCATCCTTCAACTTCGACTGGAAGTGTTCAACCTCCACTGTCAGAGGGTCGAGTGCTGAAATGACGTGGGCGAAAGATCTAAGCGTCGGAGCCAACCGAGCCGGAACTAGCGAGGCTACTCTCATGGCCGTGGCTCAGAGGACGTGGATCTGGTCGTAGAAGGTTGACAGATAACGGCGGAGAAGATGCACGAGCAAAGTATGAGGCTAACAGTATCGGAACTGGAGGTGTTCGATGCTGAACTGCAGGTATTTTAATGCACATCAGCAACGCGTTCAAATGCTCATAGCAAAATGGGGATACCTACCGTAACTCGCTTCTGTCTTGGTTATGAGAGCGTTGTTCAAGTAACTTCGTGTGCTGGACGTGGTATCTTCCAAGGTTGTAGTGGGTATGGGGAGGAGAGGTTGCGAGAAGAAATACTCATCGATGGCATTGGAGTCATTCAGAGCTTGCACTGCCCTAACCCTTAACGGTGCAGGACGTCCCAGTACCCCTGCGGCCAATGAATTCGTGGACGTCTCCAGGAGGTGGCACTTGTACCTCATAGCTGTAATATACTGGACAGCATAGTTTGACAGTGTGCCCAGGGTCGGGGGTATCCATCAGAATCATTGGACTGATGCTTGCACAAGGCATCGTATTGTAAGTTCTGTGACAAGGCTATATACAGGGTTTAAGACACCGAATGCTGCGGCGCCTGCTCTCGTCGTACTGGAAGTTTCTGCACAGCCTGGTTTAATGCTAACGAGAAGTTCGTGTCCATCACTTCCAAACTTCCCAACCTTTACTACACTCGAGACTTCGCTATCGTACGTCCGCGAACATCCACATCACGGTCATATCCATTACTCCTGAGATGGCTCAAGCCGCTTCCTGGAAGCCAAATGGATATCCAAAGCTAGCAAAGCTCATGGGCAGGAGCTCAGAGGCGGCTATCTTTCGACGCTTCAATGAGATCAACATGCTTAACCTACTGAACCTTCAGGCAGAGATAGCGGCGCTACGAAAAGAATTTTGGTTGCAATGCAACGCCGATGCTATTCGAGGCCCACCGTACGAGAATCTATCGCTAAGTTTCGAAACACAGCGTAGTGTCAACAGTGTCAACGACCCGAAATACGAACACCAGTACCACATCCTCCTCAGACTCAGGGCAAAGATGAAGGAATACAGTGAGTGCTCAACTGAATCTGACAATCTCTTTGTGCAAACGAACTGATGTTAGGGAATAGATGAGCTCTTACTCCAAGGTACCCCACCGCACAGTATCGACCCTCAGCCGTCTCTTTAACGCAGTCCCCAGTCTCACAACTCTCAAAGCTCAACGCGCCCTTAAAAGAGGACCTCTCCTTCTTCCGCACATGGATCCAAGACCCAAAGGGCGGCGCCGACTTCCTCGCCAAGAACAACAACGTCGAATCCTTCCTCTACGAACCGGAATTCACCAAGGACCTCCTGACGCTTAGCCAATTCAGCAGCCCGGGCCCAGAGAACGATCCCTTCGTGCGGCTGCTCCGCAAGAGAGTGGTCTATTTGTACCACCTCTGCATCGGGCAACGCCTCGAAAACCGCTCGCGGATTGTGGATGAGGAGAGCCAGACAGTGCAGTATGATGAATCGGCTATCAACAAGGGTGCGAACATCATCGCTACGGTGTTGAGCAGTACGCTACCGCTGATAGCGATTGTGATTCTGAATCGCTTCCAGCGTACGGAGACGAGGATCAATATCGCGGTCGGGATTACGGCGGCGTTTGCGCTGATTCTGGCGTTGTTTACAAATGCGAGGAGGGTGGAGGTCTTTGCGGCTACGGCGACGTACGTGATGGGACTCTGTGTGTGAGACTTGAAGTGTAGCTAATGAAATTTAGGTTCGCAGCCGTGGAAGTCGTCTTCATCGGCAGCGTGGCGAAATCGTAGCACTTCCGTGAACGAGGATATGACGAGAACGGGGAAATAGAACAATAGGCCTTGGAAAGCCAGAAGGAGAATCGCGCGATTCATATATGGTGGAATTGTTGGTTGGGTGGGACTCATCCGCTGTCCAAGTTGAGGGGTTCTCCGAGGATGACGGGGGAAATCGTGGAAAAAGCAAGACTCTATTGTAGTTCTCTATGCAGCTAACGAAGTATATCTGATGATGGAATAGACGGCTTCAGCATTCGCGACGATTTTACCTGGGTCGTCCATACCGTGGACTCATCCTTCCTCTATGTGAAGTGGAGAGATACTTGTGTTGCAATGTAGGGGGATATTAAAGGAGCTATCTCACAATGCGAGCAAACCAAGAAACTAAAATAGCGTTAGGCATGTACGGGTGCGTTAGGACGACCTTGGGAGTTCAGTAGAGTTTCGACTACAAATGACTAAGCAAGTAGTCGGAACCACTGGAACTATTCCGAGAATAAGGCCCTCTCATCAATCTCACCGCGGCACAGCACGGGGTGGTCAGCATTTAAACCTCAGGGGCCCCTTCTTCTCTGCGACCCTCACACCTCCAGCCGTCAAATCTTAGACCGCATCAAACCCATTGTTACTTGAACACCATCGTAGAGCATAGCAGGCAGAACGCGTCGACGTCATGGCTCTCGGAACCGTCCTCCCATTCTGGCCCGCCCTCCTCTTCACATACATCGAGCCCATCTCGCTGTAAGCTCCGCCCTCCGCCTCAATTGTATCCCCTCTAACCTCCCTTCCCCAGAATCCTCGGCTGGCACGCCGCCTTCGACAACCCCTCCACCTTCGTCTCCAAGCAACTCCCAACCAGCAGCACGCTCGCCGTGCCCGACGCCGCCGTCATCCTCTCCTACACCCTCGGCAACATCTTCCTCATCCTCGCCGCCGTCGCAGTGCTCTGCACCGCCATCACGCGCAACGCCCGCGTCGCCAAGTACTATCTTTTCATCATCGCGCTGGGCGACCTAGGGCATATTTATGCGAGCTATAGGGTTATGGGGAAGGAGACGTTTTTGAATTTCAATGAGTATAATGATATGATGTGGGGGAATATCGGGTTTAGTGCGTTCTTGCATGTTAATCGTGGGGCTACGCTGGTGGGGTTGTTTGGGAGGGTGGGAGCGAAGGCGTGAACGCGCGTCTCTAGACGGGATATTTTGCTTGCGAGCTTGAAGGCTGTGGCAAAGTAAAGCGGGAAGATGGCCGCACTGGGAATGATAGGCCGGGTACGGAGAGACCATGCACCCCTGGAGTGAGAGCAACGAAAATAGACACGCTAAACGCGAGGACTTGCTGACCCAGGAGGGCACCAGCAGTTTTGATAACAAGCCACCAAAGCTGGCTCGAATACTGAATGTACATTCCGAATTCTACATATTGTACAAAACAAAATCCCCTCCTGTGCCCTGAGCATAGATGCAAGCAGGATTCCAATACTATACATTCAGCTCCGCAGGACGATTGCTTTGACGGATATACCTATCCACCGAGTACCCATCTATCCCCATATCTGCTAACTCCCCTTTCTTCTTCTCCGTCCTCTTTTTCATTTTCTCTGCAATAGTTGGCGGGATAGGCAGGCCAAACTCGGGCGCACGTCTCGTGCCCTCAATGACCCCGGATTCCGCGAGCCGCCGGGCCTGCAACTCAACCTCCTTCTCTGGGGATACGCGCTGCCCGCGCTTCGCTACCAGACGGCGCGATTTCAACTCCTGATGAACAACCTTCTGTAAACCAGTCTTTCGACGTTCCTCCACCGCATTAGGTTTCTTGCCGAAGATCTGCACATTCCTGAGCTTCAGGAGTTCGCCAACACCTGGTTTCTTCTCCGCTGCTATCTCGATTGCAGCTTGGCCACTCTCGGCTAGTCGATTGGCCTTGTGGTTTTGCCGTGAGCCTTCAATGTTGAGGAGGTTGAATAGCTTCGTGGGCTTCGGTTTTTCGGCGTCACAGAGGTGGTGATACAGATCACCTAGCGTGCTGGCGGAGGTGAGGTTGGGATCTGAGATGTAAAGGCCGGTGAGCTGGGCGAGGCGTTTCGTGAGCTGTGAATAAATTGTTAGGCGCGCAGCACGAATATGGCAACTAAAATGCTTACCGCAAACTTGATGGCCGGATCTGTGAGGGGTACATGCCGCCATCTAGCGTCAACCTCGGGTATTGGCACCCTTATGGTGGACGAGCCGGCTTGAGCGGCCACACCATCGCGTACCGCTTTTCGTAGAGCAGCAACATTCTGCTCCGCCGACCGGGCAGCAGACTCCAGAATGGCACTGCGCATTTCCGAAATGGCTGATCTAGATGCTTCGGCCGCAGCTTCGAGATCGGCCGATGAAGGGGCTGAAGTGGGTATTGGCTCTGGCGTGGACTCCTTTGCCACAAGTTCTTGGGCCTTCTCCAGATCTTCGACAGGTGACTCCACAATTTTAGCGCGGGGCACAGGTCTGTTCGACATGAAGTCAAAAGGCTTCTTCTCCGGATCCTGTTTCACAAGCGCTGCTCTTTTCGCCGGGGGGGTGTCAGGATCCATTACTGGCTCCTGTGGCCCTTCCATGACCAGCTCTTCCCCCTCCTCAGCCTCAAGCTCTTCTTCAGCCGGCACTCCCTGCTCCGGTTGCCATTCCGGCACGCGCGCCATATCCTCAAGCAGAGTCTGTAGAGTATGATGTTTGGGAAAGGCTAGGGCGAAGTCACCATTGCCCTTCCTTTGCAGCTTGACGTTCCGTAGCCATTTCGGGGCATCGTATACTCCACGGTTTGCGGAAGCCGATATGTCTAGATCCTTGCCGGCCTGCTTCAGCGCATATATCTCTACGACGGCTCGATGGAAGTTTTCCCGGAGGGAGTCGAGACCCCTGACTCGCGTCCAGCGACCGAAACTGCAAGCGTCAGTCTCTACTCACGCATTGCAATATGTGTAGCACAACTCACCTCCAGTCCGTGTAGGGCTTGCCGGTGAAGTCATGGAACATTTGTGCCATCATCAAATTCTCATCCCGCAGAGTGTACGGCGTGCCTGTCAAGTCCTCAATCTGGTCCGCCATCTTCAGACTCAGAGGTGTATACGTCCTCAGCGTTAGCTTCTCAAACTCCTTCGCTAGGATTCCCTCCTCCAATTGCTCTGTCCACTCCTTGCCACCAACATGTCTCAGTCGTCTCCCATCATGCGCCTCCTGATACAGTGGCCCTTGACTCTCCACGATCTTTTGGTCTTCTAGTACCTCTAGTTCCTCGCCCTGCTCATCGGGAGCTATCCGCACCGGCGATGTCGGGTCATACGGGTCGACGTGCGCGCCAATCGGTTCCGAGTCGCCGAGCAGTCGCTTCTGCCATCGCCGTACAAACTGCTGATGCTTCTTCTTGTCTTGCTTGCCGCCGAGGAGGAAGGAGAACGAAGGGGTGGTTGAAAAGGACGCGGAGGTGGTGCGGAGATGATTGTAGGGAGAGACCACGCGGAGGCAAGTAGGACGATACACCCGGTGTCCTGCTAGAGGCGATACTGGCAGCGAGGCATCGATTGCCCGCTGCGGGCGCGGTATTCGACGCATTGGGTGCTGATGGAGATGCGGCTCCTCCACCGAACAAATTGTCGAGCCGGGGACGGGAAATCCTCGGCTGATCACTTTCGACCAATCATCATCGCTCACCTCTGAAAACATTGTGTTCAGAGATATTATACTATTTACAGGACGGAGATAGGACAGTTTGACCTCACCTTCCCTAAGAACCGCAGAGGTGCACGTACTAGCACCGAGATATAGATGCATTGAAATCCATTCGCGGCGTCAATTCGCCATTTATGCATACAATTGTCTACAGACCACGTATGGCGCATGACTGAAGGTTAAGCTACTTTCTCTCCTCCAGCAAACTTCTTCCCGAGCCACGCAGAGCCTCGCTCGTCATACTCCGCCTTGGAGACCAGAACCTGCTTCAGCCGCTCAGGCTCGCGCGCAAACCGGGCAGCTCCCAACCACGTATGCTTGATTGGGTCTTCCGCTCTCGTGAGGTTAAGCACATACTCGGCCGGCACCAGCGCCATCAGCTCGGACTGCAATCTCTCCATGAAGCCTTGAATAAGCGAGTTGCCTCCGACCACAACGATGTTCGCCAGCATGCCCACTTTCAAAGCTTCCGGGAGGATACTGAGAGATTGCATGACAGCCCCTGGAACCCCCACTTCTTGGATACCAATATCTGTAGGGTTGAACAGGAGCTCGGGCACCGCAAATCGCTCGTTGCCAAGAGGCAACAGATCTTCTCGTGGTCCTTGGAGTGGCTGCAGACCGCGGCGCATTCTTGACTTGGCGGGATCGTGCGGTCTTGCGTATCCGTGGATCGATCTCTCGTAGTCCGGTAGCACGTAGTCCAGCACGATGCTCGAGTCTAGCTCTCTTTTGTCGCCTAATCTCCCCTTCCAAGTCCGCTCCAGATCCTCGGAGAATTGTTGTGTGGATGGCGCCACGAAGGACACAGCTTCCTTGATCTCATTCAAAAGATATGTCTCCTCCAGCATGTTGTAGTGTCGGAGTGAGGAGAGCTCTTTGAGGTAGTTGGTGAGTAGCTTGCCGCCAACGGTGAGGCGTCGCAGTGCTGACTGGATAAGCTGCCCGTGGTAAATAGGTAGTATCGTCGTGTCGGAGTACGACGTGTCGATGATGAGGAGGCATTCTTGGGGGAGGGCAGAAAATGAGCCGACTGATGAGGGATTGTAGGCATTTAGGGTAGGACCTCCTACGTATTAGTATGATAAGCTACATTAGCCAGGAATACAGAACATACCAATACATCGATAGTAGGCTGCGAACTCGAATTGCTCAAAGACGATTTCGTCGCAGTTTTTCTGCAGCTCCTTCGGGCAATTCGGCTTCTCTGTCAAGATCAAATTCGTTTCCTTGGGTTCACACTGGGTTTCGGTCAGCACCGCGATCCTTTAGCACACTACGAAGTCTCATGTCTCGTACCTACCCTCAGCCCTTCCCCCGCGCCAGCGCCCGTGAACTCATGCTCCCAAATAGCCTTCTCTGCCTCCCAATTGACGATGAATCCCTTCTCAACTGGCCTCCGGAATGCCAATTCTCCAAAGTCTTTGCATTGTGCTAGCTCCGAGGCAATATAGGTGCGCTTGTCGCGTGTGCTGCGAGCGACGCAGTTCGGAATCACGACGCAGTCATCGTAGCTTGGGTTTGCGGGGGCGGCCGAGACAAGGCCGGCTTTGATCGTATAGGCGCCATTATCGAGGACGAGGGTTCTGGCTGGGGCTGTAGCGGCGGCCTTCTTGGAGCCTTTCGGCGGCATGGCGGGGAACGGTGCGCTGTTGTCGTGCTCTAGAGGGAAGTGGAGTTGATGGAGCTCATGTAAGCGCTTAGTAAGCACATAACACTCACTGCCTGCCCAGGTGGTGAACCGATTACGAACAACGCTGACCACCTCAAATACCATAAGTGGGAGGTGCCCCAAGGCTTCGCACCGTCAAGATATGCCCTGTAGGCGGACTCGCCGCTTACAGGGCTCCGGCCATGCTTAAAGGTCACGCCCCCGATTTCAAGCCGCATCGGGTGTGCCCCACGCGATTGTTGAGAGGAGCACCACACTAAAGCTGTCTTCGGCCCGGCGCGGGTGTTACACGGACCGCAGCGAAAGGCTGAGGCCGCCCACATCAATTCGTCCATATTGGGGTTCACCGGAGCTGAGCACCTCCGGCCAATAGTGTTCACCGATCGTCTGGTCTGGTGATCGCACCACTGCAGCAAAGTCGTGGCCACGAGCTGTTGGCCAGTTCCTGCCTCACCCGCCCTAAGGCGCATTCAAGACGGTCATTGGTCCCGACATCAGGCATTCTGTACGTCTTCACCAGGCGAACGGTTGCCTCACTGCTATCAGGAGGGACCTCAAGCTGAACGGGAGAGTTACCAGTAGACTCTGCGAAGTTGGGCCTCGCAGAGCCTCATTCATGAAGGCCATGGTCTGACATAAAATCGTCGAACGCTCCGTGGGCCAGCCTTGCACCTCCATCAGCTCGCACCCTACGTCGAACTCACCGGCGCCTGACCGGTCCTTGAAAACCCCGCTTTAGCCATTGGTCGAAGGACACTGCCACCCGTAGACTGCCTCGAAGTGGCCACCGATTAGCCTAGCTACGATGCCGTACGTGTGGGATACATTTGACACGTACCAATTGAGGCAAGCGGATCTGGAGAGTTACCTTAGGACGAAGTTTGGGCCTTGGGACTTCTATATTCGCGTATGTGGACCGAAGGACCTCTGCCCAGTTCCGATGGCTGAGACACTCCTCTGCAGGTAGCCAATGGATCATATCAATTTTGGGTTCCTCAGAAACTGAACCAAGTAAGCGTAGAATTACAAAGCTAATGCTCTCTCCCGCTGCTAATAGCTTGTAGAAAGAAAGAGACGAGGTTGCTGCTTTGCGCGTCGAAGATGACTGATGGTGGACGTCAAGAAGGCGGTGCCAGCCTTTGCGTGGCCCCGGGATCGTCACGCATGCATAGGCTGCGGTGTGGGCTTGGAGAATGTCTTGTCCCTGTAATGCTTTTGCCTCGCGGATAGCCTAGGGCCGAAAAGGATGCCCGGAACATATACGCCGTGGCGGACAGCTGGTACGGCATTCGGGAAGGGAACTATATAAATTGGTATGGTTTTGTTCTTCGGCCAAGCAATATGAAGCAGCCGGTCGCCTGTTCTTTTAAGTTCCCTGCGCAATGGAATCACTTATTCAATGCTGCGAGAACTACTTGCAGTACCCTCAAAATCTGATACACCATGATGCTCTCAGCCATAACCTGAAGGCATATTGCGACAGATTAGGGACTCAAACAGGCCGTCTGTTCAATGAGAGACAAGCCGCCGTCGATTTTCTGGACCTCGACGGCCAAGAACAAGGTAAGGCGACCCGAGATCCTGCGCTTACGGAATGCTAATGAGGCTGGGCCTGCGACAGAATATCGTTCGAGCTGTGTGACAACTCTTCGCGAGCTCAAGCATCTACTCAGGGAAGCGTTAGATCCCGGAAAGAGCGACCCTCAATACCGTTTCATGCAAGTATTGTCTCTTCAACCAATTGGGCCAAAGCTAACAGTCTCAGATTTTTGCATGCTCCCCATAGCCGAGCCTTGCTAAGGGTCTCCCACAGCATGCTCAGCTTCCTCTTCTCCTATCACCAAGTCATGCCCTCATTTCTGGACTTCGTCTTTCCTTTCGGCTACCAGGAGTATCCGCAGGACTTTCATTTTAGCGGCCTCCAGGAGGAGTCCCGTCTTGATGAGCGGTGGAAAGGGACCGAAATACCTCAGTTAGGCCGATCTGCGCAACAGCTCCGTTTCTGCTACAACTTGCGCTCGGTAGAGCCTTCCAAAAGTCAGTCAAGCCTGCCATGGTCAATTCGACAAACCGCAGTCTATCACTCATTCGACCTTCAAACTGGTCACTCGCTGTGGATCAGTGTCAAGGGCAATAAGCTGATAAAGAATCGAATTACTGAGGCATCCACGCTGCCTTCGCTGTCCGAAGCGGGGACACGTAGTGGAGCCTTCTCCGCATCACTGGCAACCCATCTGCTCCTATGTGACTGGTCAGGCGAGAATTGGCGGTGGTATATCAACGACTTATGGGATCGGTTCCAGGAGCTCACACGGGACGCTCTGGCTACTCCGGTAGACAAACCGCCAAGTCCGATCGCCTCCCCAGTCCCGTTCCTGATGAGCCCGCGCATTCCAACCAACTATTTCCCCCCTCCTTCTCGTGCCACAACCGGTCAATTTCCAGGCAGTCCGCGGAGCAAATTTGAGGCATTTTCACCCTCTTTCCCATCGCGCACGACAACCTTGCTAGAGTCTCCGCAGTCTCCGACCCATGTACAAGACAGCTATTGCAATCATGACAAATGGGCGAGTGCTAGAATCGTGGACGCGAAAGGTTTAAAGAGCAGCCTCACTTCACTATACGGCCAGGTGAAGAATATCGGACACAGCGATTTTTGGCGGCACGATAACAGAAGCAAGCCCTCTCCTTCAGCCGACGAGAAAGCACAGTTGCCATCCCCATCACCGGGCGACAAGCAAACACCCCCGGAACTTCCTCCGACCTTTTCAGAACACGGCGACGAAAAGCAGCATGAGACTTTCACCTTCAGCGGCCTTCAGGACATTCAGTATATTGAAGAGAAAGCACAGGAAGCTCTTCTCGTTATTCGGCTCAATGCGGAAGTGCTTGAACAGTTGAGACAGCACTACCAATACGTCATGAACCACGGCGAATTTCCCTTAGAGCTGAAGGCCGATTGCGGTGGCGACCTTGCAAGGTTCGATAAGTGCGTGCTTAACGTAGAAAAAGACCTGCGAATGCTGCAGTCAAGGACGGAGACGCTGTTGTGCTTGTTAGCGAATCGCAAACATCTGGTGAAGCGCACCCTAATGCAAGTATCCTGTTCTTTTACTAACTCCCCACGCAAGCTCAACGGTATCCTGCAATATAGAAGCGTCAAGGCCAACGAATCATTCGCGAAGAAAGCACATGAATCGGCGACTCGCATGGAAATGATGACGCACGAGATGCACGGCATAGCAAAGAAGACCGAACAAGAAACAGTATCTATGAGGGTCATCACCACCGTGACCCTGTTCTTCCTACCGGCTACCTTCATTGCAGTATGTGCCTTCTGTACTACTGCACGACGTCTCAAGCTAAGAGGACCGCAGACGTTCATGAGCACAGACATCCTCAAGTTCGAAGACGGACGGCAAGACTTTCAGATCAAGGGACTAAGGATATACCTTGCGATTGCTCTTCCCATGACAGCGGTAACGTTCTTTGCCTGGTACATCATCTATCGCCGAGCGAAAAAAGCAGGCGATTTCGCCGCTCAGGCGCACCAAGACTCTCCGGCCCATTCGGATATAGTCTGAGCTCTCCTTGTTTTATTGGGCGAATATGTACTATATCATTGTAAGATGACCGACTCTTATCCGCTGTTGAAGCTCAGAGTGGTGGCATGGTGGCTATCTGGGTATGGTCAGCCGTATTTCTCTTCGTAGTACCTAGCTCTTTTTGTGTAGTCTCTTATATTTAGCAAACGGTTGGAATAGAACTGCTTCGGGGTTTGAGTTGCTGCAGTCCAAAAAGCTCATCCGTAGAATACGAAATTCGACATTGGTCTTATCCATTTGCTGACCGTGGCGTCGGACCCGGTATGACGCTGCTGTAGCTTTCTAATACGCGACCCACAAAAGATTTCTCTCTGTGCCCGACTTTTTTTCAGAAGGGCTTTCAAACTAGGTATGTCTTACATACAGCCCACAGCCCAACGTGTGACTTCGCCAGCCCGATGCGCGCAATGTGGCTCAGCAACTGCAAGGCATATTCGAGCCATGAAGCCGGCATCTGCACCATGACTGTTGCCTCGCCCGCGATGCCGCGCATGTAAAGAACGGGGAAAGCGCAAGTGTCGCGCTCGTCGTAGCTTCGAGCGGCGTCATGGAGGGTGCTGTCAGAAATGTTTCGGCTCCTGAGCGATCGCAGCACCTAGCCGTCTTGGCTTTAGCAGCCCCCTAGCAAAGGGCTTGTCTCAGAGGATCCGGAACTGCGACCCAAATTCAACGTCCTCTCTTGTGCTAACCACCAACGGTCTCTGCAATGTTGCTTTTTGCGCGGCATTGTAGCTTGGACAAACCTAGGTGAGTCTTGATGGCCAGGGCAGACTGCGTCGGCGGTGCTATGCAGGTGCAAAGCTGCTGCCTAGGTCGGCTTGCCCATTTCATCATCGTGCTTGTTTCCCTGGTGTCCCCGTCGTTTCTCATGTCCGATGTCAGCTCGTCAATGCAATGTTTTTTCTTTGTAGTCGCCGAATGCCGTTTTCATTGGTGTTCACAGCCCTGTCCATGGCTCTCTCTGCCCTTTTTCCTGGCAGAATCGCCCATGGCGAAGAGGTGGAAGGAGAAAGAGGTGCCAAATACGTGGCGGCGTCCTTCGCTGCAGGGCTGGATCGGCTGTGGTGGCTGGCCGAGCTTGGCTTGTGCGGGCTCGCATGCCCTCCGCCGGCCCTCGAATCGGCCAGCCCACCGACAAGCACTCCCGACCTACAAATGAGCCGCGCCGCCCAGCCTGGACACCTGAGGTCGCTGAATCGCACAGGCGCGTCGTTCATCGCAGCAGTCTAGCGATGCTACCGATGTCCTGTGCGCTCCTCCATATTTATACACGTCCCTCTTGCTCCCCGACTGCGTCTGTGCCCCGCCTCACCACCGCTCCCAATGCACACATGGTCGCATCCTCTGTCTGACGTGTCCGACTTTCTGGACCAGGTTCGGAACGCTCAGGTATTGGCTGTGGATGTGTCTACGCCGGCGCAAACGCGTCCATTCGTACCCATCCACGCTCTTCGACGCTACTTGACCGAGGGCACCATCAGGAAGCTCTTGGTCTGCTTCCATCGCTCCACCAACGACTGGAAAGCAATCCAGCAGGGCTACCTGGCTGTGTTTACCATCCTCATCTCTATTGGCAAAGGCGCTTACATTACCCACTTCATCCACTACGACAGCCTTGCCGACGAGCGCCTACCGTTTCGAGGAGCCGACGACTGGCCACCCGATTGCGTCGAGTTCTTCCAGAAGTTCGCCGACGCGCAATGGCAGTTCTGCGCCCAGCCACTGCGTAGAGATCGATTGAATGAGACGAGATACCGGAAGGAGGTTATTATACCAATCAAGTCAAGCGAACCCCTCAAAGTGGGCCCGGACTCCTGCACTTATAAGGTTGGGATCTATCCTGGATACAACTTCCTCGCGGAGCAGGTGAATCATGCCTGTCACCCTCGAAGAGCCGCGCGTTGACGATGATGCGATAGGATGAAAACGGCAAGCCTTTGACGAACACCTTCGTCCTCAAGACGTGCCGCGAAAAAGACGCCCAATACCATCATAACGAGGTGGATGCCTACAAAGCCTTGAGGCACCAGAATGACGTTTCACGCAACATGGCTCGCTTCTACGGGTCATGGCACCAGGGTCAAACGTATTATATGGTGCTCGAATATGTCGGTGGGGGTACGCTGGTGGATTTTTTCGAACGAGTCGAGCCTCCTACAAGGAAGGAAGACATACTGAAGCTCTGGGAGGAGCTGCTGGACATCGTCAAGCCGGTGGCGCGCATTCACAAGCTGCCGGACCACGATAACAGACGGCAGTATTGGCAGGGGTCAGTTCGCCTTTGTGGTCGTTTGAGATGGCTCGTTAATCAGATGCAGGATCCATCACGACATCAAGACCAGCAACATCCTGGTCTCAGAACCTTTCGGTCCTTCTAGGTTTGATGTTGTGTTCAAGCTTGCAGACCTAGGCTTGACGGACTTCGAGCTTGCAGTTCAAAAGGGTAAAGAGGTTCGGCGACGTGATACACATGGAACCCAAATGTTTAGTGAGTTCGCTTGTGCGTTCCGCCATGCATTGGAAACTAAGTTGCGATTAGCTGCACCTGAGTATCACCGGGACGAAGGTGACTCATTCCTTGAGCGAACCATTCTCGATGCGAAACCCAGCAAAGATATTTGGTCCCTCGGCTGCGTCTATAGTGAAGCCGCAGTGTGGTCAGTTCTAGGAATGGAGGGACTGAAGGAATATCAGAGCAAGCGTGCAGCTGCTACCGACCAAGTGCCGAAGCTCCGTTGCACGGCATACAGTGGCTGCTTCCATGACGGCGAAAAGGTCCTTCAAGCAGTCATCGACATGCATTTACGCGTTCGCCAGGAACGGCGCCGGAATGATTATGTGGTCCACGATGTGGTCACCATTATCGAGGATATGTTAGACGAGGCTCTGTCCCGACCTGATGCGGTTGATGTCTACAAACGCTCCCGCAAAGCTCTGAAAACGGCCAAGGCCTGGTCCAACTCCCAGTTGGAGCCTCCCAGCGATACTTCGTACCCTCCGATCTTCCGCGATGACTCAGATCCATTTGGAAGAAGGCAGACGCCTCCAGAGATTCCTCCCGAGATAGCTGGAACTGGAGCAGGCCTTGGTATGACGGGTGTTCCTCTGGGTGCGCTTGCCTCATCGCCTACAAGCGTCCTTAGCAAGGACTTTGGCCCTCAACCTTCGCCAATTTCACCGTCGTCTTCAAATTTGACTTCTGAGGAGAAGCAGACCGACCCCTTCGACCAGACACCGCACGCATCCTATAATGGCTCGCCTATTGCCAAGCGACACCCGCGACCTGCATCTGAACCTTTCCTAGGCGAAGATATCACCAGTTTACCGGACGCAACCCCGAAGGCAAACGGGGCCGGTGCTTCTACCTGGCGGCACTCAACGCCAAATCCGCAACGTTCTACCCATGCTCCATCGCCTAGACCTGTGGACAGTTCATCTCGTGCCGTCGTTTCTAGTTCGGCGCCTGGGAATGGGACGGAACGATCGAAGTTTCCCCACGTCACAATAGAAGAAGCTTGGAAGTGGATAGCCCGGACGAAGAAAGGTTCCAACACGACGCCACTTGAAGGACATGAATACCTGAAGAGGCTAGCTTCGAGAGACCAGGTAAGCTAATCTGAATCCATTAAACTATCGGTACGCTAACGATACCCAGATCTTTTTGATCGACGACTCCATCACCATGAAGTCGCATTGGAGCAAGGTCCGGCGAGCATTCGAAACGCTGGCTTACCTCGTGAAGAAGTATGATCCAGACGGGATCGAAATTCGATTCACAAATACGCCTTCGGAAGAGGGCCGAAGCAAAAACCGTGAAAAGCTACTGGAAATCCTGGATCGCATCACCCCCGCCGGGCAATGTGACATGGGCTTGGCCCTGGGCAAGATCTTGGAGAGGTATCACCCTGAGCACACCAAACCACAGAAAGGCCTCCTTTCCCGCTGGCGTAAAGAAAAATGGGGCGTCAATATCTACGTTCTCACTGACGCAGTTTGGGAGGATGATGAAGAATGGTTGGATGGGGTAGTGGAGCCAATCAAGAGCCTAGTCGACAAGCTGGTCGACAAGGGACTGACGAAGGGACATGTGGGCATTCAGTTCATCCAATTTGGGGACGATCCGGTAGGCACGAAGCGCCTCAAAATCTTAGACAATGAGTTGGACAAACATGCTGTAACCAAGTACGTATTGCGCGCCTCAAGTACGAAAGTTCGAGCTAACGCGTCAAAGGGACATTGTCGACACCGAGCCCTATGAAGGGAATCTTTATAAGATGCTTCTCGGATCTATCGACCCAGCGTGGGACAAATATACCCCGAAGAAACCCTCTGGCTCGGGACCAACGCATCCATCACCGCAGCAGAGCAAGAACGGCGCTGTGACCTGGTGTTAATCGGTTCGGCCGGCCATAATAGTGACCTGGCCTAGTGATCTTTGTGTTGCTACACCGTCGGCAAAAGCTTTTGTCGACCTCACTTCCGTCTCGCATCTACATAATTTTGGAGGATGCCGGGGACTCCTCACCTGCACATACCACGCCTCGCTTTTTCAACAGCATCGTGCACGTCCATCTGGGTTGTGTCTTTAAACAGAGCAAGCCTGTGCTCGCCCGAGCAAGGAGACTTTCTCTTCTCAGTACCCTTGAGGTCGCGGTATACACACCATGGCGTTCGGTCATTTTGGGACATCATCTGTTTCGTTGAATTTTAAGAAATGAGTTAATGTCTACGACCATAGTCTCAACCCTCGGTCTACGTGGAGAAGGCTGTAACTAAAATCGCATAGCAAGGCGTTTGGCAGATCTTGTATGGACTCGCGGCGGGACTTTGTTGGTTGCGTTCGCGCACCCTTTTGAATACCCACATAGATAGACATGCCTCAGCATTATCTATTAACGCTATTTTTCAACTACTTCAAAAACTACTTACTAGATATGAAGACTACTCACTTGATGTGAATCTCCTGGGCGTAAAGCTTCACTCAGGTTGCTCCGTACAATTCATCCTGCCCCGCATTGATAAGGAGCAGCTATCGATAAATGGTCCGAGCTTCACGGCCCCGCCAAAATTCGGTGCAGCACTTTTCCGCATAAAAATTACTACTCAACAGCAGCAACGGAAAAGCACACTTCTATCACGGTCGTATGATACGTTGACCCGCAGAAGGTAGTTCGAATTCCTGCTTCGGTATCATTCTGTAAAATAGAAAACGCGCTAGAATCCTGCCATGGCAAAACCGAACGACCTCCGCGCCCTCATCGAGCTCTCGAAAACTACGCAAACGCTCCTCCCGCACTACCAGTCCTCCCTCGCGCCTTCGGCCGCAAATGCCACGTCTTCAGAGCCTCAGGCTTTCTCGACCGACCTGCCAAACCCGCTCGATGTGGTAAAAGCTTGCACCACGCTGCTGAAATCGCACACGACGACGCTCTCGCTCCTCCTCATCACGCCGCCGCTCACGCCGTCAGCATTAATAACGAAGATTGGAGATGTCAGCTCTGGTGTGTTGAGTGGTATGGTGGCCGCGGCTGCATCTACGCCACGATCAGGACAGAGGGATGAGCTGGGAAGCTTGATGCGTGGTGAGCTTAGGGCGCAGGTGCGGAGGGTAATTGGCACATGGGGCGAGGTTTTGTCTCTGGTCCTGCGCTTCGCTGAGCGGAGGCAAAGTTTACAGGGAAATGGAAGTGCAAAGGGAAAGACGAAGGATGAGGGCCCTACTGAGAGCGAGAAACAAGACGTGCTCGCAGCTACCGGCATGGTGTGGGAAGCGTGCGACGCGCTGCTCAAGCTATGCGGTGACGGCGTCGCTGGCTTGGTGGTCAAGAAGGCGGAAGAGTGGAGAAGCGTACTACTAGACGCGCTGGAAGAGTTGAAGGAGTGGGGTGAGGATGTGGAAGATAGCGATGACGAGGCGAAGGGCAGCGACGCGGAAGATGGCGGATTCGGGGATGAGGATGACATATTCGGAGCTGCGAACAAAATAGGCAAGGGAGATAAGGAGTTGAAGGCGCTGCTGGATACCAGTGTCAACAAGCTGAAGAAGATGGGCATGCTCTACCAGGCGTTGAGCAAGAGGAGGCTGAAGACGTTTCCTGGTACTTCACCAGGAGCTACGGCGCCCACTGCTGCCAACGGCGAGACTGGCGGAGGGCATCCAGATCCAATGACGAAGCTGGACGGCCTTATGGTTTCACTGAGAGCAATACCGGAAAGCGTCGATGACCTGGCAAGCGCTTTCTATGATCTGGACGAAGAAGAAGCGAGGCAGACGCTAGACAGATGCTGTGGAGAAGCCAAGAGCGCCATTGCGTTGGTCAAGCAGAGCTGGGCTGGTAAAGATGATGAGTTCACTGCGTGGTCGAGCAAATGGGTAGATGCACTGGATGCGGCATGAACGTAACTTGATGGAGCCCCTGCCCTCGATCGATCTCGCCAGGAAACATGTCTTCCTTCAGATACGAGCCATGCGCCGCGCTCGTGCATCATGTACCTCGCCTATCGTATCTAGGGCGGAAACAACGTGGAGAAGGCGGCGCCATTACCGTATCTGGTTCGGTCCGAAGCTGTCGATCATACAGCAGATGACGCCCTTGCAGCGGGTGTATTTTATAGCTAGGAGACTGTAAAGGAAAGAGGAATTCGGTATGGATTCCCATATCAGAAGAGAAGCCCTCTTGAAGAACCTAATACGAGGTTAAGCAACCTCATTCTATACCTTCAACACATACCCAAAATCAAGAATCTCCCTGCCCATACCATCTATATCGCTGGTAGTCGAGCTCCGTTTCCGGTCTGTGTCGCATATCCAATTTGCGGCTACAATCCAAGAACAGCCGCCAATCCAAGCGCAACAGCACCCACACTCGCAACATTCGCCATCGCACCACCAGTATTCTCTGCCGCGCTCCCAGATCCCGTCGCCGTTCCGCTTTGCGATCCGGTCGTGCTCGCAGTCTGGCTGCCGTTCGAAGAGCCACCACTAGCACTCGGGACAGTGGTCGGCAGGCTGGATATAGAGACGCCGGCTTTGGCGCAGATGGTTGCCACCGCGGGAGCAATTTCTGTCGAAATTCCGTTAGTGGGGGGTGATCGAGATACGGAGGGAGGTGCAGCACGCACTGGCAATTTCTTCCGCGGAGCACTTGGAGGGCACGCAGGACGTGACGGAGGAGGTGATGGCATCGGAGCCCGTGGTGCACTGGCATTTGGTGTCCGAGAGGCTGCAGCCTGAGCCCGACACGGCGGCTGCGAAGCAGGTGAGCTGGAGGAGATTTTGTTAGCCATGGTCTTTTTTAAATGGAGATGGAGGTGTCTGGATAGCGAATTGAATGTTGTTGCAGCCGTTTGAGCGGGGATCCGTGATGGTCGCGCAGGCGCACGAATAGTGGTACTTACAGCGCAGTCAGGAATGCCCTGAAGGTCCTGCGCGCCCACGAAAGCGAGCGACGCCGCGAAGGCAAGAGCCGAGAAGAAGCGCATGTTAACGGTAGTGGGTAGTGAATTTCGGACAGGAAAGGACAGTCGATGTGCAATAATGGTGTATCTAACACGAGAAATTCCAAGAGAAGCGAAGGTTCTATGAACACAAGTCGATGAACGAAGAAGGAGAGTGAGTAGTAACAAAACAACGTCAACAGTCAGTGGGCGGGGACCCGCAATGCATTTTGTACTCCATGCAGGTGCAACTCATTGCAGTACCCACACACACACAGTTGAGCCCTGGAGGTTAGTAAGCTTTGAGCCCTGAGCTTAAATGGGGCCCGCATCCGCTAATTGGCTTAGCGCGTGTGTGTGTGTGTGTGCACCAATTGCGATGCTTCTGCCTGCTCTGATTCGGTGGGCTTTGCTCGAATAGAATGGGGCACGGCGTGTGTGGTGTTGCTGAGAGTTTGGGAGTGTGCAACGGGGGACGAATGGGGGGAGTGTGGCATGGGTTGGGTGTGATTGATTGATGGGGATGCGGGAAGTAGCGGCCGAGTAAGAATATGGAGATGGTAGAAGACCTCGAGTGTCTAGTGAACATGTGTGAGCGATAGAGGGCGCGGGGCGAGTGCGCCTTCGTGAATCGTGATTGGTGGTCTAGTCCCCTTTTTCTTTCCTCGGGGGATGTGGAATCTGCTTCCCCGCTGCAAGTGATAGCTTGAGGAGTAACTTTCTTTTCTAGGCGCTGGAGGTCTCGAGGGTCACGTACTGTGGTAAGTTTGCTGCTGCGATAGCAGCGTGAGAAGCGAAACGAAATGCGAACTTTTCTTTTCTTTCTTTTCTTCATGCTCGTGCATGCTCGAACCCGTTATGCTTAATTCCCGTGCCGTTTGCTCCCCCATCTCATCTCCCAATCTCCCACTTCGCCCACTTGCCTCTTCCTTACCCCCAAACCTCGCGCCCAGCTAAAACGATCGCCCACCTGCATCTGCATGTGCATCTCCAGCTCCAGCTTCTCAAACCTTCCAGATCGCCCCGCGCATCTTCTCCAACCTTCCTGATCGCCAAACCCGCCGCGCAGGGGCCCCAGCTGCTCGGCGGCAACAAGACCCGCCATCCCGGGCCAGCGAGCCAGCTGAAACGCATCACGCACCGGCCCCTTGCATTAGCGGCGGCGGCGGCGATCAGGGGTTTTCAGAAAAGCCGGCTTGTTTCGGATCCCTGTCAGTATGTAGTTGCTTGAGTTTCTTTTTTTCTGGAAAGAAGGAAGGCCTGCATGCATGGTATTAAAAGGAAGGGCGAATCAAAGGCGAAGACTGGGGAGTAGTGAGCAGCTTGGACTGGTTTTCGGATAATCCAGAACGAGGGGAGGGAGGGAAGTAAGGGAGATCTGATCTGCGCAGCTAATGCAGCGACGTCGATATTCTTGGCAATATTTTGTGAGAGATACACAGCATGCCTATCTACTGTGTATGCACAATGCGGTGCGACGGCTTTGTGGCTGAATGCGATTCCTGCGCTGCACTGCGCTGTCATCGTCACTCTACATATCGATACGTACACACGCTTTACATGACTTAGAAACGCCTCATCACTATGCATTGGCTTGCTTGACGTTGTCTCATGCTGGGGAAAAAAAGAAGGCGATCTGCATCCGGCCAACTGCAGAAACATTCGAAACTCTATCATAAGAAACTCTGTTGTGAGAAACATTAGTGCAAAGTCTCGAGTGTAATAAGCGCGTGGGGGTCAGCTCTGAGTAGCTTCCAAACGCGCTGGATGCCCCAACGCCCCGATGTGCAAGTGCTGCCGGCTTCGTGTTTGCCCAAGGATTTATTCTTCGATGGAGGGCATGCTATCGCATAGCATAGAATAGCATAGCAAGCATAACATCGCAATATGATAGCTTGTTAAGAGTTACATTTCGACTACTGCGGCATTGCTGCCTCGCGCAACGCACGCATTTCGGTACCCCAGTACTCAAACTAGGCACTATGATACTAGTACAATAACACCCTGTTCCATCCCAATCCGATCAGAGGCAAGTATGCCCTCCATTACGCAGCGCCTCCAAGCAAACACCGACCCATAACCCAGCTATGCTCGGTGTGTGTCCCAACAAATATGAGATGATCCAGTGGAGGTCGCAGTCTAGCAAAGGAGGGAATGATCTGATCCAGCATATAATCCGCAGAACCGCCCCGAGCCAAACCAACATTGTACCCTACGTTTCTCTCGTGAGATGAAGTGAGAAAGGAAAAGACCGGGACACCAAAGAGGTATATTGCTGAGTTGACTAGTAGTAAAAAAGAAAACGAGGCCGTGGTCGCACATGGGAGAAAATCTGAAGAGGTGACCCAAAGAAGAAATTATCGCACTAAAAGGGGCGTAGTAGAACAGAGTAGAACAGAGTAGGTGAGAGATATTGCTGCTTTTGACCAGGCGCCGTGACAGTGAAACTCCCTAATTGGCTAATAGAGGAAGGAGAAGCTTTAGAACATGGCGCCGTTCATGTTGCGCTGAGGGTTGGGGTTTACATGGATAGGTCGGGGTGGCGAGTTGTTGCGTCCGAAAGGAGTTGTTGGCGTAGCCGGGCTGGCTCCAGCCTGCGCCTGCGCTGTGCCGTGCAAACTCTTTCCTTCGCTTGATGTCTGTCTTAGTCGTTGCCTAGGCAATTGTGTTTGGCTCGATAGTGCGTCAGACGAATTCGTCCGCATTGGATCCGCGAACGGGGCGTGAGGTGCACCCAGTCCAGGATGAATGCCCGGATCATGGTACTCTGACCGGCCAAGGCCGAAGCGTCGCCTCTTAGGATTGATGGGAGGAACTGGCGGGGGCGTTTGTATGCCGTTCTTAAGAGAAGCTCCAGGCGGCAGATTGATAGTGTCGATGACCGAGGTCGTAGATACGAAGACAGGCTCGGAAATGTCAGACTTAGCAATCGACTTCTTTCGCAGGGTGCCGATCTTCGCCATCGGCTGCGGCGCCGCGTTAGGATTGAAGGCCGGCGCAACTGGCGTTCCTGGGTTGGACACAGGCGGAGTGTTGTTGGCCGAGAAAGGGGGTACGGGCGAGGCTTGTGGACGGAACGCGTTCAAGCTCGGGCTCGGATTGCCAGGTGAGGGGCGAGGCGAAGCTGGAAGGCCGGGGGAGAACTGTGGTGGCTGTGGGCTATGACCAGCGGGAGAAAGTCGAGGCGAAGCTCCATTGACGGGTCCGTGGCCAGTATGGATTGGCTGGAGATGCTTCGACTCGAAATAGTTAGACGCAGCGGTTCTGCTATTGCTCCGCGATCTCAACCGGCCTTGACTATCCAGTGATGGCCTCTCCGCGGGGAGGGGCTGGGTTGTATTGGCAGCGTAGCCAGGGAGAGAGGGAGACGAGTTTGGAGGGTACATGGTGGTCCTAGATCCGACACCTTCCGCCATAGCTTGCTCTAGATCGTCACGGTACTGTCCGGGCCGGCTGCGGGAACGGCCAGAGGAGACCTCAGAATTTGACCGATCTCTCGTAGATGCTCTGCTGGATGAAGGCGGAGACCTGCCCTGGGGTCGCGGATCTCTGCTGCTATCGTTGGTTGCGGAACGCTGCCGGCTCTCTTCGCGCTCGCGCTGGGCATCCCTCTCACTTTGCTGAAGCATGCGCATGGGCTTCTGTCGCAGCGACTGCCCTTCAGGCCTCCAATGATCCCCTGCTAGAGACGTGCTGCTGCCATTCGCCGAGTTGGCCCCAATACCGAGCATCTTCATCGCTTTAGAAGGAGCCTCCTGCTGCCTGTGGGCGTCGACCGTCGCAAACGACTCCCGGCTCGATTTTGCGCGAAGCATACTTAGGGCTGTCTTGAGTCCGCCAGATGATGTTGGTGCAGGGCTTGTTGATCGGCCTTCGGCCCTCGCTCTGAGGCTTTCCTGAATGGCGCGCTGGCGTTGAACGAGATCCCGCTGGAACGCTTCATGTTCCTCCACGCTATCACCACGTTGATGTGTCTTCTCCTCCTCCTTCTCCCAAAGAGGCTTATCGTTGATCGGCTGCGGTTTTGGCTTGGGTGCATCGACGGGGCTCACAGAGCTCACGCTTCCTCGTTCGTTATAGAACGGGTTGCTTTCGATATCATCCAGGTCCCAAGGATTAGAGTGACTGTAGCTTGAATGTGCTGGGGTATCAGTTTCCGAGGTAGGCTGCCGTCGCTGGAGACCAAAATTCTGCGTCTGCAAGGGGGGCGGGCTCATTATACTCTGACGGTTATCGCCGTAGTCAGATGAGACATTGCTGACGTTTCGTAGATGCTGTCGAATGAGGCCGCTGAGACCACCATTGTTGGGACCCAGGGTGGGAGAATCTATATCTGCGTCGTCTGGCTTACCTGCAGGGTCAGCCTGGGGAGATGAGCGGGGTTCATCCTGCCGGGGTCGCGACGGACTGCGAGAAGGCAGTGGCGGATGGTCGAACTTGTCCGGGAGCCGGGAGTTACTCCGCGAACGTAGAGCGGGATGATCCAGAATCGGGGGAGCTGGTCCAGTCGCGGTGGGAAGATTCTCGATTCGTCGTCCCCGCTCAGGAATCTTGGGCAGGACTGGCTGAGGAGCTTCTTCCTCGTCATCGCTTGAGCCAGGAGATGCGAAGAATGTTGCTCCTTGCTGAGAATCAGGGGATTGGACGTTCATCGTCGACGGCTCTGGCTGCGGGCGTGGCGGATGGGTGGCGGTGGTAGGTGAACTCTTCATTTGATTGGCTGCCGACTGGAACACCGAAAACGGAGATGGTGCATGTTTCTGCTCAGATGTCGACTCGGATCGCTGTCGATCAGTCGCCGCAGTCTCGGCACGTTTCCGTTTCTCAAGTTCGGCGCGCTCGCGCAAGGAGGGCTTCCTAGGGTTGTCCAGCTTCGGTACCGAGGCGTCGCGCTCTTGCTGCAACTGCTTGAGACGCTCGGCATACCGCTCTTCGCTAAATGCCTGCTTCGGCTTGTTGAAGGCACCCATGGCGGTTGCCTTTCCTCGATCTTGAGGTTGCAGTGCTGAGTTAAGCATCTGGCCATCCTCGCTGTCACTCGCCAAAGGGCTAGTTAGCGGAGGCGACTGTGGACGAGAGATGATAGGGCTTGATCCGCTAGACTGTGCATCCTTTCCATTCGGGATGCCGGGATTGCCCAGTGCGGTTGGACTTTCGGTGCGGAAGACGGGACCCCGGTTGAACCGGTCGTTCAGGTTTGTCGCAGATCTTGTTTGAGAAAATAGTAACGGCGGGGTCGATCGGCCTGTGGGAGCGCGTGTTCTTTGAATAGAGTTGAGTCGGTTCAGTGCTGACGACTGCTGGTCGTAGATGTGCTGGTCCAGGCCTTGGTCGTACAGCCTGCGGGCCTTGGTGGTAGAGCGATTGAGCTCCACAGGCGACGTGGGTTGGGCCGAGTTGTTGAGAGCGGGCGAGGAACCAGCGACCGAATTCGCACCCTGTGATGCAATTGATGTTGCGGCGGTCGAAGTGCGAGCGTTGGTGCCGGAATTGGTGGATGATGATGTTTCCCTGCGCCGGCTGAAGCCCTCGGTGGACGGAGAGTAGGTATCCTTGGCGGGACTGGAGGGCTCGTATACGGTGCCCTGCTGCTCTTGAGCCTCCTGGGCGGCGAGTCGCTCCTTCTCTTGCTGGCGTAGCTTCTGGAAGGTGGACAGGTTCACGTCGTCCTCGTATAACGCTCTACCCTTGGACGACCCGCTACCCGAGATCTTGTAGATCTTCTGTCGCCCGCCAAACAAAATATTTCCCTCACCGGGTCTCGCCCGGCTCATCATGCTGCCAGAGCCATCGTCGGTATTGTGACTGTCAAACGAATTCTGCCGCTCGGTTGCGAAGGGCGGGCGAATTGAACCATTAAGCGATGAAACTTCGGCTATATCAGAGAGCCCTCCTGGGACGAAACCAAACTCGTGTAGACGGGACTGCCGTTTTGGTTGCAAAACACTGTCGTCGCTTGCCTTTCCAATCTTTGAACTCGGGTCGTCCTGTTCTCTCAGCATACTGAAGCGTGTTGACAAGCCGGGCATAATGAGACTCGTCCTGAAGTCGTCTATCTTTGGCAACGCCGCCGACAGGTCGAGCTCGGGCTTGGGCTCCGGCTGCGCCTTCTTCTTGTCCTTCTTTCTCGTGAGGAAGCGATTCATGGTGACCTGGTAACGTTAGACAGTTCCAGTCGAGCGATCAACCGCCTGAGCGACGAGCAGTAGCTCGCACGCAGCGATGGGCGGTCCATGTTGTGAGGAATGTCTTACTGAGGGTAGCAACCACGCTCTGGGGGGTTTACTATTGTCGAGCGAAGGTCTGCTGTACGGCCGTCACCGCCCTATGCAGTGCTTGCTGGCCAGAGCGGACGTCAGCAGGCGACTGGCAGTAGGATTGGGCGCAATGGTCTTCTATTCGTGCGTGTGAAGTTAGCGATGGGGCCTACATGTAGGTGTCCATCTGCATTCCTCGTGCTCTTTCCACCACCAACAACATGAACCAGCCGCACAGGAGGGAAGACGTACCCGACCAACACGACTGCGACCAATATCCTCTACCAATGGGTGTTGCGGGGGCGTAGTGCGGTATTATAGGAGACGGAAGCAGGCGCGAGCTCCATGCAGCATCCGACACGTCGGCAGCGATAGCGGGCAGTGGATTATAAAATACGTTTCGGGAGGTTTATCTCGGTGCGAAGGAATGTATTGTGTAGAGCGAAAGGAACGGGGTCTGAGACGTATGGCGCGGAACGTCTGGATGTCGGCGGCCCAGGAGCACCCGGATCGTTTCTCGAGGAGACTCGGCTGGCGGGAAAAGGCAGACTCTGTAAACGAGCCGATTATTGCGTGTCAAGGAGCGTAAGTAGCTGGCAATGGAAGGGTCGGGGAGCGGTGGGACGCCTGCGCGCGCTGCGGGTGCGGTGGTGAAGAGGAATGATCGTGCGTCTCCCGACCGGAGGGGAATGAGTGAAAGTTGGGCTCGAAGGAGTGGAACAGCGTGGGAGAAGAGCTGGGGGAGTGACAGGCCAGGAGCAGGGCTTCGATGGGCGTTTGAGTGCAGCGACCGGGGGGCCATTCACTAGGCCCAATTTCCACTGGGCTCATCTCCGACCACAGCACTGCACTGCTGCAGGGCCACCCAGTCATAAGAGGTGCGCCGGCGGCGGCAGACGGCTGCCACGCTGCCACGCTGCCACAGCGCCTGCGCCGCCGCGGGCCCTTTGCATTTGGCCTCTGGTGCGGCGGGCAGCAGCCCAGCGCGCGCCGTCGCGGGAGGTGCGACAAGAGGCCGCCGCCGGTGCGAAGCAGAGAGAAGCATCCCCAAACGGGCGCTAGCGAGCAGCGGGACCTGCAGCAGTGCGCGCCCAAATTTCGCAGCGGCGCGTGCACGCTTTCCGGGGAGATATCACACGCACGACGCATTCGCGACTCAGACGTAGCAGTGCGGAATACTTGTCTCCATAGGACAGGCTCAGCACCCAGTTGCAGTTGCAGCTCGAATGCATCGTGAAGCAGAATTCGAGCGTCGAGCCAATAGACGTGCGGAGCTGCGGGTGCCTGGGTGGGCGGCGCCGGAAGGAAGCTTTCCAGGCGATCTCTGAAGCTTGCTCCCTACAGCGCTGCACGACGACATGCCTGCGCTCGAATTAGATCTGTGTCGCCATCAGCGTGGCCGCCTGAGGTCTTAAGAAGCACAATGCCACAGTAGTGCTGCCCTCAGACAATCTACATGATGTGGTCTCTTCTGGATCATGGAGAGAAAGGGGCGCAAATACTGTACCTGACGCTAGGCCGGGAAGGCACGGCTACGCGAGCGAATCATCCGCGAACCGTAGTCATGGGCCCCTTCCCCCTGGCCTAACCGCCTCACATCTCGCCACGGCTCCTCTCCCGTGCCACTCACTTCCGCCTTTGTCGTCGCCGTCTCTGTCGCCGTGCGCGCAACTGCGACGCCAACTCCTGATCGTTATCGGCTGGAGGCCTCGACGATATACCTTTCGCACTTGCACTCGCTCCCCGGGACCCTCCAGGGCTCTTCGCCGACGCTCGCATCTCTCTTTACGCGGTACGCAGCCTGCAGCGTGACGCCCGGTAAGCGCCTCCGTGTCATCAAAAATATCGCCGTGGCTTTTGCTTGGTGCGAGCCGGTCCTGGTCGCTGCAGCTGCATCCACCACGCGGCATCTCGAGTCACCCTGCAGTCCGTTCAGCCTGAGTATCTTCACCAACCTCATTCGCATCGCCCTTGCCGTTTCGGGGCCGGACCGTGGGCGGCCTCGGTCAGCCTGCATTGCTGATGCGCGCGAGCTGCAGCAAACAGCAGAAGCCGAACGTTTTTCATGTATGCTCACGGCTTTTGCGAACTGCCGCCTGCGGGCCGTGTTTTGTTCGTTTGATTCCGTCCTTCTTCGTTTGTTCGTATTCTGCAACAGCCCCGGCGTTCAGTCCGTCGGACAGCCACAGACGGCTTGCCGAAGACCGCAAACGCTGCAAATGCGCCCACTTCATCATCGAAATTGAAATTTGCTGACCAATTCAGCAGAGGTGGAATTGCCTTCCCGCAGCCGCGGCAGACCAAATGATGAAGATCGGCCCCCGGAACCCCCAAATTGCTCCCGGATCCGCACCCACCTTTTACAGCCTTGCGCCATCGCCTGCACCCAATGGCTGGCTCGGTGCCCCAGACACGCGGCGTGGTCGCGAAAGGTGCGCGTGACGGTCTGTGGATAAACAAACCACGCGATTGCGCTGATGCAACCCGGTCTGTTCTCACTGCATGGGCAGCCCGCAGCTTCAAGAAGCGAATTCCGACTTGGAAGTCTGGGTGTGCATCTGAGATTCCGCAAGAGCCCGGTGATGCTCCTACACTGTCATTTCCATCAAGCCCAACGTCATCACCATTCGACATTACCGGGTCCTGGAGAGACAGTACTGCGTAGGGTGAAGCAGAGCCTGGGAAGGTTCCACGTGCGGAGAATGCCCCTCGCCAGCTGCCATCCGGCGATACGAAGTCGCGAAGCATGATCGCTGCAAGCTCATATGTAGCTTCACTCCGCTAATTTTCTGCCGTGAGGGGTTGTTACGAACCCCATCACGACATCAAGGATTGCCGAAGGAATGCCGCTCAAGATCCCGGAAATCATCAGCTCTCCGCTCCACCGTTACACGGCCTGAGCGGCGTCCGATCTATACGAACATAAGGCACAGAATGGCCCCTTTGACCGGTCAGTCGTCCGAGGTCACGCCTACGTAACGCTACGAACTACTCCGCCTGCAGGGAGAACCATTTGTTAGGCTCCACTTTCCATCATGCTAAACTCTCATAGAGTGGGGCATAGGGCGGCAGGCATTTAGCGTACGTTGAAGGCAAATCTCCCAACAACTTACATCGTGCGACAGGCGTCATTCCTGAGTCCCTACTAATCCGTAGGAAATGTGGGGTAATCGTCTTCCCGGATCAATCAAACTGAACTATTTCTCAGATCGAGAGATCACAAATCAACCAGTTCTGGGCGACCTTGCTCTTTGTCTACAAGACCCACTCTAAGAAGAGTTGGACGTTGCTGGAATCAAACTGAACTATTTCTCAGATCGAGAGATGAATGTCCCAAAATCTGTATTCAACAGCCGAAGTATCAGGGAGGACGCGTTCGGATCTTCACGGAAGCACTTCACCGCGTCCCTTAGATGGAGATACCGAGAACAAACAAAGCCCTCTCGTCGAACTACCAACGCCGACCGCCGAGAGAACCATACAAATCACTGCCCTAAAAAGCCTTCCCTCGAGCCATCCTCCAGGTGTCCCTGGGAACAGTCTCTTGTTGTCTTTCTATGACCTTTTTCCGTTCATGCCTGCGAAGAATGGCTCCGTATTACAAATTGAAGTCACAATCATTCTTCACCTTCACTCACTTCTCCGTATCTTTTGCTCCATGCTCATAATATCATACAGCTCATCAAATTCGCGCCTCAAGTGCAGCAGATAGTATCATCCCGACCTGCATTCTACTGTCCTCCGCGCACTGACGCATTACATCTCCAGTTCCATGGCGGGAAGTGCAGCACCGGGGTTGCTGATATTCATAGCACTCTTGCTCCGTAATACGTTGGTCCTTTTCTTCACACCCACTTCTGCTGCAGTCCTTTAGAGCGAAGCTTAAGCATGAGGATTTGGGCTCTAGGCTAGACATGAGGCGGTGATGCCGTGAACGCGTTGTACGTCTTTGACGGGGGAAGCTGAGCTCGGAGCGACGAGTATCTTTACAGACATCCACCACTTGTAAATAATTCTCCCAGAAAATGGCCATATCCTTTCCTCACGACACAAGGTAAGCCAGCTGCCTTACAAACGCTCGCTAAATTGGAATGAATATCTATTTCTACTTTTTACATCTTCGCTCTTTCAAAAAGGCGACGCCATACTCCCCTTCTTCCCGCTTGGAACATCATCCCATACCCAATGTATCCAACCTGCAAACCCTTTCTCTACAGCTCGTTGTGCACCGGCGGCGCCGCGTGCTCCCCCTCTTTAATCCCACACACGGCCGGCGTGCCCATCTCCATGCGATACACGCACTTCTCCTCCTCCACAATCTTCCAAATCTCGTCCTTCTCCGCGCACGCCAGGATAACCTGGGTGCTGCGACTCGGCCCATTCCAGCAATGCTGGCCGTTCTCGTACTTGAGCACGTAGCGCTCCCCGGAGCCCAGCCCCTTGCCGTCCACCGGCAGATCGTCGTCCACGCTGATCTTCTCGATGCGCACGAAGTTGCCCATGCCCGTGTTCCCGCCGCCCTTCTTCGGCTTCTGCGTCGTGCGCTCGAGGATGCAGTGCTCGTATGTGTACTCGCCGCTGTCTTTTTCGACGCATTGGCCCTTCAGCGCGCGGAACACGCCGTCGGGCCCGTAGTCTTTGGACAGGTCGTCTTGGTGCTTGGTCAGTTCGGACCGGTCGTTGTTGAGCTCCTGCGTGGCGGTGCTGAGCTGCGAGCGCGCGTCCGTGACGGCTTTGCTTTCGGGCGTGTCGGTGTGCGGGTCTGCGAGGATGCCGTTTTCGATCAGGAGGACGCGCAGGTCGCGCAGTTTGGCGTCGAGCCAGGTGCGCAGGGGGGTGGGGAGGTAGGCTTCGAATTGGTAGACTGGCAGGGGGTTGTTAGCGGATGTGTGGAGGGGTTCAATTTGAAGCGTTGATGAGGCAAGACTTACGGACGTCAACGTCGGACTCTTCTTCGCCTTCGAACTCTTCCCAGTTGATAGCACTCTCGGAATCGGGCTTGAGCAGCTCGTCAAGATCGCGGTCGCGAGCATCGTCCGGGGCGGGTCTCTCTTGCGCAGCGTAATCCTCCCAAGCCTTGACGGCCCGCTTGACACCCTCGTCGTTGAAGTTGGGATTATACTCCTCCTTGAAGCGCCTGAGTATGCCTTCCAGCTCTTCAATCCGTGATCTCGCCGTATCCCTCTCGCCCCTGACCCTACTCATATTTTCCGTCAACTCCTGAATCCGCTCCTTTGCCAGCCCACTCAACACGCCCAACTTCCCGCCCTTCCCCGCAGCCCTAACCACCTTGCCCTTCTCCGCCCTTTCAATCTCGGCCAAGTTCTTCTCCAATGCTGCGACCTTCATCTCCTGCCCCTGCATCTGTGTCTGCAACGTCGAGATCCGATCCTCGACCTCCTTCCTCAATCTCTCCGCCTCAGTGACCAGCTCTTTCCGCCGCCTGTTCGCAGCACTAAGACTCTTCTGCCGCGCTTCATCCTGCTTCTTCCACTCCTTGCCGATCTTCGCACAGCGGTCCTCGCACTTCACGCCGCCCACGCCCTCCCATTCCTCGCTGCCGTCACAGCACAGCTCGTAATCGCACACGCCATCGTTCACGTTCGTAAACGGCACGTAGCTCGGTATGTGGCCCTTGTTCTTGCAGTAGAAGCCGGGCAGGGCTAGTGTCTCGTTGAACTGGCCGATCTTCACCCGCGAGGGCTGTGGCGGCGAGAGCGGCGAGATGTAGGAGCAGGCCGAGGTGCCTGGCTCGTCGGAGCCGTCGGGGCAGTCGCAGTAGTCGTCGTTGAGGCGGGCGATGTCCAGCTTGATGGAGGGGTTCGAGATGCAGGTGAATGACGCCGCGTCTTTGTAGAATTTCGCAACTGGCGCTGTGTCAGCTCTCGGGCTTCCAATTGCGGTGTTGTGGTGAGCTTCAGGGAAGCTTGAGGTGACTTACACTCTGGGCCTACGCCCCGCGGCCGAGGCGGATCCGATGCCGCGTTTGCGGAGGCGAACAGAAGAGGTAGGAGGAGGGCAATTGGAGAGAGGCGCTGCGTCCCCATGGTTGAGGTTGGGTTGTGGAATTGGAGCTCCTGCTGAGCTGCGACTCGACGTGCCACATTTCATGCTCGGGGGTGTCGGCCAATCAGACGGATGTCGGGGCTTGGCGTCGTACCGTCTATTCCCACTTCAATCCAACCTCTTCGCTCACCACCTTACCACCACTATCAACCGCATATAGCCACTGCTCTACTCGTTACTACTGAAGGACACCAGATGAGCGACGGATCGCAATCCAGTGCTCATGAGAACCGCTGCCGTCGATAATCGAGTGTCTTCAAGAAAGGGAAGCCTTGCCTCATGGGCGATCCAAAGGGCTTCACACAATGCCAGATTCGTGTCTACGGACCGCTCTGCTCCTCTCGATGGGCGATTCTAGCTAACAGTCGGTAACATGTGCTCAAGTCCAACCCTTTTCGCGTCATGGAGAGGTCCACCTACCTTCCGCTGCAACATCGACACCAATTTGCCGCTTTCGCAATCTACGGAGTGCCTTCACTGGGGGCTTTGCACAACCAAACTGAAGACATGCAACTTCTTTTCTTCCTCTTATGTTTTTTTTTGTTTTCTTTCCATTACGATGAACCAGGGCCGAGTTCACACCAAAACCCATGGCGAACGGCACGACCATGAGTGGCATGAGAGACTTCTTTATAATCTTCTTCATCTTTTGATCTCACATTTCTACGCACTTTACAGCCGTCAAATACGACGGAAGGGGCCCTCCGTGCCTAGGTCTGAGTCGGTGGGGGCCCGCTTGTCAGGTTCATCACCCGACTAATATTGCTGCCTGGTATTGCCTTTATTACATCACGTTCTCATACACTCACATGATTTCAGACGCGCAAAACACCGAGCAATTTGGCAAGATACCTACCGGGTTCGCACATGGGTGACAAGCTGTCGTCAGGGAAATCTTGGTGCGCACAAGCTTCATGTGGTATCCGCCACTCTTCCCGGGATCGACATGCCGAATTTCCAGCAGAAATTCCAACGGCGAGCAGCGCAAAGTCAATCACTGCCGAGTGATCTCTCGAGTCACCCTTGCCCACCGCTTGCATACCCACCTTTCAATGCCATTTCTATTTTTGTCTTCCTATCCACTATTCCGGAAAGACCGCACTACAAACGCAGGAGTACGGAAGCTCGACGGCATCGACCGTATCACGCGGCCAATCAAGCCGCCTACAGCATCATTTTGTCCCCATGGGCAAGAATTGCGTGGCGACGGATGCGTGGGATATGAGCCCGCATATGGAACCCGGTAACGAGTGCGCTGGAAGCAAACGCTCAATTTTTGCCTCCGCTATGCATAATTTCGGTTTCCGCCGTCGACATGAGGTCCCCACGTATTGTCATAGTCCCCACGTCTCGTGCAGTCCGTTTGCACCAGGCAGAGGGACATGGCAGGCGTAATGAGTTTTGTTGGCCAGCCTGGCGCCTCTCGTTGCCTTCGCGTTCACAACATTTGTCCATTCAACAACTCTTTCGTGGCTTTCAATCTTCACATACTCTCCTGAGACATGGCGCTCGAGATAGAAGACGAGGTCGATTGGAGTGATGGCTCCCTCGAGCCTTCATTTCCGACTTCGGTTGATCCCACACCTGAAACTACCCCTCCAGCGTCTGCAGTCCGGCAAGTACCACAGAAGTCCGCCATCTTCGAGCCTGAGGAACATGAGGAACATGATCTACCATTTGGAGTACCTCTACCGAGTATGTGTCACGGTCGTGTCTTTGAAAAAGACGCTTACCTCGGTCAGATTTGGCGGGAGCCCATTTCCAGAGATTTCAGAACAAGAACGGCATCTCTAGGGCGCAGCGGTCCAGGATCGGAGTCCACTTCAATCGCCGTGAACCGACCAAAGATGACTATTCCAACTTCGTCCTGTATCAAGCAAATCAGAAGACATACGAGGTCATGTTCGTGAAAACCTTCGTTGCTCATGCGCTGCATCCCGATCAGCTGGAGCAGTGTCTGAGCGACAGCAATGATGGCTGCAATAAGCTCAAGAACTATCTGCAGTCGGTGTCGAACAACGTGAACCAGATCGTGTCCAAAATCATATGGAACGCTCACTCGCGCACTGTCAATTTGCTCGCCAATGACGAGAAAGAGGGCGCTCATTTCTGGGACATTCGACGGTTCGACCATAGTATGTTCCGTGATTTCTACCCGGAGAACACGTATCCAGCGGCCCAGAGGATGTACGAATCCTGGCATCGAGCTTTCGGTACACCCCCGATGGTCCGCTACACAACAAAGGACTATCCTATCGGCAAGCATTGTTCACCACTAGAGGAGATCGATGAGGTCGCCGAACTACTCTTTAATCACAAGGCTTTCGGCGCGACTTTACCCACTGGCCAGGTTGTCAAGCCGCCTTCATCGAAGAAGCAAAAGAGTCGCAATCTGCCTGGAGCAGCTTCTCGTGCCGAACGGAATGCCGCGCCGCGTGATTGGCTTGGCGACATCGTGCGTCCCAGTATCGCAGATGGTACGGGGACCAAGATTTGGCAAGATTCGGCAAGAAAATCGATCGAGGCAGATGAGCTAGATTCAATTATCGGGCATGATGAAGAGGATGTGTTTGCTCAGGATGCCGGAATCGACCTCGACGAATCTGGTATATTTGATCCCTTGGTGCTGTTGCATTCTGATATTAACAATCACCCTGTAGATAATCTCTTCGCGCAACTCGTTACTGCGGCGGCGTCACCGTCCACCCTTCACCCAGGAGCCGACAGGAACCTCGAACCCGAAGAAAATACCCAGCTAGAGACGCATCTAAGCGCAGAAGACGAGGTACGTATCGACCGAACCTCAAATGCGCGTGGATGGAGGATCAAGCTTATCGAAGATCATAAGCGGCGACTAGCCGAGAGGTGGCCTCGCTCACAGACACAGTCCCAGATCCCGCCTTTGACGATTCTGGACGTGAAGACTGCCGTTGAAAATGCCGTAGCCCGAGGCATTTTGATGGCCGCATCTGCTGGCGTCCAGGAGCAGATTGACACCGCTGCGAACACTCAGCGAAATAAACAAGTTCAGATTGCTTCCAGACAGAAGGAGCCAGCAACCAGAGCTCCAGAGAACGTAAAGAAGCGTTCACAGAAAGTCTTCGCCAGGGGTCACCAGCAGAAAAAGAGAGCCATCCGGCCCGGCCCATCAGACGGCGCTCCAAAGAAGAAACAAAAGAGGACACGGGGCGCGACCAGTACCGGGGAGTCCTCGAACAAGACTCCGCCGAAGAAGTCCAGCAAGCTCAGCGCTCCGGGTTATGATTGCGCACCTCAACCGACTCACCCAAGCGGCTCGAAGACCCTGGAGCACCATCAGCTCTTACCGCCCGAGGCATACTTTGAGCAGACCTACGAAGGAGAGAAGCCAGTCTGGCGCTGTGGCATCAAGCACGCTATGGGCTACTACTACAATGCCGGAGATAGGAAGAACTGTCCTGGCTGTTTCACCTCCGTCAACGAGAATCCCCGCCTCAAGTGGATGGACTTCTATATGCCTTCTTATTCCCATTTCCATCAGCCTGCACCGGACGTGACCTGGAAGCCGAGCAAGCCTGTGGGCAGGGTCAGACGCTCTAAACATCTGTCTCACAACAGCATCGCCAAGGAGGCATACTGGGAAGCGTTCAATGCTGGCGCTACTGAGGATGAGGCACGCCAGAAGGGCGTTGAGGCTGTAGAGGAGCACCTGCGACCCAAGCCCCCACGCGAACCAACGCCCGAGCCAACACCTGAACCCAGCCCGGAGCCAATTGATCTGGGTCCTCATCCCAGTGGCTCGGCGACAATGGAGCACGGTCAGGATATCCCAGACTGTGCTTACTTCGAGAAGCAGGAGAGGCATGAGGAGTTTGCCTGGCGCTGTGAGGTCAATCACGCCCTTGGACGATACTACCTCGCTGGCGACAAGCGAACTTGCCCAGGCTGTGGATCGAACCACTCAGGCGTGGCTAAGCACACCGAAATGGACTTCTATATGCCTCCCGGGGTGGTTGTGCGACAGGAAGCACCAGGTCTCGTGGAGTGGCACCCTCGCAAGCCTTACAAGTCCAATCGTGAGAACAAGCCCAGTCGCAAGGTTGTACTTTCGCATAATCAGATATGCTCGAAGAAGTACTGGGACGCTATCGACGCTGGGAAAGAGCATAATGAGGCGCTGGAGTTCGCCGTCAAGGAAACGGATGCTTATGTCGACGCCAAGAACGAAGCGATTCAGAACAAGCAAGCGAAGTCCGTGGAGAGCGACAAGTCGCCGGAGTCTCAAGAAGCGACCCAACCGGAAGATGGCTCCTCGAGCGACAGCGAGACTGAGCAGACCGATACGGCCGGCAACGATAGATTGCGGCGCAATTCGGACGGAGGCGTTATCATCTCGCTCGTACCAAGGAAGCGTAGGAGCGAGGAGCTCAGCGAAGACGAGAACGATGAAGTCGAAGAGTATCAGGCCAAACGGGATTCGGAAACCCCAGTTCCAGATGTTATCTACATATCTTCTGAAGATGAATCCTCTTCGGCTTCGGACAGTGAGTAGGGGACAACGGGAACATGCGGTTCGACGGGCGGTGGGCTTTGGTATTGTTCACGACTTGCATGCTTGAACGGCTTCACTGCTATTTTATGTTTCTTCTTGGTTTTCGGGCCTACAAGGATCATCCGGGGGTTCCGGAGATTGGATTGGTTTTTACATGGTTTGGCCCGTGCGGCGATGGTTTTGGTGGTGGTTGCGAGCGTACCCACCCACTCCACTCTTTTCCCATTATCCTTTTTTCACTTGATCGGTCATTCAAACCATTAATATGGCATATAGGACAGACAAAATGATATCATCACTTTCAGCAGTCTCCTCTGTCTCGGTACCGTCACTATCCCACTCCCCTGCTCGTGCATTTCAACAAACGCATGCATCGTGGCTGAGCTCGTCGTTAGGATTTACCCCCTACCAAAACGGGAAGTAGACGAGGACTGTTTTCTCCACCGCCAACCTCCGATTGGGCAACACGCGAAAGGAGCGGACTCAATCTATCCCCTCCTATCGTTCCTGATATCCGGGACGGTCGACAAACTTGCTTAGGCCCGCGACGCGTCCGCTTCTCCACCGCAGGCCGCACCTCGCCTGCCTTCCTCTCGATGCCTCAGTTTGATGGCATGGCCTCTCGTTTTCCATGACAAAAGCATGAAGCTTTGTATCGCGTCTTTCGTTTGGTTTGTGCTTCGTTTGGTGGTATTGGTCGAGGGCGCTGCTGGTATGTCCTGAATTTCGGTGCTCTCATTGTCGCTTTCGTCGATTGTCCTGCGCTTCGACTCGTCTTGCATTACTGTCGCTGCTCAGTCGATCTCAGGCTGGAGGAGAAATCAGATCGCTCCTGCTGAATTGCTCAAGCTAGATCGAAGAGCACTCCATTGACTTGACCATTAGATTGCTCGCCGGCGTCCGGATCCCTCACCATAAAAACCGCACAAGATGTGTCCGACCTTACCACATGCACTTCCTTCACCGGCAACATTGTTGTCGCCGCCGACGGACCCCAGGACATCCAACTCGACGGCGTCACGTCCGTCTCTGGCAACATCGACATCGAAAACGTCGCAAAGCTCCGCTCTTTAACTTCCACTTCTCTGGAAGCCGTATCTAGCTTCACGCTAAACAGTCTCCCCGCGCTATCCACACTCACTTTTCCCGCCTTGAAGAACTTTTCGTCCTTGAAGTGGTATAATCTCCCGTCCCTGGAGCAATGCAAAATCGCTACCGGCGCCATCGACGGCGAAATCCAAGAAATCAGCATCTTTAATACATCCCTAAAGAGTCTTGACTGGCTCACCTGGCCCATCGGCGCAGCACTAAACATCACATCCAACTCAAACCTACAATCGTTCGGCATCCCGTACAGTTCCATCAATGCGAACAGCGCTTACACACTCACTTCGAACCCCTCGCTCGCTAGTGTCGACGTCTCCTCCCTCACCGGCATCTATGGCGGCCTCGAAATCTCCGGGAATGCTGTGAAGACGTTGGACTTTTCGAAGCTGCAGACGATTGGCGGGTTTGTGCAGTTGAGCGGTGATTACACGAATGTGAGCATGCCGGTGCTGAGCGGGATCAACGGCGCATTGAGTGTGGAATCCACCGAAGACATCACTGCACTGTGTAGCAATCTCGCGCAGAAAAGACTGGCGGGCCACTACGACTGCACGCCAAATGCGCAGAAGAGCGCCTCCAACCCTACAGCCACAACGAGTTCTGGAGCCCCGACAGCTACGGCCACGACGCCACCTACTCCCAATGAAAATAGCTCAAAGAGCAGCATAAGCAACGCTGTAAAAATCGCCATCGGCATCGCCACACTAATCATCACGCTCCTCTTCCTCACCGCAGCATTCTTCTTCTTCCGCCGCCGCTCGCGTGCCAAAGTCCGCGAGATCGAACCCTCCTCGCACCGCTCCTCCAGCGCAGACCCGTTCGCCAAGTCCAAATCCGCCGAAGCCAACGCCTTCGAGCTCGAAGAATCGGACTACTCCAGCAACCCGACTTCGCCGAAAGAGCTGGAGGCGCCTGGCATACGGCTGGAACTGGCGAATGGGAGGACGCGGCAGGAGATGCCGGCTGGCGTGATGCCGCACGAGCTGGAGGCGTGGCATGGGCGGTGCGAGATGCATAGTCCTGCGATGAGTACCGGGAGCGTGAATAGTATTACGCCGCTGGTGAGGCATGAGTTGCCTGCTTGAAGAGGGGCAGGGGTGAAGACACGATTGGGTGATGAGAAATACTGCCAAGAGCGTGATAATGTATGGGGAGCCGATGCACACTGCATGCGCGAGCCATCAGCATTCCGGTTCGACGACAGGCCTCCAATGACTTGTGCGGTGCGTGAGGAAAACATCCGAAGGCCATACCCGACGAAACGTACGATGTGCCCTCCGAAACGAGCTTAGCTCACCCGGTCGAACTAACCGACCCAATAGGACGCCGTCACCCTCCACCAACCTCGCATCGAGACACGTCGCTCGGCACACCTCCCCTCTATCGCGGTAGCTCGGCTCGCTTACTCGCTTGCAACCACACGGAGGAATTGTGGCGGGGGTGTCGAATACGGTGTACTTGTACTGTACCTGCGTGAACGCGGTGATCTTATCCCTTCCGAAGGGCCCGGTACCAAGGTCCCGCCGGTATCTTAGCACCATGTGGTAGAACATGCGCTACGGAGCGATCTCTCGGTTGCTGGGAACGGGTTCTAGGCCTGGAAATGTTTTTGGGAGTACGGCTGGGAAAAGGGGTCGGCAGAACGTTTTATGCTAGAGGAAGGAGGTACTGCGGAAGGAAAGGGATGAAGAGCACTCGTCGTGGAATGGCACGAGGACGTCAAGAACTTCAAAACTTCAAATTAGAGGCTTCCTCCGCCCGCGTGGAACAACGTCTTTGGTTCCCATAACACACACCGCGCTACACAAATCGTACATGTCCAAAGTTGCTCATAATATCATGTGGTATCAAGTCCCTTCTTCTCCTCTCCAAACGGCATTTCAGTTTGTAGCATTTCCCATTACCAATGCCCCCTTTACACAGCCTCCGCCTTCTCAATCCCCTCGCCCCCATCCTTCATCTGCAGCCTCTTCGCCACATTCATACTCAAATACTTCTCGAAATTCGGGCTCAGACAGCTAAACACAATAAGCAGCACGCCAAACGGAATAGTCGCATAGAACACAATCTTAAAGCTGTCGATATACGCGTGCTGTGTCGCCGCGCCCGTCGCGGCAATGACGTCGGGCGTGATGCCCGGCACGGCGGAGAAGTTGCCCGCGGTGATGCCGGCGAAGAGCGCGGGCAGCGAGGAGGCCGGTAGGCCGGCGCCGGTCGCGGCGGGGGCCACGTATTGCGGCAGGTAGGTGGCGACTTTGTTGGTGAGGATGGAGACGTAGACGGTTTGCGCGACGGCGCCGCCGATGGCGCGGATGCTGCCCAGCACGCCCGTGGCGAGCCCGATGTCTTGCGCTTCCCAGAGGAGCGTGACGCCGGGGAAGCTGATGTTGTCGACCCAGCCGATGACTGTATCGCGTGTTAGTTGATAGAGAAAGAGAGAGAGGGAAGGGGGTGGAAGGCAGAACACAACGTACCGAATGTAGCGAGGACGCCGAGTGTGATGAACTGCGCGTATCCATCTGCACGCAGACTCGCCTCTGCAGCGAGGAACGCGGTGCCCATGCACGACAGGATGATGAGCTGCAACCTGATCTTGGGCAGATACGAGAGCGCGAAACCGCCGAATACCTGGCCGAGCAGGATGCCGCCGCCGACGACCGACGACGCCCAGCCGATCTTCTTCGAGTCGGTCGTGTACACGGTGCCGAGGATGGTGGGCCAGAGCACCGTCAGGGCGTAGTAGACCATAGCGCCAACAGTAGCAACCATAACGATGGCGACATAATGTAGATTCTTGAACAGTCGCGGCGGCATGATCGCCTGGCCCTTGAAGACGAACTGCTCGTACAGCGCGAAGGCAACGAGCGTCACGAAGCCGAGCACAATGGTGCAGAGCACGGCGGCGGATTTCCAGGGATACGTGGTGCCGCCCCAACTCAAACCGATCAGGAAGATGACGGTGCCGGCGATGAAGAGGAAGATGCCGACGAAGTCGAGCTCCTTGAACTGCTGCCACTTGGTCTTGCCGGAGACGTGCAGCTGGTCGTAGGTCGGCGGGTGGTAGAGAAACTGGTAGAGGATGAGGGTGATACCCGAGAGGATGATGCCGAGGTAGTAGGACCAGCGCCAGCCGGCGGCGGTGTTGGTGATGAATGTCCGGGCGATGATGGGTCCGAATACTAGATTCCCTATATCAACGCACGTTCTTTCATGAATGAATGAAACACGCGATCACGGACTTACCAGCAAAAGGCAGCGATGACAGAAACACTAGAGTGACGATTGGTCCTCTGTGCTTGTTTGGCACCAGCTCGCCCAGCACAATACCGAAAGACAGCTGGCCCGCAGCCGCAATCCCGTTCATCAGGTTCGCTCCGACCAGCGTATCGATGTTCTGCGCAGTGCCGCCAACGATGCATCCCGCAAGGCCTAGGACGCTCGTGCCCATAACCATCCATTTACGGCCGAAGATATCGGAAAGACGCCCCACGAGGAGGAATCCGATTGCGCTGCCGATTGTCCAGATGGTAGCTACCCAGTTCAGGTCTTTTGAGGGTCCAATATCTGCGTTGATGAGGGTGCTGGGCAGGAGTTAGCAAAAGGAAGGTTGATGATAGTGGTTCAGTGAGGGGGGGAAGAAATAGTGACGGCTTCTGTCGGGCAATATGGCATGAAAGTTGAGTAGGAATTTGGAACATACAGAGTGTTGGCTGGAAGGACCCATCCGAGATAGGCGCAGATACTGCCGCAGCAGACAGCCTAGTGGTGTGATTAGCGAAGTTCTATGGTGCTTCTCCACGCTAATGGATTGCCTGCAAGCGTGCGTGGTGTGATGCGGCGTGCTGAAACCTCGACTCAGGGAAACGTACTATTACAGTCCCTATAAACTGCACACTCCAGAAGTAGCCTTTGGGCATTTCATCCAGCTCGCCTCCGATAGCGTGCGTGTCGACGAGATCGACATGGCCGTCAGCGTGGACCTTCTTGACGACATGGATATCCTCGACGTGGTCCGTAGAGACGTTATGTTTCTCGTCTGATTCGGCCATGGCTGTAGTTTCTCGTCGCCGGTACAATGAATTGAAGGGAAGAGAAGTCAGAGAACAGGACGTGTGGCGTGTCGGACGAAATCGGCCCTATTACGGGGAACGCTCCACCGAAGTAATCCAGGCGACCCGTGGCCGTTGATGTTGACTGGCTGTCGCACGCAGACGAACCGTGGGACGTTGTCCAAAGAAAGTGCGAGTACAACCTTGACTGGCGTGTATGCTGCGTACCAGGTCCATGGGAAGAGGCGAGCAGATATAAAAAAAATCCCGGGCTACGCGGAAGACGTCTACCGGGAGCGCGATTCGAGTCAACGGCTCTAGGTCAAGCAGGGCGTTCCAGATTGAGCGTCCAGGGCCCATGCCCTCGCATCCTTCGCCGAGGCGTGGAGAAACTGGGGTTGAGCCGATGCGGGGGCCGCCGGGACTAGCAGGGTTCTAGGCACAGCACGAACTTTTAGTGGCTGAGGCCGCGTCGCCGAGCATCCGCGATGGATGGAGGCGCACCACGAGGATTGTTCCGCGACTTTTTACGTGCATTCTGCAGGATGGGGAACGTGGGTAGTCGTGGTGGTCGTCTGTGGTCGGGATGTGCCTGATGAGCACGACCGAGTGCAGAATGCGTCGACCTGTCAAGTGCAGTTGTACCGGCAGGACGGTTCAACATCGCACCAGCAGTTTGTAATCTCGTTCTGGACACTGGAAGAGATTCTGCGGCCACTGCCACATAAGGCTCGAAGATGGAACCACCACTACGGTTGAGGTCGGAAGGCTCAAGCTTCGCCAACATCGAAAAGTGCAAGGCCGCACGAGCCGAAAATAGAAAGCCATGTACATACCGTACCGATCTCTCAAGGCCGGGTTCTCATGCCTAGATTTGCAATTAGTATGTGGCCAAGCAGAGCAGAAAGCAGTCCCGGAAACTAGGATGATCATCGATTCCACTCCTTTTGCTCCACGAATCCGGGAATACGGTCAGCGGTTGGAACGCAACAGCTCCGGGAGTCTGGAACAAGTTTCTAAAGCAGACCGCGCTACTTTAGTCTCCGCTCCGGCCACGCAATACAGTAACAAGGTGCCTTCGACGAGGTTCAGACCATCCATGGGGGTGTCTGCTGGCAGCGTTGCTTAGGCTTAACGCATGCAAAGTCTGAGCCGCATACGCTGTGGGTTGCGATCATTGCGTCATCCTTCAGATATCAAATTTTGGGAGATGTCGCGAGAAGATGGCGATGTCGACATGGGAAGGCTAGGGAACAGATTTGCGAGCTTAGACAATGTGAGCTCCGACTTGGGGAAACCCCACACCGCAAGTTTCAGAGGAGCTGAAGCTGACATCGCGCAGATTATCGCATTGGCTGGACAGAGGCCCGGGGACGAATGATCATAATGCTCGGCCAACTTGGTGGAGGCCGGCGATTCGAGAGATTAACCGTTTGATCATGCACTTCGACAGGAAAGAGCGCGTCTGCTGAGGGGCAATCAACCTCCAAATCCGGGGTTAGCGAGTGGGTGTCTGGGGAAATATTGTTAAGATCGAAAAAGAGGGAGGTTGGCGAAGTTTCATGATTCAAGAGAAGCTTGGATAGCCCGGATCCTGACACGTAACACCGGATAGTGCACGAGCACGGGCCGTTGCGAATAGAAGCCACCGCGAAAAGCGGTGCTGATGATACGAAAGTGTGAACAATTAGCCTTCTGCTCAGCGAGTCTGCGGATAACATTAGCCTAAGAGAACGCGCGGAATCACGCACGGCGCCAACAACCATAGTGACTTTTGCTGTCGGTAATACTCTTCGAATCCGAGATTTTGGAATGACGGAATCGATCCGTGACATCGAAGAGGCCCGAATAATTACAATGGGTCAGCGCCCTTCGGCAGCCTGACCTTGAAGACGAGAACTTGCGTGTCCAAGTTGTAGCCCGAAGAATCGGCATATTGGTTCTTCCCAAAGTTGATATACCCTACAGCAGCCAGGTTAGTATCTCCATGCCAATCCGCATACGAACAATACTCACCATTCTGGGTAATGAAGTCATTGTCCGAAACAGAGATCAGATAGTACTCATCGCCAGCGCCCTTTTTCTCGAACTTCTTATCCACGGGCGCCAACGCAAGACTCTCCCATTTCTCGTTAAGCAAGCTCGCGTCTTGCGCTCCCCCATTGTGGGCGCCGAAGCGGCCAAGCTGGTCATTGTTGTTGTAGGACAACCAAGGGCAATACGTGGCTGGAGTGATGTCGGAGTTGAGCTCGCCCTTTGAGCTCGCAATAGCTCCGCTAAAGGCATCATACTTCTTGCCTTTGATATTGGTGGCCTTGGAGATGTCGATCACGTCGGCATTGCGGTAAATCGACTCGGAGCTATCCTGGCCATGGCCGGCACCAGAGTCGCGAGCAAGTACAAGGAACTGCTTATCGGAGATGTAGTGAATCTCAGACTGGCCTGCGACTTTGTCGGTCGAAAGAAGTGGCAGCTGGACAGCGTACTCTGCATCGTATATGGCGCTCTTGCCCTTTATCCGGTACTTGAGAAGGCGGGTGTTCCGACGGGTGGATGACTTCTTTCCACCCTCTTGAATGCTGCTTTGGTGTGAGTAAATGCATCTCTTTCCCATCAGGCTTGACTTACGCGGCACTCTGCAGCATGGCATATAGATATTTCCCGTCTGGGCTGGCAGTGAGAGCCTCAAGGCCCTGGTTGTTCGACCGTCCCGTTTCAGGGTCTTCGGGTTCGATCTCGAAGTCCTCGTTGTAGATGGGCGGTGATGCAGCATTGAAGCTGTACGAAGATTAGCTGATCCTATCGCTCGAAATATGTCATGGCTTACCTCTCGCTGCCGTTTCTAATGGGAATCAGAGCATCTGGAGGACGAATGGCATTCACCATTTTGCCACGCTTGTCGAACTGGTACATATATGGTCCTGAATGGAGTGAGTTCCCTGCGTTATACCCGCTCTGCGCCAGATGCCACTTACCGTACTCGTCGCTAATCCAGAACGAGCCATCATCTCCAAGCACAAGGCCCTCAGTGTCGAGCGGAATTCGCTTGCCGCCCGGACCGTCACCACCAAAGCCGTCCCCGGTATCTTGTAAGTGTTAGCCACGTCCACAAGCATTGCCTTGAGCGGAGCTTACAGGTCGCTACCGGAAGATCGGGGAAACCTCTGAAAGAGAGGTGCCCCGTCGGGTCAGCATCAAGACCGGTAGCCGGTGTTCCATCAGGGCCAGTTAGGAGGATGGTGTTGAGGTACACGATCTGAAAGTTGGGCGATGCGGGCTTCTCAACCGTTGCGGTTACAATGTCGAGCGAAATGGCGAACTTGTGGATCCGGGACTGCGTATTCTGCGTGCCTTCGGTGTTCCATCCCCGATCTGGGAGACCGTAAAGGATGCCCGTGTAAGCTTCCTTGTTCCCACTCTTCTTCTTCCAAAACTTCTTATCCAGGGCAATTGCGCTGCCAATGCCGCCGATTGTGTCTCCGAACTTGTCACGGGCATCGCTGGCCAACAGACCCCACCCGGAAAGCTCTTCATAAATGTATGTCTTACCATTACAACTCGTTGCATTGGCTGGAGCCGTACCCCGCGCGACGGGGTTTGCGGCGATGCGGCCGAGCTGGAGAAGCAGAAGACAGGCAGACACAGAAAAGATCATGTTCGCGTTGAAGAATGCTCGTGTGCGGACCACGAAGAGAAGGTTCAATGCCCTGTATAAATATCCTGCACTCCAATAGCGTGAGTCCCGAGCGCCAGGAACCTTTGGCACGCCAATCTGCAATATCGACCGGCGTTTACGATGAACGTGCAGGTACACGTGCAGGAATATCTGGCCGGGGATGCAGTGCTGAAGGACTTCAGGATCCTCAATGCGTCTTCCAATGACAGTAAGGCAGAAGGTGGCTTGCGAAGGGCACGAAAGCGCGCATGTCGAATGCTGGCAGCATCATGCTTCGGCAGATGGCTCCTGCAAGGCACAGAGACTTTTGTATGGGGGTTCCCAAGTGACGTGCGCTGGCGGAGATTGAGAGAGCACGAGATTGAGCGCGCCCTCATGAGTCGCTGAGGGGAAAATTAGGCGTATCCGCATTGGGCAGGTGCTTTTTATAGCTCAATCCCGCTCCTCGTCGCGTTCACGCTGATGCCTCTCGTATGCTGTGCGTGTACAGTCCGAGTTCATCAACTCTGTGGGATCTCATGGTGTGCCTGGAAAAGGCCGGGCACAGGTGTCGTGGTGTTTTGAGAGTTTGAACAGAGCTAGGGACGAACCTGGCTTAGCGTATTCACTAGTTCCGATCAGGGTACCCGGCTGTACCTAGATATCCTCAACATCGGTATGGCAACAATCTGGATTAGTTCTACTGGCAGCCGTATCCGCAGCGCCTCCACGGAGGACCAGCGCTGCAAGTACCGCGAGAGATCCTGCTTCATTTGCCCTCAGACATTGGAGCCTTGACGATGTCTCAGTGAGAGCTCCCTTCGGCTCACCCCACGTAAAAGCGCTGGGATACGTCCCGACCATTCCAATGTCCCATGGATGGTTATAGTCGATGGCATGCTTCCATTTCGGCTGTTGTCCGGCCGGTGAATGGTTCTCATGCGTTGGTCGTCCTTCCCCTTCACATGTCCCAGCTATTCCGCCGGAAGTCGCATCTCGCTCATACAAGATGCCCCATTGCTTACCCGGCGCAGTTTGATACGATGGTGGAAGAGAGCTAGGGCAACTGCGTAGTCGTACTCTGCCGATCACACCTTCCCCGTGGGCTGGATGACGCAAACACGCACTTCGGGGCAGTGGCCGCTCTTTCCAAGTTCAACAGTCTAGCCCGCACAACGTATGATGCGAGCTTCCTCACTCCGACTCCCCATGCTCCCCATTCCAGTCCTTAAGTCTCGAGCGCCGCGCTATACATCCTCCTCTGAAGCCATCATTATCCGCAGCTGTGGTGTCCTGATCTTCCTACCGACCCGCTCCCCGATATCCTTCCGTCGTGTCTCTGTTCCGCGATCCGCTGGCATTGCAGTGGAGCAATGTGTACTCGCACCGGCAGCCCTCCACCTCTGCACGACTTGAGATATCTTGGTCGAGATGATGACTCCGATACCGACAACTTCGTCACTCCTTTCGCTGAAGAGACCGACCCGCTCCTCATAGCTGGCACGAGTCATAAGCGTTTGGCTCATGTCAGCCCACAACTCCACTCGCATGAGGCTAGGATCACGCAGCCGTTGAGAAAATCGTCGAGTGATTTGGTGCTCGGCGTCAGAGCGCGCCATCGCGGGTCGACGGCAGACTCAGTGCAGACTGCATTTCGAGTTGGCGATGGAGAGGACAATCTAACGAACGATCGGTCGCCAGCGCAGAAAAGAACGTCACACAAGCCTCTCTGGCCGGCTCAGCTCAGGCGGTCATCGAGCAATTCGGGCCTAGAGCTACGATCTCGGTTCCATGATCCAGCCCTTGACTCGGCGACGCTGCAGCAGCAGCTCATCATGCAAGTCAAGCATACCGGTCGGCGTCCTCTTAAACCTTGGCGAGTTCGGCGCGTGCGGACTGCAAGTGGCCCGTTCCACTGGACGAATCCCCAATCTCCCAGACCTGGTTTTATGTGGTTCGCGGTCCGCTCGAAGTCCGATCCTTCGTCCATACCACAAGTGGCACCAAAGCCGGGGAAACTGGGCAAGAATCTGCCATTGAAGTCTAGCATGAAGAGGAAGGCGAAGAGTGCTACCACCACACCTCCGAGTGAGATTCACACAGATTCCAGCACTCTCACGGATGAGCAAAAACTGCGGCGAGTAAAGACGGTGGACTTCGAAGAAACCACGTCGAAGGGACTCTCTTCTCTACCTCCCCTGAAGCTTTGGTCAAGCGAGCCCACTAGCGATGCAGCAGACGGAGAACAGCGGCCGCGAACTCGAACGCCCAAGGCTTATGTTGAGCCAGTCAAGGCGGCGAAGCGAGCCCCGTCATGTCCTGGCCCGATGGTCAAGAGCAGCTTGGCAGATCCGGCAGTTACAAGGACCGATGTGCATGTGGTCGCCATTGCCCCATCCTGGAGCTTCGACGACACCGCGGATGAAGGAGGTATCGATCCTGCTACTCCAACTATGCAGATTGTGGAATCCAAGAACGGCTGCTATGAAGTCATATGGGATGACGTACCGGAGGAACACGACATCAGGCTCCATCGACGGAGCTCTTCAGCAAGCCAAGCCCTCCATACCTTCGGCTCAACGGCATCGCGAGGTTTGGAGCGAGTCAACACGAAGCTTACTGAGTGGACATGGGGTCGTGAAGGACCAACGCAACCATTCAAGCCTCAGATCGTGGTATTTCCGGACGACGATGACCGTTCTCCTCAGCCCCCTCAACCTGATTGCGCTGTTGACGATAGCGGAGATCTCGTGATAGTCCCGCCGCCAAATAGCGCAATGACAAGTACGAACCCATCTCGTCACACCTCCCGCCCAGTCAGCACGCGCACATCTAGAGAAGGCTCTTATGACGACCCAGTTCAGACGGCCGCGCCCAACATTAATCATCCCCACGATAAAAGATATTCAAAAATCGAACCAATACTACGCACGTCAGCGATTCCAGACCCTGATGCAACAATGAGAACCCTTACGGGAGTCGGTCGGAGAGTCAAAGGGCCACCTGCTGACCGCCGGCTATCAAACATGGATGAGTCCGAGATGAGATTTCGTGGCCATCGGGACTCAGTAACCATTGCTCGAACCCGGATGTTCGATGTTGGCGGCATCTCTCCTGAGCTTTTCATGCACAGAGACTCTGTCGCTATAGCAAAGAAGCGGATGCATGGAAGGAGCCACGCCGTATCTGATGTAAGAGACATTCTCCGCTCGAAAGTCAAGAGGTCTGAGCTGTTGTCGACAATTGAAGATGTGCCTCAGCAGTCACGATCGCCATCGCCAATCCCTGCCAAAGAATACGCAACCAAGGCTCTCAAGAGTAGCGGCTCGGCCTCGACGCTCCATCTACATGCTCCAACAACTCAACGGCACATTCGAATCGCGGATTGAGGTCAGGTGACTGGATGGCTCAAGATTCGGCAAGCAACTACATGCGGCTGGAGCTGGAGGTTGACTGAGAAGACTGCATGCTTATTGGAGTATCGTTAGCCTCCGTTTAGGAGTGGAATATTGTCCGGGAAGCGGACGGACGAACGATTAGATGAGGGTGTTCTGCCAATGCGAGGAGCGAAGTACCTCGGTATACAATACCTTTGAAGACAAAAAGTCAGGCGAGCTTTGCATTGCCAATGAACATCTGTGACCTTGAAGGCTGCTTGATGGAACAGGACATAAAAGTCCACCCGTTCCCACAACGGGTGGACTCTTGAAGTCGGCATGTCGGGATATTTGTCTCCGACTAGTGAACGGATCTCCCCGAGCACAACCATCCTTTCACTCACACCATCACCACCGGCTTTGCTTCGCTACTTTCACTTATCACCATTCTGAAAGCTACCTCGCCTATGCATAAATGATCATGGCGAATCCAATTAATCGCGGCATGGCCGACTTGGAGCGCTACGTCTGCGCTCCGTCCGTAATCAGCCGATGTGTTACGCACCATCATTTTGTAGACACCACGACACTGCATCCGCTGGCGCTGGCAGAGCATGCTAAAATGAGTTGTTTTGAGAAGAATTTACTCTCGTTAGCATGGAGATGTTCGAATTCACGAAGAAAGGCTCCTTGATGCTCGTTCCGCATCATCTAACGCTTGGCGTTACAGAGGATGTTTGATCTCTGGAGGAAACCATAACGCCACTGCTGGCGTCGGATCTCATAAACCCTTCGAGTACCCATTGCGGAGAAACTTATTGTAAAGTATTCTAATCAGCGCTTCGTCATATGCTTAGATTCACGCCATACCGATCGACACACGATATCTCCAAAGCGCACCTCGACGCGAAGATGAAGAACGATCACCGATACGATGCGATACGAAATCTGGATGACCACTCGGAGTCGAGCACCGAAGTGGAGGACTGGGAGGCAGAGGGGCAGATCAAGCCGAGACCACGGAGGAGGAAGACGTTCTGGAGGAAGCTGAAGGCATACCGGTGGATGATCGATACGGCTCTGCTCCTCATCATCTTTGGGCTGGTGGCGGAGAAGAGGTGGCAGTGGCATAGAAGCCATCGATATGAGCTGGCCGGAGACATATCCGGCTTTGCTCCGACGTGTAAGCCAGTCCTTCTGGATCGCCGACTGCCAATGCTGATATCCTCCAGTCTCGCAACAAATCGTCAGCTTCAAGCCAGATCCCGTATTCGCACCGGAGAACGCTTCCGAGTTCTGGAGCAAAGAGACCCAGCACGCATGGCTCAACATAGTCCCAGGTATATGGCTCCCTTTTACTCTCCTCAGACCCTGCTAACATCCCCCAAGAAGGTCTAGGCTACGTCAACGTCAAGAACCCCTCGCGCTACGACAACCTCCCGCACCCGATTCACGACTACCCCAACCAAACCGTCTTCACCACCTCCGTTACGCACCAACTGCACTGCGTCTACACCATCCTCGAAGCCTACAACACCCTCCAGCTCTCCTTCAACCCTTCATTCTCACACCCAATAAAGATGCCGTGGCATATAAACCATTGCTTCGAGTACATACGGCAAGCCATAATGTGCACTGGGGACGTCGCACTGGAAGGCGCAGCGACAACGTTTCCCGGCGATCCAATAACAGGTGAGGACAGAGGCGGGAGCGACGGCTGGGACGCGAAGCACATCTGCAAGGACTATTCGCAGGTATATGAGTACTTGGAGCGGGAGACGATAAACCACTACAAATGGATATCTTCTGATTAGGTAGAGGGGCAGCTGGGTATGCTGATAGGTGGCTTGTGGGGTGCATGGCATTGGATCGGAGTTTTTCCCCAGACCACAGACCTGAGTATATACGCAACGCTTCTTGAAAGCTTACTTCAAAGCATAATCCAACCTTTCTTTCCTTCCTTCTCGCGCGTCTAAACATTCTTTTTCCAATACAGTAACTTGTTCTCTACCATGCATGCACACACTGCACGTCAACAGAAACATTACGCCCGTACCCTCCCAGCGTGGAGCGTTAACCGCAAATAGCAAATCCTAAGCCTTTAGCGGCCGTCCCTCCGCCCAACCACGTCGACCGCTTTTCAACGCCCAAGTTTGACGCCCGTGCACTCCGCCCGGCATCTCCGACTCCTCGTCCGTTCTAGGCGAGAGCACCGCAGCAATCGGAGGCGGCGATGCGTGTCCGACCGCTTCGCCGACTCGCAAACCCTGCACCTCAATCATGCGGAAGGTTCGAAAACCTGAGATTCATGCCGGCGAGTCATCGAAACCGCGAAAGTGCGAGCACACGGCGCCGGGCAGAATCATCAGCAATACCCCGGATTTCTTGGGCGACGTAAGCGAGAGCGGCGAAAAGAGTTCCCCCGCAACGCCGCTTTCTTGTCCTCGTCGACCTATTCGAGGGCCGTCCGACGGTTCAGCCGAGGCAGGCTGCGGTAAGAGCAAGGGTTGAGGGATATCGGGCGGTTTCCGCTTTGAGTTGGAGTTGCGAGGCATATAAAGAGTGGATAGCTCGTTTAGGAGGTGAGAGGGCTGCGTTTGCGGGAGAGGCTGTCCTGTGCTGTGCTTTGCTGTGCTGTGCTGATTGAAGAGCTGGATTTATTGGACCCCGCGTCTTTTCGTCATTCGTCACTACTACTCGGGAGGTCGCTTTGCTGTCGCCAGCTTTTTTTTTCTTCCCGGCTTTGTTCGTTCGCGCGGGTGCTGTAAGTTTGCAGTGAGATTGTTGGGTTAAAGAGTTGGAAGTCACCAGCGGGGCGGTCTTGCCGTGCTTACCTATCTCGCGCGGGTGGTGGAGTCACCTGCTTTGTCTACAAGCCTTCATCTTTCTTGGAAGCCCACAGCAACCCCCCACTTGAATCCTACTCTGCTCAAACACCTCTCCTCACCATGGCTCTCACGCAATCACCACTCCTCTGGATCGTCGGCGGCGCTCTCGTCTCCTACATCCTCTACACCCGGATCGCCCTCTACCTGCGCCGGCAGCGCATGATCAAAGAGCATGGCTGCAAACCATGCCCCTACGTCTTCAACAAAGACCCGATTCTCGGCCTTGACGTCTTCAGAGACAACATCCAGCTCTCCAAAGCCAAGCGCATCCTCCCCGGCTTCCGCAGCCGCTTCCTCAACCTCAAGACCAACACGTTCCACTCGCGCATGATGGATCTCCCGCTCATCGCTACCTGCGAACCCGAGAACGTCAAGACGATCCTGAGTCTCAAGTTCAAGGATTTCACGCTGGGGGCGCGCACACGCGCCTTCAGTCCGCTGCTGGGCGACGGCATCTTCAACTCCGATGGCGAGAAGTGGGCGAACTCGCGGCATCTGCTGCGTCCAAACTTCGCCCGGGATCAGGTTGCGGATCTGGAAGCGTTCGAGCGGCACTTCAAGCTCATGCTCAAGCACATCCCAAAGGACGGGTCGACGGTCGATCTGCAGCAGCTCTTCTTCCGCTTTACCATCGACACCGCCACCGAGTTCCTGTTCAACCACTCCACCGACTCGCTGCGCATGATGGATGTCGATGAGAACAATGAGGATGTTATTTTCAGCAAGGCGTTTACTGAGGCCCAGGACGACATCATGATGCGCACCCGCCTCGGCTTCCTCGACGTGTTCCGCCCGAACAAGAAGGGCAACGAGGCGATTAAGATCTGCCACGCGTACGTGGATAAGTTCGTCGACGACGCGATTGCGTGGCGGCGCGAGCATGATGCGGAGAAGGCGGCGGGCTGGACGCAGGAGGACGGGCGCTATGTGTTCATCAGGGAGCTAGCGAAGCAGACGGATGATCGGAAGCGCATCAGGGACGAGCTGATGAATATCCTGCTTGCCGGGCGCGATACCACGGCGAGTCTGCTCAGCAACATGTGGTTTGAGATTGCGAAGAGACCTGAGGTGTGGACGAAGCTCAGGGAGGAGGTTAAGAGCTTGGACGGACGGCTGCCGACGTATGAGGAGCTGAGGAACTTGAAGTACCTGAGGTGGTGCTTGAATGAGTGTAAGTCCTGTCCCAGCCCTCCTCCACCGAGAAGTGCCTCAATGCTAACATCATCGATCCAGCCCTCCGCGTCAACCCCGTCGTCCCCGGCAACTCCCGCTACTGCATCCGCGACACCGTGCTCCCCCTCGGCGGCGGGCCCGACGGCAAGCACCCGCTCTTCGTGCGCGCGGGCACGCTCGTCGGCTACTCGCCCTTCGCCATGCACCGCCGCGCCGACATCTACGGGCCCGACGCCGACGACTTCCGCCCCGAGCGCTGGGAGACGCTGCGCCCCGGCTGGGAATACCTGCCCTTCAACGGCGGCCCGCGCATCTGCCTCGGCCAGCAGTACGCCCTGACCGAGGCGAGCTACGTGACCGCGCGTCTGCTGCAGGAGTTTGCCGCCATTGAGAGCAGGGATGAGAATGGCGGCGTGTGGGTCGAGGGTCTGACGCTGACCTGTGCGAGTGGGAATGGGACGAAGGTCGCGTTGACGCCTGCTTGAGTGACGGCGACTTTTGATTTTTGGGTGGTATGTGAGAGCTTTTTGATCCTTGGGTGGTGGTGTGCGAGAGAGCGATTCGATTCGATTCTTTTCGTGCGGATTTTCACATTTGAGGACTGCCTGCTTCCGGCGAGACGTAGGTTCCGCACCCCTTCTCCTGCACACTGGAGAGAGAGAGGTGGGGCCAGTGTATATCATACAGTACAGATTTTTTCGCTCTCCTATCAGTCAGGCGTTGGCGGTCTTTCTCTCTTTCTTTCTCTCCTGCCATCTTTGCTTCACTTATTTACACGGGAGGCGCGGAAACCGGGTTTTTGCCTCCCCACTCCCTACAATACAGTTAAAAAAACCTGCTTTGAAGTGGTCGATGTCGTCCGAGCTGTTCTTTCACTGCGTATATCTGGTGGATGTTCCGCGTCCAGCACCTCAACCGAATTTTATAGGTCATATGTCACGAACAATGCCTTCAGCGAGACTGCGGGGTGTAGATGTAGGTCGTTTTCTGAAAGCCCAAATCTCCAGCACATCAAATGCATCATCACCGTATGCGAAATCTCATCAATGTAATAATATCCATATCCATATCCATATTCATCCATATACAGGAAAAATCTCAAACGCGAAGAAAGAATCCCTCACCGCGCCATGCCCATGCGATCCAAAAAAGAGAGGGGAGCGGGGGAAGCGAGAAGCGAGAGGAGAGTCACCCGAGCAAAGCAATCACCTAAACAAACCCCTCTTACTCGGACTCCTCCTCCCCTCCCTTAGACTCACACTCCCGTCCTCCACCGTACTCGGCAGCGCGGGCAGGCTCTGGCTCGCCTGCTGCACCATGTGCTGGTTCATGCTGCCATACGGCGTGTGATAGGGTGTATGCCAGCCCTGCTGCTGATGCTCGAGAAAGCCGCCGCTGGGGTAGCGCTGGGGGGTTGCGGGCGGGGGCGGATAGTCATGGTGCTGTGGTTGCTGGTGGGGATGCTGGTGTTTTTCGCGGATGAAGCCAAAGGCCCAATTCGACAGGTTGAAGCCGCCGAAGATGATGATCGCGGTGAAGAGCTATTCGTTTTCAGCGATGATTGGGTCAGCGAATCCTGTGCGCTCTGCGGGTTCGATGCGGGGAGGGGTGTAGGTGGAGGACTGGGATTGGGGGAGGTCATCGGCGTGCTCTTCACGCTCCTGGCGAGCTCGAGCTTGAGTTTGATCCCGTCGAAGCAGTCCCGAGCTTCGCGCCATCTCGACCGCAACTAGCCGTGCTAGCAGGACTTTGAGGACTAGGAAAAGGGCAACAAATACCATGGACTTGTAGCTGAACTCCTCAACGAAGGCATTGAAGATCATCGCGAACGTCTTCGCGCCGACGCTCGCGCGGGCCACCTTCTTCGCATCGCGGTTCATGCACGTCTCCCAGTTGAGACAGGCAGCTTCCAGCGCGGGTGCGCGGCCCTTGGAGCCGCAGTAGTTGTCCTTGTAGTCCTTTGCGCAGAGCGCTATTTCGTGCAGGATGTCGTGCGACATCTTGTCCGCTTCGATGTTGATGTCGTTTGTGACGGCGGACCAGCCTGCGTAGATAATGTACAGGAACATGAAGCCGATGGCTGCATTGACGATGAACTGCATGTAGAAGGACAGCACGGCGGGGAGGTGCGGATGCGCTTCGACCCAGGACAGCACGCCGGGGATGTGGGCAGCGAAGCCTAGCGGGGGCTTCTCTTGTAACGCTGATGCGTTATTGTTGCCCGTCTGCTCGTTGTCCGAATCATCATCGCGCAGTGCCGCCTTTGACTTCTTTGACCGCCGCTTCATGATGCGATGCTCTGCTTTCTTGGAGTAGTAATTCCGCGAGTCGTCCTTCGCCTTCTCCTTCGACGGGCTAGGGCTGGACCGCACCCAATTCATGATAGACTCTCGACGGCTCTTCTTGGGAGTGCCCTTGCCGTCGCCAGACATCAACCTACCCATTTTGCTCGCCATCTGTGTGTCGGGCGTCGCTGCGTCGCTGTCTTGCGCGGGGGTATTCGGCGTCTCTCCGCCAGAGCTAAAGTCGATGACGCTGGCCGGTGTCCGCGGCTCCCACGTCTTCGAGTTTTGAACGTGCGCCGGAATATAAGGGGGCGGCTTGTTCTGCTGCGAGAAAAAGTGGTGTTGCGAATTCGGTTCGCGCAGCTGCGGGCAGTTCGGGGTAGAGAAGCCGCCGCTCTTGGACGGCGAATCGAAGACGGAGTGTGTGCCTGGCTGGCCGAACGGAGGCCCTGCATTTAGCTGTTGTCCTTGTTCCGCCGGATAGGACTGAGACCTGAAAGAATCCAACTTACGCTTCTTTGCGGGCTGCTGGACGGCGGTGACGAAGGGTGATTGCGGGTTGACAGGGCCATGTTTATTTTCCCACTGGTAGTCCATACCCCCAAATGATTCGCGATTGTGCGACATGCTGCTCAATAGCGAGTGGCCGGTGGGAGAATGCGAGTGCAGTTGACGATGGGTCGAGTGTGTCCGGCCGTTGCTAGGAGGGTGCCCACTACGTAAACAAATGTGCGGACCTCCGGAGATGCCAAGACCCGGTGTGGCTGCAGCGGTGGCTGGTGGTTGTGGCGCGAGCTTTGTCCGAACTTCCCCAAGGTTGGCTACAGAGGATTGGGGGTGCTAGAGAAGAAATGGTAGTAGGTCGAGGTAGGACTTATATTTCGGGCTGCGGTCTGTGAAGCATCGTGTCATGTTAATGTCTCGTCAGCGAGACATTGTGCATGGACTCTAGGAGATGCCACGATCACTCTAGGCTTCTCCTATGTCACCGGTGCGAATACGCATTGTCGCCCATTAGCTCGGATGACAACGAACCTTCGTCACAATGCTGTCACAGATGAGACTAAATCGGGGTGCATCGTTGGAAGGAAATGAGATATTATTATGAATATGCTACAGCAGACATAGCGTCTAAGACTCCGCTCTCGGAGCATCTACGAATTCGGATATCATTTTGTCAGAACCCCAAACGCCAATACGCATCCTAAACAAACAATACGGTGGAACGCTTAAGCAGCCGCAACCTTTGTTTCCTCCTTTTCTTCATACTTGTCCCAGTTGGCAAGGATGTTGCCAATCTTGGGCGAGTTGGTCAGCCTGTACACGTCCTCAAAGTACTCCTTGGTAAGCTCGAACGGCTTGGCGGTAACGTTGGGGATGTATTTTCCAATGAGCTTGGACGGGTCGATCGATGTTTTGTGGATTTTCTTGAGCAAGAAGTTTCGGAAGGGCTTGACGCCGGATCGCAAGAAGGTGCTGTGGAAGGGTACGTCGATGCCCTTGAGCGGAATGGTAGCAAAACCGCGCTGGAGGTCGATCGGCTGGGGTTTGCCCTCGGTCTGCTTCGCGCACTCCTTGATAATCTCCACTAAATGCGCCTTGACGTCTTCCAGAGACATGCTCTGCATGAGCGCTTGGATGTCAATCTTCTGCGCCTTCAGGTAGTTGAGGACGTTGGTGAGGCAGTCCAGCGCGCGGAGGTCGCCAGCACAAACGTACTGCATGTTGGCGATGTTGTAGTTGACAATCTCTAAGAGCCAACCAGTCTGCTCGGAGATGTTCTCGACGACGTATTGCAAGGCCTGCTCGTTGAATGTCTTGGAGATCCTGCTGGGGTTGACGGCGCACATGGAGTAGTTGGATCGGCCGGCCTCATCACGCTCCACCGCGACCTGCATTGTGAGACCACGGTAGAACACGACCGAGACTAAACTCTCAATCGGCATGACCTCGGCGAGCGCAGCAAGAGCGGAGTACTCTCCGAGAGAGTGCCCAGCGAAGGTGCTGTCGCGCTGTACCAATCCCTTGGTCCGCATGTCTTCGAAAGAGGCCTTCTCCATGAGGGTAAGAGCAGGTTGAGTAAATTGAGTGGCAGATAGCAGGCCAGTCGGCGAGCGGTAAGTATACGAGGTGGTGTTCTCGTCGATCTCCTTGAAGATCTTCTCAGACTTGACGGTTCCATCGGCACCGACCGTCTCGAAGGTCATGGACATGTAGTTCTGACGAATGGCCTTTCCGCGTGGACCACCGAAATGAATGGTGAGCTCCTTGGGGTTGTTCTTGACAATGTTGGTAATAGCAAAGCCTATACAGTGTTAGCGTGATCAAGGCGATGGTAAAGGGAGAGTCCGTACCATAGTTGTCCATGAAGTGCTTGTCGGCACGGTCCCAGACCTCCTTTGCCACGGCGCTGCTGGCATACAAGTCCATGCCCATGCCTTGCTCCTGCGAGCCCTGACCGGTAAAGACGTAAGAAGTTGTAGGCTGCTCGACTTCGGCTTCACCCTGGAGGACCTTGTCTTCCGTCTCCTGGTTGGAGACTTCAATCTTGATGATCTTGCGACCGGAGACCATGCCAATGTGCTGGAGCTTAACGTCCAGCATATCGTCGGGAAGCACCATGCCAACGAGGTTGACATGGTAGCTCCTGACACGTCCAATGTGGTTCTCGGCCGCCCAGGTCTCCACCAAGCTTCGGACAGCGGCACTGGAGTACATGCCGTGGGTGATAGTACCAGGAAGATTGGCGTAGCTCGAGAAGACGCGCGAGACGTGGATGGGGTTGTAGTCACCAGATACGCGAGCGTAGGTTTCGTTGGATGCAGGTGCCTTCAAGGTAAGGGGGGTCTTGCCGTTCAACGGGATGGCATTGTCGAAGTTAACAGGCTGGTCAATGGCGGATCCATTGCGCTCAAGATAGTCAAGCACTGGGTTACCGTAAGAGGCGCCGGACGAGTAGTCGACGGACGCGATCTGGATGATCTCCTTGGTTGGAAGCTCGAGCAGCACCTCACCCACAGTCTGGACTTCGGAGAAGGCAGTGTTGTTCTTGTAGCGGACGAAGCTCTGCAGCTTGAACGTCAAAGTCTTGTTCAAGAGCTCGATGTCTGGCTCATCAAGGTTGAACCACTCCTTCGAACGCAAGATAGCGACGTCCTTGCTAGTGACCAAGTGCAGCTGCATCGGCGTCTCCGTCTTCCTCTGGAAAGTGTTCTCGAAGTCGGTGTAGGCTCCGCGGTACAAAAACTGGCTGGTAACCTCCATGACCGGCTCACCATCGCGGGTAATCGTGCCGCAGACTTCGACCATCTTACCGGAGTCTTGGTTGATAACGGCATTGATCTGAGCAGTGGTATCGAGCACATCGCCCTTCTTCAAAGGCTCTGCACCGGGAAGCATGCGGAAGCCGTTCGAAAGATGGACAAGCTTGAGGAGATCACCATCGATGGCTCGAGGGAAGATTGGCTTTGTGATGGCTTTCCAACCCACGACGATGGCGAAATCCATAGGTGCAAAGACCTCTTTGTCCGGGCGGTCAACAAAGGCCTCGCCGGCGTTGCCAACTGCATGGACGAAATCGTTGATAGCTTCGCTTGTAACGGTCGCCCGTCCACCATCGAAGTTTGAAGTCACTGGAGCATCGAAGGGGCACTCCTCGTCACCGAACCAGATCTTGTAGTAGAACTCCTTGATCCTGTCGTTGCGTGCCTCCATGACCTCATGGATGGGGGCGTAACCGAACTCAGGGCGGTAGACGAACTTCAAAGGCAGTGCCACGGCCTTCTTGAGTGCAGTACGCTCTTCGAACATGTTAAGGACGATCTCCTTATTGCCGGTCATGCTGACCTCGATGGTCTTGATGTGCTTTCCGCCATGATGCGGTTCCTTCACGGTGATCACAGTCTTGGCTGGCTCCTTAGGGTTGCAGATCTCAACCATCATGCCGGGAGTGGGAGCGAAGATCCTCGCGGTCGGATTCTTCTGGAAGCGCTGTCCTTGGACGAAGACATCTGCTGTGAAGAAGGCGTGCCTCCAGGAATAGGTGTTTCCGGCAAGTAGCTGCAGCCAGGAATGGACGTCCGGAAGAGTGGAGTTCGTAGTTGAAGACAAGCGGTACACGAGCTTGTTTTCCAGCTGGGAGACGGTGAGACCATCCACCTCCACGCCCTCGTTGTTTTCCGGGAGCTTTCCTCCAAAGTATTCGATGACGGGAACTTTGGATTCGTCACCGCCATACACATCGTGGAGCAGGAACTCGATATGGCCGCCGTGAACGCCATCCAAGATTTCCTTGACGGGCTCGTCGACCTTGGTTGAATACTTCGCAGCCATAGGACCTTGCAAGATACAAGTCCTGCCAACGTCCTGGTCCACGACGGCGTCAAGATCCTCCGACTGCCAGAGGGAGTCCTTCTTGAAGAAGAACTCGAAGGTGTCATCGAGAACAGGAACGAAGGGGACCGGTTTCTGCCCTCGTCGCTGGCAGAGCAAGAGGAAATGCTGAACGTCTTGAGCGTTGATGAGCTGCTCAGACGCCTCGGGGTAGGCTTCGAAGACCTTCTGGATGGTGGGGTAGGGATCGGCGAGTTCCTCATATGTCTGGATGAGGGACTCACCATTCGCCTTGCTGAATCGCTCCTCTACTCGTCGGATGAAGTCTCCAGTCAAACGCTTCAAGGTCGGATCAATCCAGCGGGACTGATGCTTGACATACATGAGATCGACCATGCGCTGAACTACCTCGGCGTAGGTCATGTCTTCGAGATCGACGGATTCGCCCTTCTTGTTCCTGCCAAACCAGACCTTTTGGAAGTCGTTGTTCAGCTTCTCGATGATGTACTCGCGCATCTTCTTGAGCTCGGGAATCCGCTTAGCTTTGTCCAGGCTGAAGATCTTCTGGTCCATCTCATGCCAGAACATGACACCACGGGTAGCCAACTTGTGAATCGGTTCGCCCATCTCAGAGCGGACAGTGATGACGCCGCCAGCGGGGCCCTTGTAGGTCTTTTCCCAGGCACCATCGTCAAGGCCGGGTGCATCAACAATGGCCTTCTTCGCGTTCTTCGAGGTATGCGCTTCCTTCGCAACCATCATGCGGCTGCCGAACAAACAACCGTCATACGGCATGGGCGGATAACCAAATCGGGTCGACCAGGTACCAGTAAGGTAGGGATAGGTATCCTCAGCACCACCAAAGCCTGAGCCGGCGACCAGGATGAGATTGTCGCACTTGCGGATACGGCTGTACATTTGGAGGATAGGCTGATGGAAGTCTTCGAAAGAGTGATGCCCGCCACCACGGCCTCCAGTCCACTGAAGCATGACCGGAAAGCCCGGATTGGCCTTGGCGATGTTGATGGTCTGTTGGATGGCTTCGACCGAACCCGGCTTGAAGGCGATGTGCTTGATGCCGAGGGTCTCGATGTATTCGTTGGCGACCTCTATGGAAGGAACGCCAGCACCGATAGTCAGGCCCTCAATAGGGACACCATCAGCCCGCAACTTGCCAAGGAGGGGAATTTGCCAGCCCATGGCGCGAGGGTTGACGTAGATGAGGTTGACGGTAATACCACGACCTGGCTGAATGGCCTGCTCAAGTTTGTTGATAGCAGCCGTCATGCCCTTCTCGTTGTAGTAGCCACCACCAGCGAGTTCGATCTCGTAGCCGGCGTTCATCGTGGCCGCAACAAAGTCCCAAGGGACCGTGCACGGCGTCATACCCGCGACCATGACCGGAGGTAGACCGAGCATTCTGCTCATCTTGGTGTCGACGTACGTCTGGCCGGTGGACGTCTTCACTAAGCGAGGACCATGCTGTTTGACCCAATCGGGCGCGTACGTAACGGCGTGGTCGAAGTCGCGGTCGAAGATTTCAGGTTTGTACCCAACTTCGGGATTCTGGCCATCGATAGCACCGGCTAGAATGACACGAACGCCAGTTCCATCCTTGTTGCGGTTGGTCAGAACACCGAGACCAGAGATACCACCGGGACCAAAGTCGAGAATGTGTGTGGCCTTGGGGAAGATGGTAGCCTTCTCCCAATTGACGGAGTCATTCGTGATCATGCGCACAAGCCTGGGGACGACGTTGCCAGACTCCTCGTCGCGGAGATCTTCGCCAGTATGGGTATCATACATGGGAATACCGAGATCGCTGGCTGGAATCTTGATATCCTTGAGGTCTTCTTCCAGCAACTTCGTAGCTTCGGCAAGATACGGGCTGTGGAATGGGGCAGTGATGGGCAGGAAGCGGTTGACGAAGCGGACCTTGCGCTCCGTGAAAGGAATCCTCGTCTGGTCGAGGCCGGTAGGAGCCTTGACCTTGCGGAGACGGAGATTCAAACCGTACAGCGAGATTGGCGGACCAGTCACAACGAAGTTGCGGGCGCTGTTGACGAGGGAGATGGCAACGCGTCTCTCCGTCGGCAAGTGAGCATTGGTTGCATCAATATGCTCCTGGAGAGCTTTCCTTGAGAGGTCGCGGATCGACAACATGGGCGTCGGTGCCCCCTCGCCATTGTCGACAGAATCTTGCAGGGCTGACGGGGCGAGTGATGTTCGCGGGTAGGCTTGCTGGCTGCGGGCACCAATCCAGAAGAGAATGGTGATGGCTTTCTTAGCGGCCTGCTGGAAAGATTCCCAATTCTTCGACTCAGCAATGGCGGCTGCTGTGACGACTCCCTGAGAGTGGCCGGTAACACCGCATAGGCGGCTTCGGATGTGCCCTGGGTGGCTGCCAAGTACTCTACACGTGACAACGTAGTGGGCCAGCTGCGTCAACCCAATCAAGGGCAAACTGACTGGTGCGGAGACCAGATAGTCGGTGTCCGGCTGCGAGTCCTTGTTGTTGAGCCATCGCATGACGTCCAGACCCTTGGAGTAGAGCTTCTCCGCCCGCGGATCCCGCGACAAAGTCAGCAGGTGCTGTGCTTCGGCGGCAATGAAGTCCTCGACGAACGAGGGGTATGTGCTGTGGATCTCGCGGAGCTCCTCAAAGTACTCCTCGATGTTGCCCTGGCCTCCCAGGACGGCATAGAGGAACGCATTCTCGTCGGCAGCCTCGCGAAGAAGCGCCGACTCGTGGTACTTGACAGGCCGGTCTGCTGCCGCACGGGCGGTATAGTATGACCGCACCGTAATCAGCTTCTTCTCCAGGATACCCGGGAGGGTGGCAGCCAGCGCATGCACCTCATTCCCGCGGAGGAAGGCGCGCTCGAACTCGGTGAGGACCAGTTTCAGGACCTCCTCGAACGAGTCTGGGTCGTCGCCCTCCTCGACCTCCTTGGCGACAAAGCCCAGATAGCGCGCCACCAGCTCCGGTACTGACGACGGCTCGTCGTCCTGTGCTAGTTCATCTGTGGGCTCGGGAAGGGTCGCCTTGAAGGCATCTCGCAGTTGCTGGGCGTTGAAGTGCAGGGCGGTCGGGATGAGGAGGGTGTATTCGAGCGAGCCGTGGGAGAGGGCGAGCGGGCGCAGCGAGGCCTGCGAGCGCGGCGTCGAGATGCCGGTCTGCGGGCCTGATCCGTACATTCTGGCGTGGGTTCTGAGGTCTGCTGCCATGGTGAGCTCTGCGCTGGCTATGATGTATGGGACGGATGTGAGTGATGAGATGAGGGGCAGGCAGGGCGCGGGCGGGATTGGCGGGGAGGTGAAGACAGGACGCAGGCTCTTACCTATACGGATGCGGAAGGAGTGGTGGTGGTCGTAGTAGTGCCGTTGAGTGCACCTGGTGGTTCTAGTCCTGGTGGGTGTGAGCTTATGTGTGCTTCGGTCAATAACAGCTTCCAAGACCCCGGGGAAGGAGCTGTCGAGCTGAGGAAGGCATCCCCGAGAATGCGAGCAGCGTACCTTGTGCCTGGGTGCCTGGCGATGGCGCGGGAGAAGCTAATCTCCCAGCGGTGCGAGGGAATTCGTCGTGACTGCAATCCGGGGTGGCTGCAGCTCCCTTGCTAACTAGCTTTCACTGCTGTGTGCGTGGCAGCGGCAGGCAGCAGCGAAATAAGGGGTATAAGTGAGCAGAGAGGCGGCGGTGAGGCAATTGAGCGCAAGGGAGGAGGGAGCACTCGGAGACGAGAGGAGGGCGTGGGTAAATACGGCGGCGGCCGTTGTCGTTGACTTTTTTTGAGAGTCGCTCAGGGCCCGCTAGCGCAAGGGCCAGCCAGGTTGGATGGTTGGGGCTGCGGGCGGCCGGTAATGCACATCGACGCCAACTGACGTGAGCCAACGATTAGTGATGGCGACAAGTCCCCGTTGCCGCGGCCTGTTGAGCGCAGTGTTGACCCAGGCTCGTACTCGGCGCCCGGAGTTCGCAAGTCGGGCCTGAATGGGAGCATCTTGCTCGCCGCCCAGCACCAGCCAGGCACTCGGCTATGACCTCAAGCGTGGCTCGCCGCCCAGGCGAAATTTGTTGTTGAGGGCCGCACGCGCACTGACGGCCTGCGCCCGCAGGGGTCCGCGATTTTTAGACCAGCCCGAGAATTCCTCAACATCCCCGAGCGCCGTGCACTACCGCTTCCCTTCGAACGAGAGATAAACCGCCGATGCGTTGGGTCTCTGCCTCCTAGACGCTCCGTACTCCTCCCCTCAGCCGCCCCATTACAACTCCGCCGGGAATCAGCATTGAGCTCAAGCTCCCTTCCTCCCCGAGCTTGACTTCTCCCCATCCGTGATATCTGCAGCACGCCGCACCTGCCTCCCCGCTGCTGCTCCTCTCTTTTGACGTCAAGAGATACCCGTCTCTCTTTCCTTGTCCCTTTGAGATACCCATTGCGTGTCCACACGCTCTCTTTCACCCCTCCCACGCCCGCGCCGCCAGTCCTGCACCATGCATCCCGAGGTCGAGCAGGAGCTCTCGCACACCCTGCTCATCGAGCTGCTTGCATACCAATTCGCCTCGCCCGTGAGGTGGATTGAGACGCAGGATGTCGTGCTCGGCGAGAAGGTCACCGAGCGCATCGTCGAGGTGGGCCCCGCAGACACGCTCGGGGTGATGGCGAAGAGAACACTCGCCTCCAAGTACGAAGCACACGATGCCGCGCTCTCGGTGCAGCGGCAGATTCTCTGCTACAACAAGGACGCGAGAGACATCTACTATGACGTAGAACCAGAGGAGGAGGCGCCTGCGCCCGCGGCGTCTGGCAGCGGAGACGCGCCAGCGGCGCCCTCCTCTGCACCCACTCCTGCAGCAGCTCCTGTGGCGGCACCCGCGCCAGCAGCCAGCGCGGGACCTGCAGCCCAGGTGCCAGATGCGCCCGTCACAGCGACGGACGTGCTGCGGGCATTGGTCGCCCAGAAGCTGAAGAAGCCTCTGGCCGACGTGCCCCTCAGCAAGGCCATCAAGGATTTGGTCGGAGGTGGGTTGTTCGAGCACTTGACGAGATGCGAAGCTAACATGTGCAGGAAAATCCACCCTCCAAAACGAAATCCTCGGCGACCTCGGAAAGGAATTCGGCTCGACGCCGGAGAAGCCAGAAGACGTGCCCCTGGACGAGCTCGGTGCGTCGATGCAAGCGACCTTCAATGGCCAGCTTGGCAAGCAGTCTTCCTCGCTCATTGCCCGCATGGTGTCCTCAAAGATGCCGGGTGGCTTCAACATCACAGCCGTGCGAAAGCACCTCGAGATGCGGTGGGGGCTCGGACAGGGCCGGCAGGACGGTGTGCTACTGTTCGCCCTCACCAACGAGCCCGCGTCACGTCTCGGATCGGAGAACGACGGAAAGGCCTGGTTGGACGATATGGCGAACAAGTACGCGGCCATAGCTGGAATCAATCTATCCGCCCCGTCGGCGGGCGGCGACGCCGGAGCTGCGGCAGGAGGCATGATGATGGACCCGGCTGCCATCGATGCGCTCACAAAAGACCAGCGCGCGCTGTTCAAGCAGCAGCTCGAACTGTTTGCGCGGTACCTCAAGATGGACCTCCGCGCTGGCGATAAGGCCTTCGCCGACTCACAGAAGGCCAGTTCCGCTCTCCAGGCTCAACTGGACCTCTGGACCGCCGAGCACGGCGACTTCTACGCCTCTGGCATTGAGCCCCAATTCACACCTCTCAAGGCCCGCATGTACGACTCGTCGTGGAACTGGGCTCGCCAGGACGCTCTCAGCATGTACTACGACATCATCTTCGGCCGCCTCAAGGCTGTCGACCGCGAAATCGTCAGCCGCTGCATCCAGATCATGAACCGCTCGAACCCCCTCCTCCTCGAGTTCATGCAGTACCACATCGACCACTGCCCAACTGAGCGCGGCGAAACCTACGAGCTCGCGAAAGAGCTCGGCCAGCAGCTAATTGAGAACTGCAAAGACGTCCTTAATGAAGCTCCCGTTTTCAAGGACGTCGCCGTTCCCACGGCACCTCATCTGGACATCGACGGCAAGGGCAGCATGAACTACGCCGAAGTGCCCAGGCCGAGCGTGCGCAAGCTCGAGCACTACGTTCGCGAAATGGCTGAAGGCGGAAAGCTCTCCGAGTACGGCAACCGCACCAAGGTCCAGAACGACTTGCAGCGCATCTACAAGCTCATCAAGCAGCAGCACAAGCTGTCTAAGTCGTCCCAACTGCAGATCAAGAGCCTCTACAGCAATGTCATCCGCTCGCTTTCGATGAATGAGGGTCAGATCATGCCCAGCGAGAATGGCAAAGCTGTCGGCGGTCCTGGCAAGAAGGGCCGCAATGGCCGCATCAACGGCCCTACCAAGCAAGGGAAGGTCGAAACTATCCCATTCCTACACCTGAAGCGAAAGGACGATCACGGCTGGGAATACAGCAAGAAGCTGACCGGCGTCTATCTCGACTGTCTCGAGCATGCTGCCAAGGATGGCGTCACCTTCCAGGGCAAGTACGCGCTCATGACTGGTGCTGGTGCCGGCTCCATCGGCGCGGAGGTCCTGCAAGGCCTAATCAGCGGTGGCGCCAAGGTTGTCGTCACGACTTCGCGCTTCTCTCGTGAGGTGAACGAGTACTATCAGTCCATGTACACTCGGTACGGCGCTCGCGGCTCTCAGCTCATTGTGGTGCCTTTCAACCAGGGCAGCAAGCAAGACGTTGAGGCTTTGGTTGAGTACATCTTTGACGCCAAGAATGGCCTTGGTTGGGACCTGGACTACATTGTCCCCTTCGCCGCCATCTCCGAGAACGGTCGTGAGATCGACGGACTGGATTCCAAGTCCGAACTCGCCCACCGTATCATGTTGACCAACCTTCTCCGCCTGCTTGGCGAGGTCAAGAAGCACAAGCAGGCTCACGGCTATGAGACCCGTCCCGCACAGGTCATCCTGCCCCTTTCTCCCAACCATGGAACCTTCGGCAACGACGGAATGTATGCGGAATCCAAGATTGCTCTAGAGACTCTCTTTACCAGGTGGCACTCTGAGAGCTGGGGCAGCTTCCTCACCATTTGCGGAGCTATTATCGGCTGGACCCGCGGCACAGGTCTCATGGCTGGCAACAACATTGTCGCTGAAGGCATCGAGAGGTACGGTGTTCGTACCTTCTCGCAGCAAGAGATGGCCTTCAACTTGCTCGGCCTCATGGCTCCTCCGATTGTCAACCTCTGCCAGATTGAGCCCGTCTGGGCTGATCTGAATGGCGGCTTCCAGTACATTCCCAACCTCAAGGACCTCATGACCGACCTCCGCAAGGAGTACATGGAGACCAGCGAGGTCCGCAAAGCCGTTATCAAGGAGAACGCCATTGAGAACAAGATTGTCAACGGCGAAGCGAGTGAGGCACTGTACAAGAAGGCCACCATCCAGCCGAGAGCGAACCTGAAGTTTGAGTTCCCCAAGGTCCCCGACTGGGAGACTGAGGTCAAGCCGCTCAACAATGACCTCAAGGGAATGGTCGATCTCGAGAAGGTTGTCGTCGTGACTGGTTTTGCTGAGATAGGTCCATGGGGCAACAGCAGGACTCGCTGGGAGATGGAAGCTAACGGCGAGTTCTCGCTGGAAGGATGCGTCGAGATGGCTTGGATGATGGGGCTCATCAAGAACCACAATGGTCCTCTCAAGGGCAAGAGCTACTCTGGCTGGGTCGACGCCAAGACTGGAGAGCCCGTGGACGACAACGACGTCAAGTCCAAGTACGAGAAGCACATCTTGGATCACTCCGGCATTCGTCTGATTGAGGCTGAGCTATTCAACGGGTATGACCCGAAGAAGAAGCAGCTGCTCCAGGAAATTCAGATTGAGGAGGACCTCGATCCGTTTGAGGCTTCCAAGGAGCTCGCCGATGAATTCAAGCGTCAGCACGGTGACAAGGTCGAGATCTTCGAGCTTCCAGACTCTGGAGAATACACCGTTCGACTAAGGAAGGGCGCTACCCTCATGATTCCCAAGGCCCTCCGATTCGACCGTCTCGTCGCTGGTCAAGTCCCCACCGGCTGGGATGCGAAGAAGTATGGTGTCCCTGATGACATTATCTCTCAAGTCGACCCTGTTACTCTCTTCGTCCTTGTCTCCACCGCGGAGTGTCTACTTTCCAGCGGTATCACAGATCCGTACGAGTTCTACAAGTATGTCCACCTCTCCGAGGTCGGTAACTGCATTGGTTCTGGTATTGGTGGCACTACTGCTCTCCGTGGCATGTACAAGGACCGTTATCTCGACAAGCCCATCCAGAAGGACATTCTTCAGGAGTCTTTCATCAACACCATGAGTGCTTGGATCAACATGCTGCTCCTGTCTTCCACTGGTCCCATCAAGACCCCTGTCGGTGCATGCGCTACTGCCGTGGAGTCTGTCGATATCGGCTACGACACTATCGTTGAGGGCAAGGCCCGCGTCTGCTTCGTCGGTGGCTTCGATGACTTCCAGGAGGAAGGCTCATACGAGTTCGCCAACATGAAAGCTACCAGCAACGCTGAGGACGAGTTTGCTCATGGTCGCACGCCCAAGGAGATGTCTCGTCCGACTACCACTACCAGGAACGGCTTTATGGAATCGCAGGGTTGCGGTATGCAGGTCATCATGGACGCCAGACTCGCCTTGGATATGGGTGTCCCGATTTACGGTATCCTCGGCTTCACTGCTACGGCCACTGACAAAATTGGCCGCTCCGTCCCTGCACCAGGCAAAGGTGTTTTGACAACTGCACGCGAGATGCCGTCCAAATTCCCGTCTCCTTTGCTTGATATCAAGTACAGGAAGCGACAGATGGATCTACGCCGCAAGCAGATCAAGCAGTGGCAGGAGTCAGAGCTTTTGTACCTCCAAGAAGAAGTTGCCGCCATGAAGGATGCCGCCGAAAACTTCAACGAGTCCGAATACCTTCAAGAGCGCGCCGCCCATATCGAGCGGGAAGCCAAGCGACAGGAGAAGGACGCCCTCAACAGCCTCGGCAACGCCTTCTGGAAGCAGGACTCGCGCATTGCCCCTCTCCGTGGCGCCCTTGCCACATGGGGCCTCACCATTGACGACCTCGACGTCGCCTCTTTCCACGGTACTTCAACTGTTGCGAACGACAAGAATGAGTCGGACGTCATCTGCCACCAGATGCGCCACCTCGGCCGCACCAAGGGCAATGCTCTGCTCGGTATCTTCCAGAAGTACCTTACCGGTCATCCCAAGGGTGCGGCTGGTGCCTGGATGTTCAACGGCTGCTTGCAGGTCCTCAACTCCGGTCTCGTGCCGGGCAACCGCAATGCCGACAATGTGGACAAGGTGATGGAGCAGTTTGACTACATCGTTTACCCGTCTCGTACTCTTCAGACGGATGGCGTCAAGGCTTTCTCCGTCACTTCGTTCGGCTTCGGTCAGAAAGGTGCCCAGGCCATCGGTATCCATCCCAAGTATCTTTTCGCTACTCTCGACCACGCTGAATACGCCACCTACAAACAGAAGGCCGAGGCTCGCCAGAAGAAGGCTTACCGATACTTCCACGACAGTCTCATCAACAACACCATGTTCCGTGCTAAGGACAAGGCGCCGTACGAGGACGAGAAGATGCAAGAAGTCTTCCTCAACCCGCGTGCGCGCGTCACTGTCGACAAGAAGACCGCCAAGTACTCGTATCCCAAGAAGTTCGTCGACGCTCCGAAGAAAGACGCCAAAACTGAGGAGACGAGGAAGATGCTTGAGTCCATCACCCAAGCTACCGCTTCCGCCAACACCAATGTCGGCGTGGATGTCGAGAAGATCGATGCGATCAACATTGAGAACGACACCTTCATTGAGCGTAATTTCACCGCCCAAGAGATTGCGTACTGCCAGAAGGCAGCCAGCCCTCAGTCAAGCTTCGCTGGCAGATGGTCAGCCAAGGAGGCTGTGTTCAAGTCGCTCGGTGTGAAGGGCCAGGGTGCTGGCGCCGCGCTGAAGGACATTGAGATTACAAGCGATGAGAATGGAGCTCCCGCTGTCAAGGTAAGATCTGCTCCTTCGACAAGACTTGCATTGGAACTAACCCCATCGTAGCTATATGGAGCCGCTGAACAAGAAGCGGAGCGTGTCGGTGTCAAGAAGGTCAGCATCAGCATCAGCCACTCGGACGATCAGGCCGTTGCTGTGGCCGTGGCCTCATTCTAGAGGTAGACCAGTGTAGAGTTATGTTTCGGTGGATGTCTGAATACGACGATAATGATACAGGAGAGTAGAATTTTGGAAGACGGCCAGGATTCGTGTTTTGATTTGATGCAAAAGTCTATTGCTATTCATGCATAGAGGCGCAATATCCCCTTTCGCTTTTTTTCTTCCTTCAGGGCGGCGCAGGTGTTTGGAGCGTTTTGATCCTTTTCGGGCCCTTGCTTCGTGGCCCATCATAGTCGCCGTGTCGACTTTACTTATGTAGTTTAATTTATCGAGAGATGCCAAATGCATACTCCCGTCGTTCACTTGCTCCCGCTGTCCTCGCTCTCCATCCGCCATCTACCATCGCACAAGCGCAGTGGAGGGGGATGTCGCGCACTCACATGACAACGCGCAGCCGCAGCCGCAGTGGCAACCAGTCCGCTCCACTGCCCCGGTCCGCCCAGATAAGATAAGCCTTGCGAAAGTGGGGCCCTCTACGTATCTGTGGGGACCGCAGCTAAGGTAGAAAGCTAGCTAGCTCTGCCCAATCGCCGCCACCGCCCGACTCCACCCGAAACGCTTTGTCCCAACCATTCAACGGTCTACGCCACCGCACCCCGGCCGATCTGTTGAGCTGCATGCTGCAGGCCTGGTAGCCCTGCCCTGGCGAAGAGTGCGGGAAGCGAAGCGGCAGCTTATCTTTCGGGGTTGTTTCTGTTGTTGGTGTTGGTGGGGCGAGAGTAGACTAGAGGGGTGTGGGATTTTGGGTTCGGGATGGGTTTTGAAGGGTGGTGGATGAGTGCGATTATCTGGGGGGATATGAGGATCACTGCACTTACTCACTTACTCAGAGGGTTTCTGGGTATCGTTCGGTATGCATTTATACGACACATGCTCCGTAATTGTGGTTGTAGCGCTTGTTTCTACGAGAGACAATGTCTGACCTATTCGTAAGAATTGCGCGAGGTATGAGTCCCCGCTTCTTTTCTAACTCTACACCCATGCAGATTCCGCTGAGTGCCTAGACGACAGAAAGCATGACGCCAGCTGTTCTGGATAACCAGCTAAGAGCTGGGGTTGGGTCGCGTGAGTATGTAGATTATGGTCGTGGTGGACGTGGCGAGCAGCTGTATCGGTGATGTGTGGGACTGTACGCGGTTGAAGAGAGGTGGGACGGGCTGAACGACACCTCAATCGGGATGCTGATTCTGTGAACTCTCCGGTGGAGATTGAGCCCCGGGTATTGCGGGCTTGCGTCCGGAATGATCTCTTCCTCTGAGTCTGTGTGCAGAAGATTGTTGACGCGTTCTAATGGCGTCTCGAAATGTTTGGGGTGTCTTCGCGGATGCACTCTCGTACGGACATGTGCTAAGATGCTTCTTCCACTGTTGATGGCCCTTAGAGGGCGGTGCGCATCCAAATACTCGGCCAGCGTCCTTCGGAATGATGCCCGCCAGGCCATTGACGGCCATAACCGGTCGTGGTATCTCGTCGTGCCGCCCAGGATACAGTCAACCCCCATCTCTTGGGTGCAAAGAAGCGTAGCTCTCAGGGTCAAGTAGCATTTTCACCCCTTTTGAGAGCCAGTCCCGTTCCTTGCGCACTCGAGAGCGACATGTTCGCCACGTTGATGACTGCCTGGGGGCGAGGCGCCGGCCGCGGCGACATGGCCCACCCGGACGGGTTGGTCTTTATGGCCGGGCTATCTGGTGCTGGCGGGGTGTCGACGGCGTGGCGGGCCATGACTAGGGCACACCGGAACCAGATGGTATGGTTTCGATATGGGTGGGTTGCCTTCAGTCGGTTCATGGTGGTGAATGATTTGTGGCTGGAGAACAAGCCGGGCTAGCATGTATGAAATATACTTGGTAACAAGCTCGTAATTACTCAAGAGTAGGTAATCATCAATTGCCCAAGTTCACTGGGCAAGGAGCCGTTCCTCCAGCTTCGCCCACCAATCTTGCCAATCAACAATCTTCCTTCCAAGTCGAGCTTCTTCGGCAGCAAAGACCATAGCATGGCTCATAAATGCCTCCTTCAAGGTGCAACCAACATGTTTTGCTTGCGCCCGCTCTACGCTGAGTTTACTGTTGATGACAGCCTCCACAGCCTGTGAGAAATTGTTCATCAGACCACCGTCACCACCGCCATGACCGCCAGCGGCCTTTGGGGGGGTGAACACTTTCACCGCCTCCGGGTCCCGGAATTTATCAAATGTGTAGACTCGAATCTCGTTGCTGTCGTACTGTATCTCTCCGTGAGTGCCCGAGATTTTGCCCCGCCGCTTGGACTGGGCTTCCGTAAAAGCGGCCATGTGGAAGACTGCGGTCTTGGGTCCGCGGTCAGGAAATTCCTCACCACTGACAGCGCGAGAGTCGTCATCCCAGGTTAGAGTGACAATTTGATCGTCAAGGACATCATTGTCGGACTCCCAGACACAACGGCCATACCACTGCTTGGACTCGATGGTGGCTCTTGGTGTAGAGGCGTCGTAGTCTGCAGAAAGAACCTCTGTCAAGACGGAACGCCCGTGGTCGGTCCCCGATGCAGCTGTGATGTCTTCTATATCTGGGACGACGACACATATGGGCCAGTCTCGTTCTCCCTTGTCGTAGAGCTTCTCGACGTACAACTTCTTGGCACTCCAATCGCAGCTCCGTTCGTGAGAGCATGAGAAGCAATTAGTGGCGTTTTCAGCTGCCGTCGGTTTTCGATGCTTGGTGAAAAGTGACAGGTTGCCAACTGAGGAAATCAGGCTGGGCATGTGCGCCGGTTCGCCGAAGTCCGTCCTGTAGCAGAGTAGCCACAATATGAAGTCGATGTCATGACAAGACTTGCAAAGAAGTGATGGCGCCGCAACGGACTCCTTTCGCCAGTTGCCTCGCACATAAGAGTGTGAGAAATGGAACCAACCAACTGGCTCTGTATGCTCGACCGATATGACCTCCCCGATCGCCCTGTCCTCTAACAGAAGCCTCCTCAAATGCATGTTGTGAGGGCTGTATCGCAGGACATGACCGGTTGAGAAGATCTTTTCTGGACTGTTTGCTCCGCCGAGGCTGACGTATATGTCCTGACAGTCCTGGAGAGATGTTGCAATCGGCTTCTCGCATAGGACGTGCAATTTCAACGGTCCAAACGCTTGCAGAATCTCCTTGTGCGTGTGGTCCTGGGTGCAGACAATGATGCCGTCAATCCCAGCATAGACCTTCTCACCGGCAGCTTCGGCTTCCCGTCGGTTCTTCTCGTAGTCGAGAAAATGCTGCCACGAATCGAAAGTCTGGTCTTCCCGTGGTACCCCATCCTCCCAAACATATTTCTTGCCAAACGAAATCCGTGTCGACCGGATTGGCTCTGCAACCGCAGCAATGATAGCTGGCAATCCCTCTCGTCGCACGGCAGACGCGTAGGCGGTTCCACGCCGGCCGGCGCCAATGACGAGGAATCGAGGCTTGCGATGGACAGCAGAGCTTCGCTCCGAAGCCGTCAATTTCTCCGCATTGGTGTCCTTTGCCCCGTCCATGTCGACTGTTAGTAGATTGAAGCTGGGCGGTGATGACTCTTCACTCTTGAGTGCTATTGCGTGGGGAAGTACGAATGGAAGCCTACGTAGCACCTAGAGAATCCGTGCGCCTTGCCGACGGGTCTGGGGCTTTTCCGTTCCGGGGGCTGTGCTCCTCAATCGGGCAAACCCCTTCTCTTCGCATCATTCACAGAAACCGACCTTCGAACGTATCTCACCTTAATAGGGTGGCTTGCGATGGCTTCATATGTCTACACCGAACTCCAAGCCACAGTAGGTGACTTGAGGCTGGTCTTCTTACAGCCAGGCAGCTACCACGACGTCCTGCGCTGCAACATTCATCATTATCCACTTCTCGAGCCAAATACACCATTCAAGGATGAAAGGCTACCTGTCAGCGCATTACAGAAAACTCTCCCGGATGGCTGGACGGTGGAACAGACTTTGGATGGGCGATACCTGTTCATGAGCCCACGCCATTCGGGAATCCCTAATTCTTGGAAACACCCAGATGCTGAGTATGATCCAAAAGCGTACGAACTGCCAGAGCATTCTGTTGGCGATAGCTTCGCGTTGCACGTACCTCCATACGAGGCCTTGTCCTATTCCTGGGGAACAGCCGATAACGAAGAATACATCCACATTACCGACCCAGCCAGTACCCACAACACGCCAGCCTGGTTAAAGATCCGCAAAAATCTAGCTGCTGCTCTGGGGCATCTAAGATATCCTGATCGGCCGCGCACGTTGTGGATCGACGCCATCTGTATCAACCAAGCCGATATTGAAGAACGCGGCCGACAAGTCAAACGGATGAGCCAAATCTACCCCCTTTCCGAGAAGGTCATAATCTGGTTGGGCTCCGAGTCCGAGGACAGCAAACATGCGCTAGAGGCCTTAGAGTATTTCAGTAAACAGGTGGAATACGTAATTTCTCATCGATGGGGCGATGCCCCAAACGCTCAGGAGCACGACTGGTGGCGAGACGGGTTTGCGCTGCCCTACGACGGAAAGACATGGAAATCAATATTGTCGCTGCTGCATCGACCATGGTTTGAACGTGTCTGGGTTTTGCAGGAAGCTCTCTCGTGCGACCGAGTGGTGCTCCAATGCGGCCGAGACACCATCTCTTGGGTCCATGTACGCAAGGCACTGCTGGTTCTCCGGCAGAAATCAAGCATACTGCCACATGATATCAGGGACCGCCTCTTCCCATATGCACGAGGCTTGATGGCACCACCGCTTGCTTCATGTGAGCACCTTTTCCTCTGGACGCGAAATCAGCAATGCTCAGACCCTCGAGACAAGGTTTACGGAATTCTAGGTCTGCTAGATCCCAGAATCGTAGCCAAGATTGAGGTGGACTATTCAACCCCTGCGTGGAAGACATACGCACAGCTCGTCTTGGCTGAGATGGAAGTCTACCAGAAATTGAATATGATCAACCACTGCAACATGACGACGCGCCTCGAGGGATATCCATCGTGGGTGCCAAACTTGGAGCGACCAATTGAAGGTGCAAACATGGGGTATTTGAGCATTCGAAGATTTTATGCTTCCGCACGCTCCAGCGCTGTTGCGAAGCTCATCGAGCCGGCTTACCATCTGCAAGTCACCGGGAGACGCATTTCCACCATCAGTCGTGTCAGCTACGACTTGACTGGTACATTTGTACAACTCATCGAAGTGGTCCGTGATTGGGCGCCAAAAGATCCAGAAAGCAACATGTACGTCTCGGGAGGACTTTCCATGGATGCATATGTCGAAGAGCTTGTGCGGGGCAGGACCAGCGACAGAGCTCTGGGCGATAACCCGTGTCCGTCAATTCGGCGGCTTCGTGAGCTCTTGACGCCGGCATTAGCCAGCGCCGAACTTGATGACGAAGTGGCGCGGGCATTCAAAGACTGCTTTTTCGCGAATGAATGCCTCTTTACTACCACGGAAGGGTATATGGGTGTCTCCGCAAGAGGCCTGCGCGAAGGCGAGTCCCCATCTTGTGGCCTACCTCTAGCCACCTACCACCGTGCGGTGCTAACCTCTACAACTAGGTGACGAAGTTGCTGTAATCCTTGGATGCGACTTCCCGATGGTTATACGGCCTGGAGGTTCCGACCGATACGAGGTCGTTGGGCCGTGCTTCGTGCATGGGCTGATGCTCGGCGAGGCCTTGAAGCCGCCTTTAGAGCCGCCGTGGAAAGATGCGCTTCCTGTCACCAAAGGCTGGGCATTGCCGTACTTTGTCAACACCGAGACAGGTGAGCTGTTGAAGGGTGATCTAAGGCTTGGATCGTTACCTCCTGGCTGGGAAGAGGTGACGTCGCTCGATCCTTTTTTGCCGCCCTTCGTGTTCGAGAACAAAGACGATGGATGCATCAGCATCAATGATCCGAGGATGTCAGCAGACGCTATTCAGCAAAGAGGCATCGTACTGGAGACTCTAGAGTTAATATGATGACTGTAGTACAGTGCCAAGCTAAAAGTTTAGTTCCCCTACAACGCGATCGCGCCTACCTAAAAAAGCTATTGTGACGCCTATCTAGCCAGAGACCTCTCAGAGCCTGGTCAGGCTAACTCTAGTTACGTGCCAGCCTAGTATATAGCCTAGTCTCCTTTCTATTCTTACTCTATAAGGATTTAACTATATACTAGTACTGCCTAATATATTCTTTTACTGCTTCTTAGTATACTGTCTACCTGCCTTACTAACTACCTTATAAGAATTTTCTTCGTTAAATAAGAATCCTTCTTTAAAAGGCAAGGATATGCAGGATTAACATCTAATAAGTAGTAGCGACCTACTTCCTTTAAGTAGTTTTAAATCTAAAGAATAAAGGTAAAAAGAGGGAGGTGTTTTGACACTACGCGTGGTGGCATTTAATTATTGCCATAGTCTTGTAGGCGCATTGCCGCAGTGCCAGTTTCACTTGCTTAATGTTCACTTTCCCTTTCAATGCGCTAAGATGAAGCTTAGCCAGCAAGAACCTAGAAAACCGTTATTACAGTAGACTTCTTCTAAGGAAGGGCCGCATGGCTTACATTCCGTTCGCTACCTGCATGATAGAAGCCTGATTTCTCTCCTGAGGGCCTGGTCATTGATCACTATCGGAAGCACGTGCGGGATCTGATGCTGTAGGTATCGGCCAATGTCTTCATCCGAGGCCCTGATTGGGAAATTCGCGTCTTCCTTGAAGTGCTCCCGGATGCATTGGCTATTATGGGACCTTGCCAGTATATTTGCGTCCGATGTTTCCTGGACGTCTTTCAATATCTTGAGGAACTCTTGTCGAACGCCATTATTCTACTGCCACTCGTCGAGCCCATCAACGACAATGAAGCACCTCTCGTAGGACAAGGCAACGTGATATAGAGTAGCCTTTAGTTCTTTCATAGAAGGCTGCGTTTTGCTGCTTTCGTGCTTTTTGTACAGTTGCTTCAGGAGTGTGGGGAATGGCCGCTGTGACTGCGCAAGCTGCTTTAGAAGACTGCTGATAAGGTCTGCCAGCGCCTGGCTGTTGTGTTGACGGTAGTTGCAGGAGATGTATGCCAAGCCAACACCCATTGAGGTTGGCCTTGTGGACCGAAGATGACGAACAACTATGTGATGAAAGTTTTGCCTGCTCCAGGCATGCTGGGCAAGAACAGCGCCTGGCCTTCATCTTTGAGCCACGTCTGGAATTTCTTTGCATCTAGGAACCATTGACCGGTTTCTTCATGCGCTCATCGTTTAGGCATTTTGCTGGGAGGTGTAGTCCGTAGGTGTGAGCAAGTGCAAGATCTCTTCTTCCTCTCGCTCAGCGCAGGATTCTTGCACCGTTCGCGTCATTTCGTTCACGCACTCCTCTATATCTGGTTTATACGTAAGGCAAGTCAATGAAGAGCCAGATGTTTGTAAAGTGACCCAGGACTGACCCTGAGCATCTTGCTGATTTTCTCCACAGCTGCGACCTTCGAAGGAGGCAGAACACGCAGGATCTCCTTGGCGTATGCTGCTGCCATAATCGCCGCATATCCGTGCCTGTCGTCGTTTCTGTGAGAGTCCGAATAGTTGCAGATTCCGCGGATGACAAGGCAAGGAAAGCGATTCATCAATCCCGCCGCTTCCATTTCAAAACATAGAACGTCCTCTTCCTCGGCCAACTTATCTCGGACTGTGGCGACTTTCATGAGAGATGATCCCGTTGCTATGATTCCGTAATGTACAGCAGGGTCGTCTACGTCTTCATTTCGGGCTGCTCGCTGGACGATGGTCGACGCGTCGTCGACGAAGAGCGCGGAGCAACCGCTAGGTCCTGGATGGACAAAATTGGGGACGTATAGGCGGTCGGTAGTCGCCGCCGGGCGTCGGTACTTTCTCGCCAACCGTTTGTATTTGGTGAGGACGCCGCCCACCATATCTTGCAGCTGATGTCCTTCCAACTCGTAGTCTTGTGCGAGTTTACCTACGGCGGACAATAAGAACGACGGTGGCTCATTGAGGTGCTGGGTTATCTTGAATGGCTGATGTTGAATAGCCTTCCCGTGATCGTATTGGAGTACGCCACCGGTCCTCCCAACTGGTGCACTCACGACGATGTCTCCAAGGCGAATATCATGGTTTTTGCTCGGGGCACCGCCACCAATACCTACCATCAAACAACATCGCAAATTCGGGAAACTGCGCACCATGTCGCCGATAACGCTCGTTGCTGGGGATATGCCGTATTTGCCCTGTGGCAACGAGGCGACCACAACGTTATGGCTTTCCATCTTTCCCGTGGTGTATACATTGTTGTCCTGACTGGAGCCGTGGAGCGATGGAATGACTGGGGGTTCATGCTGTTCATCGAAAAAGGAGCGCAGCGCGACGGCTTCAGTGGTGAGGGCACAGACGAAGCCGACCGTGTAATTATGTACGTCCGGCATCGGAGTCGCCGATGAGATGGATCCTCAGGCTTAGGAGGTCGAACAGAAGAGGAGTCGAGTAGATGCAGGAGGAATGCCCCGCATTGCGCTGCTGCCTTAGCTCAAGCAAGGCTATGTTCAGCTCCGTGAGGCTGAAACGGCCCCCACTGGTCTTCCGGTCAAGGCAACAGTCGAGAACACCAAAACTCATTTTCCAACCTCACATTCAATCCAAGGAAAATGAGACTGAACGAAGTAGATGTACTCGAGCAAGGTAAATCCCGTACTCCTTCATCTGCCAAAGGAGCGTTCTGACTGCGGATGTAGGAATTGAGTCTCGCAGGTCGACCTGGGATGCTGAATTAGCGGATTTAGATAGACCGTGTGAAGGCGTCACCGCCAACAATCGACTTCGCATTATGTTCGTGCCGTGCAAGGCGCATCCCAGATTCCACTAATCATGCCAGATTCGGATCCGCCCAGGGCCTTGGAAAAGTCACTCAACGAGGCGAGGAATGCAGAAGCTTGTTGCCCTCCGATCTCGTAGCTGCGGCCCTTAGGGACTTGAATGGCTCTTTTGGCAGCCGCCACTACCCGCTTAGCGACGGTGGCCGTAGAAGTCATAGTAAGTATAGGCTAGATTCGCGCGACACTGAATGGCTCACCGGTCCATAGGTGTCTGGTATACCTTCAAGATCAAGCAGGTCTTGCGCGATCGAATCGCCGGCCAGCTCTCATATTATTGGGAGCAAGTTACGACATTCAGCAGATACCGCGCGAAGAATGCTTCGTTTGTTATGTGCCTCAACTGCCCGAGCGATATGCGGAAAGCTCTGCAAATGAAGCTCGGTGCCTGTGATGCGCATACGATAGCGAAGTGGCACGAGATATTCCTCGAAACCGTAAGAGACATGTACGATCGGTCAGTGTGGTCCCTCCGCGACTGGGTCCGGAACGCAGAGCGTGTACGTACCAATACTTCGCTTTACCGGTCATCGCTCAATGGTACTAGGCTCGTAGGGATTCGAACTACTCGCCGAATTGCGAATTTCTTCATGAGATTGCGCGGCATCTCATCCACTCCAACGAGACGCTGGATGTGGCGCTTGACACGACGGAGTGTGTCCAGAAGTACTGCAGACGATTCGCAGTAGCGGCTTCCACAAGCCCGAAGCAAAGGGAGCAAAATCTGGAGGGTCTGGAGCGGCTGTCTGTGCTAGGGAAAGATATGAAGGGAATCAAAAGGCGATCAGAATCTTTGAGAGAAAGATTGCAGAATGAGATCAACCTGGTTCGTAGGAGCGCCCAAAGAAGCGGACAGTTGGAGAATTGACTGCATAGGCGTTCCATTTAATTGCGCAGCGCGACAGTCGCATCACACTGCAAATGGGCGAGGATTCGCGAAAAGACAGCAACAATATGCGCTCGATCGCAATCGTCGGCCTCGTGTACCTCCCCGGAACCTTCGTATCGGGCCTCTTCGGGATGAATTTCTTTGATTTTAATGTTGACTCAGGCCGACAAACTTGGGCCGTGTCAGAGAAATTGTGGCTGTATTGGGCGATCACGGTGCCCCTCACGCTTGCGACGATCCTGCTATGGGTTGTGGCGTTCCATGGCGATGCAATCACGAGGAGGTTGAGAGCGAGATGAAGGACGATAGGAAATAGGAACGAAGGGAGGTAATGGAAAGCCTGCCTATTCAGATTAGTTTTGAGATAGATTTAGGGAGCGCTTTAGCGGGTTGTCGTCGGTTTAACATTTACCAAGCATATCCGCCTTCTCTCTTTCTCTCCCAAACTTCAAATAGCCGAGCTGCAATTCCAAGCCAGTGTTCTTACCCACGACCCATTCTGGCACATCGGAGTCTCGCAGTTCCTCGTTGATCTCCCCAACGAGGGTCGCGAACTCCTTCCTCCCCTCTGGACCTTCAAAGAAGGCATTTCCAATGAATCGGCCAAGCGTTACATGCGCTGAAGGCGCCGTATAACACATATCGATGCTGACTCCGCTCTCCAAAGCCAGAGCATGCATATCGCTCCTCAAGTGGTGGTATGTATATGGGTCTTCCTTCGTCGGAATGAAGTTTAACGCAATTCCCATCTTGTCGAAACTTAGCTGTGGAGATATGAGTCTAGGCTTTCTGGGGAGGTTCGAGACGGAATTGAGGATTTGCTGAATTCGGGAGACTTCGACCTCGTTTTCGACCGCGCGCAGATGCGGGGCTGAGTGTCGGTGCGAGAGCTCGATGACGGAGAGATGGAGATCCTTGGATGGTATCAGATAAATATCCGGTCCGACGAGAGATGCGATTCGCTGCTGAAGGTTTTGAATGAGCGTGATGATCTGTGGTGGAGGTCGTGCCCAGATCACGAGGCAGTTGACATCCTGTCCATCCAGGTCGTTAGATAGGTCGACAGGTCCATTCTTGCTGGCATTGCGTCTCCTTTCCCTCTCCAGGTGCTTGATAAGCGCTTGGTCCGGAGTCACTGGGTTCATTCCCGCAGCTAGAAATGCTCTGCATTGATTTAGGCCGTATGCCTCTCGATGAGTTTCATATGCCTCCTGAACGCGCGCCTGAGGATTGTCAACCCTGCTTTAAACCCCTAGACTGGAGCACTCACAGGATTTCCAGCACACTGCGGATCGTCAAGCAATTCCTTGTACCAATTCCTCCGCGAGGGTGGCCCAGCAGCCAGTGCTGGAAACGTAAACTCTCCCATCGAGCCTCTTGGGGCATGCCCAAGATCGACGTTTTGCTGGGTGAGCGACATTTAGAAGAGGCTATTTTGCTTCACAAGGGGAGCACTTCGGGATATTGCATCATAGTTGGGCTGAATGTCGTGCCCCAGTAAAAGTTTTAGGGGGAAGCGAGGTTCCCTGAGGTGAGCAGTGAGGCGCATCCTCCTGCATACTCGTATCTGTGGCTATGCGACGCTAGACCGGCACCCATACCTGGTTGGGGAAAAGATCCGCCAGCAGACCATAATTAATCAGCGAAACCCGGAGAGCGTGATAAGACCCCTCCGGCGCTTTTGCTGAGGTCCGTTTCCTCCTTCTACGTCTTGTTGACTTTGCTTTGTTCCAGAGATTTCCAGTGCTATCTTTCGGGTGATATCCGCTTCAGTCCTGCTCTTCCACATAAACCAGATGAGGAACGTCAGGCCAGTGAGGGGAATCATAGTGATGAGAAGTATCCACCATTGCGAAGAGACGCTGAAGGGGGAGCTTGCGGCCGCAGTAGACGTCGATTGCGCTGGAGAGAACAGATTGGTACCGAGAATACCCTAAACGTCGCTTAGCGAAATTCGCGCACACCCACCGGGAGGTGTGGAGAGATACTCACGGAGACGAACGTCCCCGGGAGGAAGAGCATGGAAACAACGGCGATAGCTTTCATTGATGCGCTTTCGTGCATAGCTTGCATTCCAACTCTTTCGCTCCAACGAGCATTATGCTGCCCAGAAAGGTTGAATAGCTGCCTAGTATGAGTACATCGTCCGCCGCCACCCGCGAAATCCTGAGACTTACTAGGTCAAGGAGACGTTGTGCTCTGTTCGAAACATCTTCAATCGAAGAACGAAAGTAGGTGATTTGGTTTTCCAGGCGATCATACTCCTCGTCGACGCGTAGAGACAGCCAGTCTCGATCTTCGGGCGCTGGTACTTTCTTCACTAGCCTGTAGAACAGGTCATGCTGCTTGCGTAGCCGATCTATCACGCCCAGGATAAATGTTAGCTGCACCTTGTCTTGGTCGAGGTTTCGCATCGTGAGATGGAGCGTTCGCACGTCAATTGCATTGACCTCGTTCCGGGTCCCTTTCGCCTGAATGTGGGCCTTCTCTTCTTCATCTCTAACGCTGTCTCGCGGGTCACGCGCTGCTCGGCGATACCATTGGGCTGTCGAGTTGAAGTGCAGCAGAGTGATTGCGAAAGGGTTGCTCGCGATAGATTCTGTGCTCGGTTGCATAACTAACTCTTCGACCTTTGCGATCAGCTCTCGCTTTAACTTGGAGGGCAGGTCATTCCATGATCGATACTTCAGCAGTACGACTGTAGTATCGCTCTCGACATCGTACCTGGTGACTATAGTCACCTTCAAGTCCGCATCCTTGTCGACTTTGCGATAGTACGCTCGTGCCCGTATAGCGTACCAAAACTCTATGAGGTTGGTCAGCTGTCGATTTTTTAATGTGGATAGAATTGCCTCATACCAAAGGATATGATATCCTTCTGTTCGTTCTTCCTCACTCTGGACCCGAAAATCTGCTCTTGACCCCTAATGTGCGAACAGGCAGCCGGCGCAATATCGTATTTTGTCAAGATTTCGAAAAGTGCTTTCCGTGAGATGTTGAACTGATCGCTAGTGAACGTCGAGGGTTTCTCGGGATCGGCTGGGTCTACCGTATTCTCATCGTAGAGCTCGTTCTTGCGCAGAACTTCAGCGGCATCCGGATTCTTTGCCACCTCGGCTGCAATCTTTTCGTGCACTGTAGGCAACAGGAGGATGAATCGAACCTGAGGCGGAGGCTCATCCAGGATTTGGTGGATATCCGCATCTGAACAATATCTCTTGGTTCCAACTCCATGATGGTGGTCCAGGACGAGGACATTCGACTCCGCCGCGTAGCCTTCCGAGCGCCAGGACCTCGTTTCCGTCTTCAACTCTTGCTGCGCAAGTTGCCCATCATCAAAAGCGGCGACATATGACGGAAGACAAAAGGGGTAGTGGGGAAGATCGGCCTCTAGCATTTTGCAAGTCGTTCGCCCATCAGCTCACCACGACGCCAGAGTAGAAGCTTTTGACCTGATGCGGCTCACCCGCATACACAGCCGCCTTCGTGGCGTCGATTTCGGCATCCTTCGCGCATCTAACCTGCCCTCGAGACGGGATTGGTCCGTGGGAGAGCCACGGCGCTTGGTTGGGGGCCATTTCAGCCTTGACCGGTCTCGTGGCCTAGGACAGGAGTGGAGACGAGATGTAAGGTTCGACTTCATGATAAGGAGCGGCACTTGGTAGGGTCGTCCGAAGAAGGTTGAGGAGAAACGAAGGCAGATAATGATTGAGCATGTGGCTGGCGAGGATTACATAATCCACTGTGGCGTTGAAGGCCCCACCTTAACTCTTCTCCACTCCTCGCAGACGTAGTATCCACAGGCTTCCCATGTTGCTTGGAGCTGCCTTCACAGGGGATCGATACTTAGACCGGAGCCCAAATCACACTACCCTTTTTCGTCTCTTAGTCGTTAGTTTGTCCAGATGTGGGGAATAGTACGAGCTTACCCTCAGCAGGACCATGCCTACAAGAACCCCTCCAGCTCCAGCCCCGCCGGGGTACGGCCATCCTCCTCCCCTCCTCTGCCGTCGCGAGCATGACTTCCTCTGGAAACTCGAACGCGGCGACCTTTCAGAATGATCCCGCGCTCCCAATCGCCATCGTCGGCGGCGGGCTCGGTGGGCTGGCGCTCGCTATCGGGCTCCTCAAGCACGGAATCCACATCCACATCTTCGAAGCTGCTCCGGTATTTTCTGAAATTGGCGCTGGCGTAACTTTTGGGGCCAACGCAACGCGAGCCCTAGGCTTGATCGACGAGGCGTTGCTCGAAGGCTACAAGAAGCACGCAACGTTCAACGAAAACCGCGAGCACGATGACACATTCGCATCCCTGAGATGGGGCATGGACGAGAGGAAAGATGGCGGAAAGAAGGCTGGCGAGTTGATGTGGCACTTGGTGGACAAGTGGCACCCTGAATTTGCGAAGCAGATCGGGGTCCGGGCGAGGAGTTGCATACACAGGGCACGACTGCTGGACGTGCTGGTCTCGCTTGTACCCGAGGGGACCACAAGTTTTGGGAAGAGCTTTGAGGGCGTTGAAGAGCAGCCTGATGGCACGCTCAGACTGCACTTCGTAGATGGGACCACAGCAACGGCGAGTGCGCTAATTGGCTGCGACGGCATCAAGAGCAAAGTCCGAGAGATCGTCTGCGATCCCGCAGTCCAAGCGAGCTACGCAGGCGAATATGCCTTCCGGGCTATGGTACCAAAGGCCGAGGCTGAGCGCGCCTTGGGACCTGAGCTTGCTCGTAACGGGCAGATCTATTGTGGCTACGGCGCCTACATGATCAATTACCCTGTCGAGCACGGCGATTTCACCAACATGGTAGCTATACCCCTTGACCCAGACAAGTCTTGGGATCAGGATGAATGGACTGTTCCTACGACCAAAGACGAGTTCGTACGCTATTTCGAGGGCTGGTTTCCCCCGCTCGTCGATCTTATCCAGCGGTACTGTCTGCCGTCGAAATGGGCGTTGTTCAACCTTCGGCACTCAGCGCCGTACTGCAGGGGCCGCATGTGCCTGCTCGGCGACAGCGCTCACGCGACGACACCGCATATGGGAGCTGGCGCCGGCATGGCCATGGAAGACGCATATATCCTCAGCAACTTAATCGCTTCCATGCGTGGGTCTGCGAGCATTGAAGCTGCTTTCCGAGCGTACGACGCTGTCCGACGCCCTCGTACTCAGCAACTGGTCGAAAATAGTTTGAATGCAGGCGTCGCACTGGATTTAACGCTTCCTGGCGTTGGCGACGATACAGATGCCTTGAAAGAGTGGCTGGAAACTCGGTACAGGTGGTTGTGGCACGAAGACCTCGAAGCACAGTTGGAGAAAGCGAAGAAGTTGCTCTAGGGAGGATAATCAATCGCGAAACTGCCGATGCGACTGCGATTATGCTGTGCTTACCGCGTCTTTGTAATCGTGCCCACTTTTGATTCCCTCAGACAATTTTCGCTTGGCTGACAAATAAACATGTATCACGTCATGGGTTTAGTATTCGATACCGAGGAAACATGCGCAAAAGGGTTGCAACTTTCCAAGGTTGAAATCTCGGGAAATTTCGATTTAAAACGGCCGAACTTGGCCGACCCGCTTTTCAAGGCTATATATTCTTCCTCAGGCGCGCTTCCCCCTCGCACCCACTGCCATCCTCCTAGATACCCAAGTTCCAACACACACCAAAAAGCACCATCTCCAGCAACTTCACCAATCATGTCAGACTCACGACTTTTCCAGCCCCTCAAGTTGGGCAACATCCAACTTAAGAACCGCGTCGTCATGGCTCCACTCACGCGATTCCGCGCAACGGACGCTCATGTGCCATTGCCAATGGTTGCTGAATATTACGGGCAGCGCGCCTCAGTGCCCGGAACGCTCCTCATCACAGAAGCGACTTTCATCTCACCTCAAGCGGGTGGCTACGCAAATGTTCCCGGCATCTATAACCAAGACCAGGTCGACGCCTGGAGGAAAGTGACGGATGAGGTGCACAAGAAGGGAAGCTTCATCTACCTACAGTTGTGGGCCTTGGGAAGAGTTGCAGACGTGAAGCAGTCGGAGAAGGAAAGTATCACGGTGAAGAGTTCGAGTGCGGTGCCATTGGACAAAGACCATGCGACTCCCAAAGAGATGACGATTCCTGAAATCAAGGAAATGATCGGGACATATGCGCAGGCTGCTAAGAATGCCATCGCGGCGGGATTTGACGGCGTGGAGCTACACGGCGCGAACGGATACCTTATCGACCAGTTCATCCAGGATAACGTCAACCAGCGGACCGATGAGTACGGTGGCAGCGTCGAGAACCGCTCAAGGTTTGCCATCGATGCTGTGAAGGCTGTCGTTGATGCCGTAGGCGCCGAGAGAACCGGGATTAGGCTATCGCCTTTCAGCACCTTCCAGGGCATGCGCATGAAGGACCCAGTCCCCCAATTCTCCCACCTCATCAAGCGACTCAACGATTTTAACTTATCCTACGTCCACCTCGTCGAATCGCGCATATCCGGTAACGCGGACGTGGAATCCACCGACCGCATTGAGCCGTTCTTCGATCTCTTCGATGGCCCCATCCTTGCTGCTGGAGGCTTCAAGCCAGACTCGGCTAGGCGGTTAGTCGACGACGAGCAGCCGAAGCGCGACATCGCGGTCGTATTTGGGAGGTACTTCATTAGTACTCCTGACCTCGTTTTCCGACTGAAGAATGGGATCGAACTGAATCCTTATAACAGGAATACGTTCTATCTACCGATGAAAGAGGAGGGATATACGGATTATCCGTTTAGCAAGGAGTTTTCGGCTACTGCGAATCTGTGAGCGTTCAAGCGGTGAGCATCTGGATGCATAACCGGCGTTGGTACATGGGTCGCGCGCACAAGAGTCCCCGTGGAATGATAAAAGGTTAGACACACCCTGCTAGATTTGAACATAGACCGACCTTGAGTAGTATACTCGTCATTTCAGTCTCAAATCTTTCCTCCGTTGTCAACGTCGTTTGAGCTCATCCCATGCCTCCTCCTTCCTCGCCTTTTCTGTTTACTCTAGTAAATGCTCTGGGCTCTTCAGATCTACCCACCCCAGGTTTGGCTCACTCTGCTTCCAGCCTAGTCGCTCTTGCACTAGCTTACTATACTCCCTCACGTCTTTGATTGGATAGCTCAAGTAACTGATTTCCTCCTGCCGGTAGTTTCCGCTGCAGCAGAACATGATGTGCACCATGCGATCCCCATCTGGCAAACCATACTCCCCGGCGCCGTGGTAGGTGCTACCTAACATCATGAACGCTTCATTCTTCTTCAACTCCGCGTCCACAACACCCTTACACCCGTCGTCCCCGAAGTCCGGCCTCCCATCGCCCCAGAGGTGAGAACCGGGTACAACCCGCGTGGCACCGTTGGCGCGGGTGGTGTCGCACCCTGGGACGAACAGGCCGAGCAGCATGTCTCGATTCGGCGTGTAGGCAGTTGCTGACGCGTGGCGATGGTGGTGGTTTTTGTCGTCGCGGTGTAGCTTTTGCGCGGTGGTGCCTGGGCCGGAGCACATGGTTATGCTGATGCTGAGGAGGGGCGGGCAGGTGTTCGTTGAGGGTTGGTCGGAGTACCAGCATGTTGTTGTAAGGGAGAGGAAGTGGGTCACCATGTCCTGTGAACCGTCGATTAGAACCACAAGATCAAGATAGTGGAATGTTGGACTACCTGGAACAAAGGATCGCTGAAGAATTTCTCGCGGACGGTCTTGCTTCTGCCGACCAAGCGCGTGCAGGTTTTGGTTCCGCCGTTCAAGGCTCCGACCGTGCTGTTGGACTCGTCTTTATCCAGCCATGGCTGCACTTCTTTCCGCGCTTGCTCTAGGGTTTCGTCGTTTGTGTAGCCCGTGACTATCACGCAGCCGTCCTTTTCTAGTGCTGCGATGAAGTCCGAACGTGGGGCGGTGTAGGGAATGCGCTGGATAGACATGACCAAAAGGAGGCTATGGTAGAGTGCTAAAAAATGACAGTCTTTTAAAATGTGCGCTCATAACTATAGGTAGGACCCAGGTAGATATGAGGACTTCAAATACGACGTCGAGCGGAGGGCTTATCCGATACGCGGAGATCGGCGACGGCGTGCTTAGCCGATAGCTGGAGGTTCTTCCAAGATTGTATGCTCCATCGACCACCACCGCCAATCCATCTCAAGGCCTGGTTTTCTTTCCAAAAGTAGTTATTCAAGTGGCAAGATAAGATTGGACTCGAAAGGAGACTTCTGAGAAAGAGGTCGTTCAGCCCTCTACGACAGGCTAACCGTTTCAGGAATAGCTCTCACCCCACATTTTCGTCTGAGCTCAAAGACTCGTTCCTGTCCTACTTAACCATGCATTTCGTATCTCATAGCCTACATGGCTCTAGGTTGAGAAGAGCGATCTGGTGTTCATCCCTTCTTCACCGCCGCCTGTAACTCCCGATTACGTTGGTTGACGAACTGTTTCACCGAATCACAGCGCCCTCGATTTCTTCCGCCATACCAGGCACGCCAGAATGCTACGAAGTGGCACAGCATCGAAATAACATTTCAGATATTAACGGAAACGGGACTCGCGGATGCAATGAATGGTTTCTTCATCCCCCACCTTTAGTGGCACCGCTCTCGATCGCTTGTTAGATTCCAACACTGCGGCACAGACTGTTAAAAATTGTATTAGAATCTCCCTGCTTACATTTAGCCGCAGCGTCGAATAAGTGGGCCCCGCGACTGCCATGCCATGTACGAGGCTATTGCCTGTTTGGGCTGACGCTGTGCCGCATTTACACAGTAACACCTAAACCAAAGAACATTCCAGCATCTTTTACACCTCATTCTCGCGCACCTCAAAGACACTGAGCCCAGAATGGCATCTGCGACACAGCTGTTACTGTCCGTCGTAACCGCAACACTAATCTTCTACGTCGGCAAATTTATTAGGCATCGGCATTTCTACAGTAAGCTGGTAAGGAGTCGTCAACACGCTTATATTACCGAGCTTAGCTGAACTGAGGTAGCCAGGACCTCCTCATGATTTTCTATGGGGTCACCTCAAGCTTTACAGCGAGACTCTCGCTCTGTTTCCTCCCCAGAGGTAAACGACCGCAGTCTATCCTCTCAATTTCGCTAAATCGACCCACAGTCACTTCCAGGTCGTTGTTACAACGATAGCCCGCAAATATAACCTTCCAGGACTCTTCTACATGGATCTATGGCCTCTGGGTCCCGAACAACTCATCATCGCAGACCCGGCATTAGCAACACGGTATGTTACTGGCCGGATCCTGCCAAAACACCATCGGCTATCCGAGTACCTCAATCCAATCCTTGGGGAAGGTAACATTATTACGTCCAACGGCGCGCGCTGGAAGCGTCTGCATGACATGCTCGCACCTGCCTTCTCGAGTGCTCACGTCTCGCGTATGGCTGGCATGATTGCCCAGGATGTCAAAATTTGTACGTAACGTGCCGGCAGGAAGTGCGTGTCCCTCGTCAGAGTATGTGCAATGGCTCGCTAAACTGCCCCACAAGGGGCATTTTGGATATGGCTATAGCGAGTACCCGACTGAGACATGGGCGTGCCCTGACTTGGGAGCTACACTAACTTCGAAACCTCATCTTTAGTCCATGATATCTTACGCGATCTAGCGAATTCTGGAAAACCGTTTCGATTGCAAGATAAGATTACCGCTTTGGCTTTCGACATCATCTTCAGAGCGATCTATGGCAGCTCTTCCAGTGCCCAAACGCAAGGGAATGACGACCTTGACTGCCTCGACGCTGTCGCCAGCGCTGTTGTGACAGCACGAGAGACCTGGAATCCATTCAAGATGAGAGATATGGCACATAATGGGGCATCCGCTGCGAAAAGCCTGGATTATAGTATCACCACGAAAATCAGGACGCGATTCGATGCGCTCAAGCAAGATAGCATTGACGTCAGCAACAAGCGAGGTCTCGGAATCCTAGACTTGATTTTGCGAGAGCGCATCCACGAGACCCAGGCAACCTCAAACCCAGCCCAACTTGACGCAGATTTCATGGGATTGCTGTTGCGAATATCAAAGCTATGATGCTTGCCGGGACCGGCACCACAACGGTAAGCCAACGCCGCGGTACGAACACCAACTGAGATGTGCTGATTATACCGTCACATTAGGACACTCTATGCTTTATGTTCATGCTGCTGTCCACCCATCCAGACGTTGTCGGGAAGCTACGTAATGAGCACAACCGCGTATATCCCTCAGATGTGGAAACCACTCTCTCGGTGCTTGAAATCAATCCGCAGAAATTGAACGAACTAGACTACACAACGAAGGTGATCAAGGAGACACTTCGCATCTATCCTATCGGCAACACAGGCCGCGCGCCAGACGTACCCGGCCCCATCACGTACAAAGGAAAACAATACCCTACCAAGAAGAACACGTTGATATGCCCCGTGCAACACACATGGCATATGGACGAAGCGGTGTTCCCAAATCCGGATAACTTTGACCCTGACAGATTCACTGGCATGGATAGAGCTTCACAGATTGCTTGGCGCCCATTCGAGCGCGGCAATCGAGGCTGCTTGGGCCAGACCCTCGCAATGGACGAGATGAAGATGGTCTTGGTGTTGACGATTCGATACTTTGATCTCAAGTGTTATGGGCTGAAGCCAAATGAGAAGCCAAGAGTGCCGTGGACGAACATGGATTTGGTGTTTGGGGATCGCGCTTTTCAGGAGTTTACGACGGAGGCGAAGCCGAGAGATGGGATGATGATGACGGCGGCGAGAGTTAAGACGGGTTAGATAACGAGCCATGTGAACTGCTGATGTGGAGGCGGCTTGAGCACCGCACTTCCAGGGTTATTCTGCCACCGCGCCAGGTTGTTCTTTGGGAGTTTGTCATTGTTTCGAGCTTTGCAGTCCAAGAAAAAGCTTAGGCGAAACCTTTATTCCTCATCTATAAGACTATATTTCCTCTTAGCATTTTTAAGCGTACGACAGAAAGGTATAATACCCCCCTCTCAAGCTTCCCGCTTTTCTCTGCTTGGCCGGCAATGGTTTGCGCTGCAACTGGAATCCTTCGACTCCGTTCCACCTTCGCCTCGAGTTCTTTGAAAGGGGATGAAGGCGATGATTGACACGTAGAACAGAACTAGGCGGGGATTGGACAGCGTATCGATATACTAAGAGGGTACGTATTGTTTCCCCACCGGCTGGATCAACGCAGCTGCACTTGCTACGCTAATTTTGTACGACCTCTTCATGTTCCCACAAGAACTTACATCCCGTGTCGTCATCAAACCACACGTCATCAACAGCGCCAAGCTGCGTATAATTCACACTCATTACCTCACCGGTCCGATAATCGGGCCATGTGGGCTTCAAAACCTTGCTCCAGCTCTGCGCATTTGGGTCGCCATGGATCGCGAATGAAACGTACCAATCCTTCATTACGTCGGCTAGCGTGACATTCGCGCCAGGCTCGGATGCGTAGTTTAGATCGCCCAGAAAGGGTCCGGTGGAGGCGTGGATTTGCGTGCCGGCGTCGAAGACGAATTTGTAGATGGGCTGGTTGGAGGTGGCGAGAGAGGAGGCGATGTAGTAGGATGGGCAATTGATGATGAAGTCGCCGAACCAAGCCTGTCGCTGCCAGAATGTAGAGTTGAAATCCTCTCTCGGATACAGCTCGTACAGCTCCTTGACAAAGTTCTCATCCGCGTAGGGAAACTGGATGCTGATGTCGGTCGTCTCTTCTGCCATAGTGGTCATGGACTGATTGCTGAAGGCGTAACCTTCGTAGCCCTCCCTGCTGACAAACGTGGGCACCTTGGTGAAATGACCGGTTTTGAATTCTTCTGAGGGCCAATCTTGGATAACGCTTCCGTCGACATACGGCCCATAGTAGAAACTGCCGTAGCCGTACGACCCTTCGGCATACCCCTTGATGTAGCTTGCTTGTGTCGCGGCCTTCAGCGTGTCCTCTGTCACATGTCGCAGACATGCAAGCGTGGAGCAGTTCGTAGCGGTGAGGAGATAACCGAATTGCGTCGCGAGCCGCTCTTCTTTGAGCAACTGCTGCCACCAGGGAAAGTCCGCAATTGCAGCTCGGAACGGCGGGTCCTCGACACCACCGTGCATGATCATCTGGCTGGTCACGCTTCCTCCGCCAGCGCTGCCTCCCCAGATGGTCACCTTCGCTGGGTCGCCTCCGAAAGCCGAGATGTGTTTCTGCACCCACTCTAGTGCGAAGCGTTGATCGAGCAATCCAACGTTTGGCGCGCCTCCTTCCTGAGCGTACTTGTCCGAACCCAGGAAGCCGTATGCGCCGAGGCGGTACTGGATGCTCACGAAGACGAAGGCGTTGTTTGAGTGCTGCATAAGCGCATATGGCTCGCCGATACTGGCCCACCCTTCCACGTATCCTCCGCCATGGATTTGGAAGATTACAGGTAGCTTTGAATATTTGGTCGCGTTTCCGGGGATGACGACGTTCAGGACTAAGCAATCCTCAGATCCGGTTGGGAACTGCGCAGAGCGACCGGTCCAGTAGGTGTTGCCTTGGACGCAAATTGGGCCATCCTGCGTAGCATCAATTATGGTGTTGGTGAGATTCTTCGGTGTGGTGTACGGCTGTGGTGCTTTCCAGCGGAGCGGCCCGATAGGAGGAGCGGCGAAAGGGAGGCCGAGATATTCTGTGATATCGAGTGTGGAGTTGTAGCGTCCGCGATATTTGGCGTAGCCGAGATCGATGACTGGATAGGTGGTGTTTTGCGCAAGAACGATGGCGGTAAAGAGTGTTGCAAGGAAAGAGAGGGTGCTGATCATGTCGGTCATTGCGATCAACGCGTCATTCCACGACGCCACCGTTCTCGATTGCGGACTTAAACCACCACAATGCTTCCAACGACGGACGGCAGGACATCTTCAGAGAAATAGGGAGACGCATCTTTATGTACGGAATAGCTAAATGAGGGGCTAATCTGCGAGGCTCAAGGATGTTGCCCGCTGTGGGCGAAAAGGCACGTGACTGGTCTCCGCGCCTCGTACGTCTTGCCTGCTGATTGGCTCTTTTTAATGGGCCTGCTTTACCACCAATCAACAGGCAACAGGAACGAAAAATTCGGCATGGAGGATATTCTTCTGCGCCTTGCTCTTATCACTTGGAAAATATCACCGATAACTACTATTCTATACGGACGCTTGTCAAAATGCCAGAAGAATAAGATCGCCTGTCGTAACAAGTGGCGACCTCTTCACGATTACCGAATGAACGGCCCAACATTTCTACGCGGCCTCATTGTTATTTCCATATATTGTACCATCTCCTATGCGAGAACTGATTGACATATGTTGCCAGCAATGAGCACGCAACATACCGCCGCGCACAATGGAGCACGGGCAACGCTTCACCTTCGAATGCGCGTCTTCAATCGATGCATTGTACGATCACAATGATCCCCACATTCAAATTCTCCGAATATAAGCTATGGCTCGTCTGATTTATGCCGCTCAGATCCCCTACACCCTTGCACCGCAACAATGTCTCGCCAAACCGAATCTATATCCGCAGCAGCCATCTTCCCCCCGGACGAGCTCAAAATGTACTTGCAGTGGCAAGAAGAACAGGGTTTCGAAGCAACCGAGGGCGGAAACATCTCTTTCGCTATTCAGTACCACGATTTTATAACGTGGTACAACACTCAGTTGGCAGGTCCCACTGAGCACCCACCCGTAACCGAGACTGTTCCTGAGAATTTCGACTACGAGACAGCATCACTGTGCAAACACGCTCTTCACCCAGCAAACGATGACTGGGACAACGAATGGTGCCCCGTATGCGGGGTAAGCATTTGCTTGGAGTTCCTCAAAGCTATAGCTCAAGCTTGGGATCGCTTGGATGAGCGTTACTATTCCCTGATGACGACGAACGAGGAGATGAAGCAAGACTGGGACTGGAAGATGGATGTACGGAGCGGTTGGCACATGGCGCGAGTTGAGCTCATTGAAGTCGTCGAGCACTATGAGGAAATGGCTGTGCGCGAAGCTGAGTGGAACGCAACCCATGAAGATGCTAGCCTCGACAAAATATACTCAGCGAGCAAGGCTATCGAGCTGGCGAAAGAAGACTCACAGTATAGGGCAAGGATGATGTCCCGCGAAGAATTCGACAAACTCTACATATGCAAGGAAAGCCGCGAGCTTAATGACAAAAAGCCCAAGAAGAAGGTAAGCTTTGCGCCCGACACGGAGCTTGATCGCGTTTCTCGCAACCTCGTGTACTGCTGGCGCACAAGTGGTGAGTACAAGCCAGGAAGATACGCCTGTCCTTCACCCGAAGGGTGGGAGAACACGAGCTTCTACCACAATGGCTGGCTCATCAAGCTCTCACAGTACAAAGTTCATATCGTTCTAGCGGACAGGGACTTGAAGAGTGCCATATCATCGCTCAAAGAAGGTTTTCCTCAACTGGAGGCCAACCAGAAGACTGAAGGACCTGCTGGGCTACATCCCCTTTGGGAAAAAATCCAGGCCGTCTTCTTGAGGACTCTGGGGTCCCCAACCAGAAGGAGTTTGGGGAGGCGGTCAATAAGATGGCCGAGCGGATGGAAGATGCTGACGCCATAAGTATCCTGCTTGATGAGGAGGGTACACCAATATCAGCGGCCTTCGCATGCACCGCAGACTATTCGAAGGATAAAAACCCGTGGCGCACACCTATTTGCGGGTCCTGGACTTCTTTGAAGATGCTTGAATATGACTTGTAGGAATAAAAGAGATACGTTTTTGAACAGTAATGAGCGTCCAACGGATTTGCATGGCAACATCCTGGGTGCTCATTTGCCTGCTTGGTGGAAAACTACTAGCTCATCATGAACTGTGGAGTTCTGGCTGAGACATTGGGTGGTCCACTTGGATGTGGGAATTAGGCTTTATGCATAGTGCAGAATGCTGTGAATAGCATGTAAGGGATGCATCCGTATTAGTGCAATGTAAATGCACAACATGCATTAATTCTTATATAGTGACGATGTGCTTCAACACAGAGTCCAGTAGATCATCCCAGGAGTTTGCATCGCCGACCGCAATGAGTCGCACGACATCCATTTCCGCCGCCTTATTCTTGACGCCCTCGGACTACGACCTATACCTTCAATGGCAGGAGGCAGAGGGCACAAGTGAAGAGCACCTAGGCTATGTCTCTTACGCAGTCGAGTATCATGACTTCACTATCTGGCGGGCCACTGGCTGGCCGTGCCTGCAGGAGCATTCAACGGCTCGATCAAAGTACGTCCAGGGCAAGCAAAGAGTAGCTTCCAGGTGCCTACATACCCTCCATCTAGCTAGTTTTATAGAGACTGAATGGTGTCCTGTATGTGAGGTGAATATCTGCCTGGAGTTCCTGGAAGCATTGGTTCAAGCTTACGAGAAGGTAGGAAGACAAATGCGGGAAAGCAAGTTGGAGAACGAGTACGAGCAACTTGTCAGAAAGCACAAAGCAATCCGCATGGGGTGGCGCATGGCAAGGCTTGAGCTGATTGAAGTCGTCCGGTATCATGAGGAATTGGCCACATGCGAAATGGAATGGGATCTCCACTATGACGACCTAGATACGGACGACAGTCATTCATCGTCCTTCGCCGTAACTCTCGCAGTGTTAGAGACAAGGCATCCGGCGGACATTGTGTCTCAGGAAGAGCTAGCGATGATGCATTCGGACCGTACCCCGAAGAAAAAGCCCCAGGCAACCAAGAAGGTGCGCTTCGCAACACAGTTGGAGACCACCCGAAGTCCGCGCCACGAAGACACCTTCGACCGTAGCAACAAGCAATACCAACCCGGAAAATGGGCCTGCCCCATTGCAGAAGGATGGCAAGACACTAGCTTCTACATGTCCGACCTCCATAACCTTCAACAGTTCAAGGTCTTTATCACTTCTATAGAGGATCCGGACGATGTCGACATGAGCAAGGGTGATGAAGGACCGGCAGGTCTGCATCCCTTCTGGCCGCAAATCGAATTCATTTGGGAACGATCCATGAAAAACGCGAATCGAGCGCAGTACAAGCAGCTCATCAAAAAGATGGACGAGAGCGAAGCTGTAGTGGCTTTTGTGGATAATAATGGCAATGTGGCGGACATGGCGTTTGCAGGTCGGCCTAAGGATACGGAGTGGAAGCCGGAAATTCCACCGCCTTCGGACATGGCCTGGACTTCTCTCCAGATGCACCTCTGAACATGCGAGGATATATAAGTAACCATAGGTTGTCTAAAGCAGATTCAAATAGGTTAGTTTTGTAACTAACTCATTAGAAGCCGTCAGTACAAATGAAATTGGGTTCGTGGTTGCGTGACGGCGGATGGAGACACCTGAGAAATCTGACAAACAATGTAGCCTTCTTCCTCGGTCGCTTCTGGGTGAGTACCTTTCACAATAAAGTGCTGGTGAGAGACTTTCGTTATGCCTTCACAATAGTAGGCGCTGTTGAAGTGTAGATAAAAAGGGAAAGTAATATCACCACGGGCCAGCATCAAACGTCCGAATCCCATCACAACACAACCTTCGCCATGTCCGCATCCAAGTCATTCCCTGGGGAACTTCTCTTCTCTGAGGAAGATTATTCCAAGTTCTGCAAGTGGCAGCACAGGCAAGGCCACTCCATCGTACAGGGTCACATCATGCACGCGCTTGACTACTATGCCTTCATGGAGCACCTGAACGGGAAGGAATGCATCAAGGAGGTTGACCCGGTCCACGAGGTCTGCGGTATGAAGGTCGCTACGGCATGTGGCCACGCCATCCATCCGCTTGATGGCATGACGGAAGGCTACTGCCCGGTCTGCGAAATGCGCATCTACTTGACATATCTCAACGCTATCGTCGACGCTTGGGAGGAATGCGGCGGACCATGGAAAACAGGTACCTTGGAAGATAAGAAAGAGTGTCACGCTTTCCGCGGAGGATGGCACATGGCGCGCCTTGAACTCGAGCAGATGATGGCGTGCCACGTCGAATCGGCTGATGAGGAGGTAGAGTGGGAAAGGAAGCATTCTGACCTTGCCCTTCATGCACAGGACACTAACTCCGCTTCCAAAGCCGTGCGGCTGGCGCAAGAAGGATGCAAGTACCCTGCGAAGCTTGCGACACCTGGAACGTACCCTTATCATCTCCGGCGCGAAAATGCTCAGGCGAAGAAGAAGGTCAGCTTTTCACCCGATACCAACTTCCGTCCCCGCCGCCAAAAGTCCCTGTACTCGCGCAGAAGTGAATACTATGAGGCTGGGCCGCACTCCTGCGAACCACCGGAAGCAGTGGTGGATACGTCAGGTTGCACCCAGCCATTGTGGAACCTTCGCCAGATGAAGGTCTTGACTACCACTAGCCAAGAAGAGTTTGACTACTGGAATGACCATTCCCGGCGTGTGCCTGCTGGCAAAGAAATTGCTGCTTTCCACCCCTTGTGGAAGGACATCCGCAAATTCTTCGCCAGCTGCATTGTTCGGAGGGATGCTGAGGTTAGGAAAGGCTTTGAGAAGATGTGCGAGGAGGCGGATCAGATGGTCTTGTTGATCAAGAACGGCGCCGTGGAGGATGTGTTCCTGATATCGTCTCCGCATGCTGAAGAGGAGGATAGCCAGGAGACCGAGAGGGTCCTCCGTGGAGGTGGATGGACGTCACTGAAGGACTGCTTGTAGTGAGGAGGGAATAGCGTAATCTGGATATTGGAAAATTCTAACCCACCAGAGTCGCTAGAAGGCTTATGCGTGTCATCTGAAATAGGCTTGTAAGGTGTTTGTGAGGTATGGAGACATGTGACGAGGACAAGTTGCGCAACGTAAAGTCCTCTGGACTACATTGTGCGCGTCGAGAGCTATACGCTATGTGAGTAGGGGTTTCTGCTCGATATCGATCGCGCATGCCGTTGTAAAGGTGCAATGGCGACGTTCTCCTGGGCTTTATAATATCCTCGTGTTTGGAGGGCTATCGGGTCGAATATTTGCTTCGCCCAGAAGTAATTGCACATATCCTAGAGATGTCGTCAACACCTAAAGGTTTAATTCCGGCCAGCCTCTTGCTATCATGCAAAGAAGTCTGCAAATTCTGTACGTGGCAAGAAGACCGACCCTACCATACCCACCGAGGCTTCTTCTCATCTTCTCTTGAATACCACGACTTCCTGGACCGATCTTCTAAGAAGTTTGAATCCGGTTCCGAATATCGATCGTTGAATTCGACCTCTTACTGCGGCCACATACTTCACTCTAGCGGATTCGTCGTAGATAGATTCTGCCCTACCTGTAGGACTCAGATCAGCCTTGACTACCTGAAGGATATTGCTCGAGGCTGGGAGAAAACAGGTGGTCCGTGGCCCGTGAATGTCCGGTCCCCAGAACAGAAAAAGAGGCACAGCGAGTATTTGAAGGCGTGGACGGTGGCTCGACTCGAGTTGCAACGGCTGATCGAGTCCTATGAGAACTTCGCGGAGATGGAATCTTCTTGGGAAGGGAAACATCCTCCGCATGCTGCGCGTGCAGACGAGGATAATCCCGCAACGAAAGCTCTGCAGCTTGTGAAGGAGCAATACAAGTATCCAGCGCCGATGGCTCCCGTGGATGCAGTGAATAGCTCGGCGACTCAGCAGAAGAAGGCGAAAAAGACCGTTGGCTTTACCGCAGACACAGACTTTAGCCCTCGTCGTAATCGACATGAATACTGGCGCAATAGCGATAACACGAGCTATGCGTCCGGCCGCTACACGGCTACCTCGAGCGCTGGATTCATCGTTACATCGCGCTTCAAGGACCCCGAGTACGCTGCACATCAGTGCAAAGTCGTGGTCACTGCGTCACATGCCGATTTCCGAGCGTATCAGGAAAAACCGAACAGCATCCCAGCCTTCGACCAGCCAAACGCATTCCCCAAACTTTGGACTAAGATCGGACGTTATATCGAAGAATCCATCCAAGGCGGGTTAAAGTCGAGGTGGAAGGAAGCAAAGGGGCTCAAAGAGCAACTTTATAAGCTGTGCGAGCGTTCTGATGGTATTGCGGTTCTATTGAATTACCGGAAGCGGGTTCAAGATATGGCTGTACTTTATGCGCAGAAGGATGAGTTTTCAGGTCGTCTTGTTCAGGCCGGCGAATGGGTATCTTTGCATGATGCCATGTCTTGAAGCCTGTTGCTTAGTGAGATACGCAATTATGTTGATACGAGGGTGTTAGGTACGTCGCTCGATACCTGGCTAGCGTACAATAGCAAGGTTGTTAATTTGATCTTAGTGAGAGCACTCCATATTTATGAACTGGTTAGAATATAAAAGAACTCCTAGCTTTCTTCTCCTCTCCTGGCTATGTTTGATGGCTGGGAACGTGCCGGAACAATGATCGAGCTTCGAAGAATTGACGGATGGGAGTTCGGCCATGCATGGTGGTCCGCGGGTCTGATCGCATGTAGTGGCACAAGGCTACTCGCATCGTCTTCTTTCGCAATAGCAGTTGTGATGCCTGAAGATGGAAGGCCGTCTCGGTGGTTTCGAAGTTTCTCCGCATTAAGAGGCTTGCCGCTAACCCTGAGCTAGGCTAAACTAGTACTGGCGCTATTATATAAGCACACCGGTCACTTCCCTCGCTTTGCGTCTTTCAGCCATCCTACACCATCACATGACTTCCCTTCTCTCGCATCAAGCAGGCTCCTAATACTTTCATCGCTCTATCTACTGCGGTTCTCAATGTTCATGAATTTAGATTATTCCCTCGCCCGGCTGCGGAAACCATTCGCCTTGCGCAGATTTGAATCAACTGAGTTCTGCCCGTTCCGATTCAGCGAACGCATGCCAAACAAACGTCGAACACATTCAAGGAAGAGATATGGCTGAAACCATGTCCGACCACCAGGCACGGCTGGCTGATTTAGTCTCCTGATATCGGACCAATGTCGTCGCATAGCCACACCGGCCACCCACCAATCCTGGGGTACATCGGAGTTTGCCTCCTCTCCACAGTGGTGGCCAGGTGCTCAATATATCCGAATCTGCACTGCCGTTTCAGTCGCGGCTCGCTGTGGGAATATTGTGAACTCCAGGTGCGGCCGCGATATCTCCGGCCTTGGTGGGGGCTTGAGGGACGAAGACCGCCGTGAAAAGGCTGAACATCAACCCTTAACTGCGCCTTTAACTATTCTTGGGATGGCAATTCTACCTAGTATAAGGTAGCATATGGTGTAGATCCGTCGGTCCCACAGGTTCAGGCATTAGACGAGTGCCTAATCCGCTCAAGTCTCATCTTCTTAACCTCTCTTTCCTTCTACTCTTTCATTTTACGTATTACCTTCATTACCAAACGCATTCATCACGTTTCTTTCCTCCTGCTCTTCACTGGCTGCCCCTGACGGCCGCTTTTCCTTGGCCCGCAGGTTCAGCCTGCTGTCGGAGCTCTAACGGTGCATGCGAGACCCCGAAGCCTCACCCTTGCGAGAGCTCCAATCCTTGCGAGCCTTCTCGGCCTCCGGACCATCCAGATTCCCTTCCGTTATTTACACTGGGTGCCCCAATTGCATTTCCCACAGAGCTTCTCGAATGCATTGCCGGCTCCGCCGCCCACAGGCTACCCTGCGAAAGGAGTGCTACGGCGACATCACCCAGTATTTCGACGGCGAGCGACTCGTAGCATCTTATGAACCGGACACCGGTGAGACGATCATGCATCCAAAGCTCCCGACCCTTCCTCCTGGTGCACCCGATGCTGTAGACATATCAACCTATTCCGGCGATAAGCGACTCTTCCCCAAAGACGATTCCGTAACCTCCGTTGCCGTGAAGCGTTCCTTGCTATCTTCTACCTCGAACTAAGGTCAAGCCCCTGGCTCACCTGAAGCGCTCTTGTCCATGGTTGAAGTCGAACGAAAAATTGAGCATGCCAATCAAGAGTACCGCCTCTGCGGGGCAGGTACCAAAGCTGTCTTCGACGTGGGGGCGGACGGCAAGATCCATTCGTTCTCCTACCGTTGGAGGCCAAGCACCAAGTCCGGCACTTTTCTAGAGCGAATATCTCGAGAGGAGGGCTCACCAAGTACGATTGCGCGCCGAGACGGTCCGCCACCAACCACCGTTGAAATCTTAGAAACAGGACCGGGCCTCTGGACGGAGACTAATGCCTGGCATAACATCTGACTGGGGCGTTACATCATGGGTAACAATGGCTTCACGCAACCTGACGTCGAGTATGCGGACAAGACGCTCGCTGCGCTTTCGAAGAACAAAGGTTGGCTCGGCGATTACCCTTGGGGACATGACTGGAACATCATTGACTCCCAATATCTTCGAGGCTGTCCCTGCGAGATCTACTATAATATGAAAATGATGTTCCCGGACACTGTTGACCTTGCCATCTCATATGGCTATGGGAATTGGCATGGCTTCACTACGAATGGTTCTTGCATGATCGACGAGCTACCAGGCAATTCTTGCGAGCCAACCGTCCGTTTTGAGGAATTGGTCGACACGACAGATGGTGCACCAGCAGGCCTTGGAACGGGATTCTCGCGTCATCGGAAGATTTTCGCTTGCGAAGTCATTCCCACTCCGTCTGATGTTTACTGCCCTTCGCAGACTTTGGACAACATCTGGAGAGATCTGTTTCCCCTCTTCGACGGACTGCACACCATTCTAGGATATCGGACGCCCGCCAGTCTCACGCCGGCCAAGCAGGATTAGGCGAGGCTTGTGACAAGGGCCGGGGGCGCCAGCGTTATTGACAGCTACTTGCAAGCGGCCTATCTGTACATTAACGAGGACTTTTCCATTGCAAAGATGTACTATGTCGGCTACTTCCGGGACGCAAACGACCCGTCGACCTGCAACACAGACACTATCGGAAGAACGGGTTTGACCATCCAGCCGCCATGACCGTATGTGGCTACGTAGATGACACATTGAAGAATAGGGAGCGACTGGATAAACCAGGCTGCCTGCAAATGTTCTGGTACGGCGAGCCGCAATGGGTCGGTTGCCAATTCGAAAACGGCGAAGCCATCGAGGACACATGCGTCAGGCAGCACCCGTTGGTACGGCAAAGGTTCTGCGCTTCGCCCATTAACAAGTAGATGGGGTAAGCCCAAGTTGGTAACTGACGAGCTCGGGGCTTACAGGTTGATTTGGTTGTGTTTGTGTTTTCCTTTTTCCATAGCTGAGCGTTTGATTGATTGATTTCTCTCGTTTTAAGTCACCAACCTATAGAGGTTATGCTGACTACGCCTACGCACAAAAGGACTCAAAAGACGCCAATATTAAGAGAAGAGAACAGGGTATCACAGAACCACGGGCAAGTGGCATGAGTCGACAGAAAATAACGGTTCGGGCGCGGATGACGAGGGCGTAGCCCACCACGCGCTGCGAACCATGGCACGAAGCTGCCAACGAAAAGGAGCCCCAGAAAGTCCCTCAACAACAACGATGGTCAATAGCTGAGCGTTTTCTCTTTCATGATTCTGTTTGCCCTTACAAGTTTGGTTTCTATTCACAACTCACTATATGCCACTCTTTCTCAATTGTTGCCTCGCCTTCCTCAATAATGGACTGTGATACTTCCCATGTCCTATTTTCATTCCCGCGTGCGAGCATCCAAGCATTCCGCAAAATGCCTGCGGTTGAGCGCGCAGAGACATTGTAAGTAGCAGGAATTGTTCGAACATGCTTTCATTCTTCCATTGTGTGATTGCCACAATGTATCGCTCCTGTATATGGGACTGTGGCTGCGAATTCTCGTTCACTGCCAAACATTCACACCCAAGCTACTCTGCGAATACCCACTCCGAAAATTGCCCCATTCTCACTCATATTCTCTTCAGGACTTCTGCCAGCGACCTCAATCAACCAACCAAGTCGCCCACGACTGACTCGCGAACAACCGGTGAAGCACCAACCAACCATGGCAAGCGACTCCGCCAGCAAACAGGCACGACGGCTGCCCAACTTTTCCGCTCATTGCATCTTCACAAAAGAGCAGATGCAGATGTATATTTTCTGGCTGCGAAATACGAGGAAATCATCGGGCCTCAACATACAAAATCCGCCTTTCCCCACCCCATTCGAGTTCAACGCCTTCATCACGTGGCTGAGCCCGACGCCGAAGGAAGCTCGACGGCCATGTAAGCACCCTCGACATCCGTTCGATAAGTTCTCCATGGTTTTCTGTCCCGTGTGCACGTATGAGATTCATGCGACCTTTCTGAAGTGGATCGAGTGTGCCTGGGAGAGGAAAGGGGGGCCATTCAAAGGCGCGTTGGAGGCAGACCAGGAGTACTCACAGTTGAAGGCTGCATGGCATTTCGCGAAGACCGAGCTTGCCAACCATGTTAACCTTGTCGAAGCACTGGCGACGACACAAAAGGAGTGGGAGGTAAAGAACCCTAACGTTGACGTCGAAGGCGTCCGGTCTTATAGGGCGGTCCTGGAGATGCATTGGACCCAAAGCGCTAAGGATGTGGGACAAAAAGTAAGCAAGAAAGGAACAAAAGTCTCCTTCACACCCGACACCAAAGACTTTTCGAGCGAGACAAGCCGCACGAACGCCCACTTCAACCGCCGACACAACAATTACAGCGCAGGTAAATACGCTTGCCATACGAAAGACGGCTGGATGGACACCTCGTGGGCGAGGTCTTCCACCGCCTCGCTGCTTCAACTCAAGCTCTTCATCGCGGAGTCACCCTCTGATATGAAGGGGAAGCCTCCGGGCAACGCAAAGTTCGTCGGACCTTTGGTATCGTACCAATATCACCTCGCGATTGTGAACTGGATGAAGGACTTCCGCGAGCGGAGCACGATTTCCGAACAGGCGAAGTTGGCGACGCTAATGAGTACGTGCGACGCACTGCTGGTATTGAAGCCGGAAGAGGATATTACAGGGGATAAGGTTCGGGTCATCGTGAGGGACGTGCGGCCTTTCTGTACGGAGAAAGACGCTGAAGCAGTAAGTCGAACTTTTTCATCTTCCTGTGGAATTGGAGCTAATAAATCTCAGCGTAGACTAGAGGAAGCATTATGCAGCTTTCAAACGCAGCCCTCGAACGAGGTCTGCGATTCTTCCGACTGCGTTGACGATGTAATGGACTGGGAGTACGTCCAAAATCACATGGATGTCGATATGCCTGTGAACTTGCAGGACACGCTCGATCCAGAGATGAGGGCACAGACTTATCGGTAAAGTAGAAGACTCTGGGGACCTAGAACGTCAGCGAAGAAATAGGTGCGCACGCATCGAATAACAAATAGTGCCAAATAATGCTATGGAAGAGTACAACCACTAAACCTTCTATGACTTGAACCAAAGCTTCTCCGACCACCGACCCGTGATCTTATCCTTCATGATAAAGAAAGCATTGTTTGGTACACCGTCACGTCTCTAATCATCAATTTCGACTCGCTGAACAAACCCACCAGCAATCTTCCCAGCCAACGCCGTCCCACTGACTGTCTTGTATCGGATTGAATGCTCGTTGTCGTAGTTCGGCCTATTCATCCAGATCTCGATGTTGTTTGTCCCCAAGTTGAAATGATCGCCTTCAATCTGCAGATACCTGTGGCAAAAGTCGCAGAAATGGACCTCGCAGATATCGCCATTGCACGAGGGATGCGGGCAAGGCGGGCACATATCCCACGACGGGCCGAACCAGACGTTCATCGAAAGCCGGCGGTCGGGTCCGGCGGCGTTGTCGAAGTTGGTGAAGATTTTGCGGGTGCGGCTTACGCAGGCGGTGTCGCTTGCGGTCGCGCGGCGCTTGACCCATTTGCCTTTGCAGGTTCCGTCGGCGTTTTGGCGGCTCGCTTGCTGCGAATTGTCCCAGGTAGCGGCGTCGCGAGAGGAGGGTTTTACGCAGACATGATCGTCTGGGGTGGCTTCGCGCCAGACGAAGCCTTCGAGGCAGATATCAGGGCCGTAGTCGCCGCCTGCGGTGACGAGGGAGGTCGAGAGGAGAGACGAGAGGAGAAGAAATACTTGGAAGTGGAGCATGATGCAAAAGTAGCTCCACAGTGAACACTAAAGGTCTGGATATGCGATTGTTTAGGGAAGAGAGTAAAAGATCGTGAGATTTATATATGCGAATAGGTTCCGAAGGCTGAACTTGAAAAAGCGAACTACTGAAGCAGTGATGCTGAGCCATAGAAGCTGAAGAAGCTGAGGTAGGACAGTCATTCGCGACTATGGTGCCATCCGACCAATCATACTAGTAGTCGAACGACAGGGTGTGGCTCATACCCAAACCCATGGTGCGAGGCGCTCTCGGAATAGGTTTGCTGCTATAAGTGGAGCGGCGGACCTGAATGGGGAAGGGTGGCGTGACTTCTCCGCAGGTATCTAGCAGCTGTCCTGGAACTTAGCGTTTAGCCAGCATTCTCCGCTATAATCATTTAGACTGCAGCACTTTGCTATCTTACTGTAGGTCTACCTTGGTGGGCATGCAAACAGCGTTGCAAGTTCCTCCACTGCCATTATACTCGTGCGATGCGGGACGTAGTTGCACCCGTATGCAACATGTGTACGCGGTGCAAAGGGTTAAGTGTCCTTGGGGATGGGTACGGGAGAAGATGCGGAAGAGGGATACGTTATAAATCGAAACGCTTCCCTCATTCAAATCGAGCTTTGAGGCCAAGTGGTGTCAGGCTCTAAGCGTACTGAGGTATGCGCAATCACGGCGGGGTCGTGATGATGAGTGTGCATACTTCATCGGGGATGTAACATTCAAGCCAAAAGGGAAATGGTTCTATTGCAGATGCTCATAAAATCTCTTAAAGAAGACAAACGCAAGTCACAAGCCACCAGTTGATACTCAACGCCTTCGAACTCCTTAGACCGGACAGAAAACCGGATCGATCAAAACGCATACATTCTCCAGCACTGTCCCATCTTCAAAAACGCAAAGATCCTCATCAGCTTCACAGATCGCCCCGAATTGATCGTCGCTAACGGCCGGTTGCACGATGCATACCGAGAAGACTTCGGTAAGACCTGTGTCTTGGAGTGGCTGTTCAAGATGGAAGTTAGCGAGAACTGAGAAGTGGAGGGTTGGAATGCACAGGTGCACGTACGACGCAGTCATCTCGGCGGGATTTTGAAGGACGTTTGGATGGTGCGGTCAGAACGGAGGCAGTCAAAGTGGAGAGGACGAAAAGGGTGGAGCGCATGGTTGTTGAAGAGAATTGGTCGTTGGAGCAGGATGTAGAAATTTCCGAAAAGACTTCGTAGCGAAGTAGGCTGAGATTGTAAAGTTGAGGAGGATGCAGAAGATTTGGCGACGGAAGGGGAGCTGTGTAGAACTTGTTCGTGGATGCGCTCTCGGAGGGATCAAACAGCACATCTCTTTTATATCTTCTCTTAACCATCGCACGGGCTCCGTCATGCCAAAATATGGCTCCCCATCTCGTTCCTCCGAGACTGAGCTCTATATCAGGAAAGAATGTGTCTATTCTAGAGTGGGGATGATTGGTGAACGCCCTCTTGAATTCGTACATGGTGCTGCGGCGAGGCTGAAGCTTTTCGTAACCGGGAGTGAGTATGTAGTGTTTGAAGGCACCACGATAGGCAGCTTGGCGCCTGGGAACCAAGACACAGTCATTTCGACGCGGGCTGTAGATCTAAAGATGGAAAAACTTGGGGCATGCGCCCGAAGAATGTTTTAAGAAGATGTACGAAATGGGGCAAAGCGCGAAGACCCGCAAACACGGTGCTCAAGAATGACACTAGTATACAGACTGTGTACGGTGGAAATAGGAACGGAGGAAGGGGATGATGAGTAAGAAAGGACTGGGGGCGGTGTATTTTGGGTTTGGGTAATTAATGTGAATGTGGCACAGCGGCATTGCTTCCAACGCCTCGCACGAATATATTTTTCCTCGAAAATCACTGGCTCCTGAAACTCTGCTGTACTATATCCAGCCTACCGGATCAATTGGCGATATCGGGGATCTATGTGAACTGCTGTTCCGCAGAATAGATCGGAAGCTTTGGGAGAGGGGGGGCACTGTGCGCTGACTGTAATGCGACGGGGGACGCGACCGACTACCCAGGCGCGGTAAGACCAGAGCAAAGAAGTAGGACAGCGGTGAGTGTATTCCTAGGCGGAACAGAAATCCCCTCATTGCGTTTATAAGGCAGAAACAGTGCGATGGCCTTGGGGTATTCTGCCCAGGTGGGTTTGGGGGCTTCTCGCTACCAAACTACCGGAACAGGAGGCCCGCCGCTATGCCGCCGATGAACCTCAAACACTAGCCAACGCAAGCAAGGCAGGCTACACTCATGGCCGCCACGGTGTCACCGTCAATGCCCTCGCTCACCAATTCCGCCAACGGGCCCGTGGAGTACGTATACCACTTGCCCAGCAGCGCGCCACTGCGGCCGCCTGGAAAGTAGCTAACAAAGCAAACCCAACAGGAAGCAGACACCGATTATCCCACGCACTTGAGCAGGATCCCAACGCCCGCGACAGAATAGAACCTCCTCCTCGAACGTTATGACGGCCTAGAAACCCCGCCAGCAGCCGATTAGCGCCTTGAAGCTCTCGAGCAGGCGGTCCCATCCGGCACACACCTAGACCGTGTAGATAACCGTGTCAATGAGGTCCAGAAGAGGCGAAGCTCCCCAGCCGGCCATAGACTGAGCAGTTGGAACGAAAGCGCGGCGGATTAGGTGGAGGGCATTGTTGGAGTTCAGCCCAGTGCCATGATGCACGAGCAGCAGTGGCCAAAGGCTCTGAGGGCTTGAAATGCTCTCCTTCATCGACCCATTGCTTCGGCCGCCTTGCCCAGATCTCTCATCAACTGCGCAAGGTTCTCGACGAGTGGAGGAAGCGCCTCGTCTGGTGCCTGTCCCACGCAGTTCTTCCGCAACGTGTCCAACATGATGTCCATCACAGCCTCTGGATCCGTCAACGGTACCAGAGTTGGGTTAGTTCTATTTGGACTCGGCAGAGCACAGATACCAGGATTGCCTCGGCCGAGAGCTATGAAGCGCTGAACGTCGGGCGTCTCACTGCCGTCCAGCCAGATCGGTTGCACGACGCCCTCGGAGACGTCTGTGAAACTACCTGTATTCTGCAGGCGATTCGTCTTGGCCTGTGATATGACGCCGAACGCCCAAAATGCAATGCTAGCGTGGTAGACCGCTATTGCATAGAAGTTTCGCAGCTGGTTACGCGGAAAGGTCTTGGCGGCACGAAGGACTTGGCCACCGTGCCATATTGCCTGACGTGAACCAGACGACTCGACCCACTGCTGCAGAGAAGGGAAGACTCGGCGTGCCTCATCCTTGTCTTCTTTACCTGCGAAAAGCTGGATCTCCTCAAGGCTCATATGAAGATACATGAGCAAAATGTCGAGAACCAGCATTGATTCTGGCGAAGGTGGAACCTTGCATTCCGACATGCTCATCCGAAAATATTGGAGAGTCCGGCAGAGACCCTGGTTGCGGAGAGGCATGAAGAGCGAGTCGTTGCTCTGACCCGTCCTGTTCTTGGTGATAGAGTCCATTTGATTGTACTCCCAGATCATTCCCCAGAAGGCATGTAGAGATATCAAAGTCGAGAAATGGGCATCACAAAAGGCTTGGGAAGAGACGATGGAAGCAGGCTCCTGGATGCAGTCCACTAGAGAGGGGAGCCGATCTGGGGCAGGTTCGCGTCGAGAAAGATAGATTGCCTTCCACTGCTCTGCGTCTTCTGCGTCCCACAATTCTTTGGATTCGGGCAACGCGATGGCAACTTCGGCGTAGGATACCAGCGGATTGGCGAGTAACGACATCGAGGACTGGGCATCGTAGAGGAAGACATGGAAAACGAGTCGCTTAACAGACTCTCGCTCAACCCATTCTAGCCACTTGCGCTGCAAATCCTCCCCGGCGTCCTGCGGTAAAGGAGCGACTGGTAGTCGCTTGTCCCTTTGAAGCTTTCCGGCCCTGCGAATCATGGTGACGAGGATTTGGAGGTGGCTTTCGGAAAGCTCCATCTTGCGTCTATTACCGCTCCAAAGCCCCACTTCCAGCTGAAGCATAAACGCCTGAAGGATCCAAAGCTGTCTTGTCACCGCGTTGCATTCCTCGCAACGCTTCGGGATAGCCGCTCGCACAGCTTCAAGAATTGCAAATCCAAGTTTTTGGAGAGGCCTGACGCCACTGAGGACGGCACCTGTAGCTACCATTGCGGTAAGCACTTCGGGCTTGGCTTGGCTTGGGTTAAAGCTAGCAACATGGATGAAGCAGTCGGTTTGCGAGCTTTGTCGGATGAAAAAGCTCTGCAAGAGGTCGTCCAAGAGTTCGACAGTTGGGAATGAAGCAGCCACTCGCGACACGTTGGCAGGCTCACACGTACTGAGGACCAGCGCAAGTATCTGATCCCTTGCACTCTGGTCTAAGCTTTCTCGTAGAAGGGGTCGCTCGCATCTTAGCCGGGTGTCGGGAGAGCCTGACTGTTCTCTGGGTAGGGACAGATTGTGCTGTTCGGAAAACGCCGAATCTTTCTTGCCTGGTCTCCAGCGCCCAAAGGATGACTTCTCGAATGCCTTGGTCCCAAGGGCGACTCGCTTGGGAGTGTCGGTTCCGCCTTGCGAATGGGGCAGATGCCCACCCTGATCGATAGCCTGGCCGAGCTCCGAGGGATCCGGATAGAATTGGAGATTAGCGATAGGCCTGCCGTTCAGCGCTTCTAGGATGTTGAAGTCTGCTGTCTCGAAATCCCAATTTGCCTCGCCAGCAAAATCAAGGACATCGCGTGGTCCCATGCCCTGGTGCTGCCACTGATGAGCATTTGGCATGGCAAATTGATCCAAGTCGTCCGTCAAGACGTCCTTGAGAAAGTCGGGGAAGAAGCTATCTTCGGCTGCCATGGGCGCAGAGGGCTGCGGTTGCGACGTCGTAATTTCTGGAGTTGGCAGTTGCACAGTGCCTAGCAACACAGGGTCTATCGCGTCGACGTCCGTCTGTGATTCTCTGTCTGACATGTCGCTAGCGGCCCGCGGGTCCAACAGCCTGCCAGATGTACCTGATTGCTGCTTTTCTGCGGATGCGAGATCCGCGGAATGGCTTGGAGCGCGCCGCATACGGCCGTCTGCGTTCCACTCGCATGCGATTTGCCTTTGCTGACATCGTTTGCAAGGCTTGTCGTCCTCGCACTTCAGCTTCGCAGTCGCGCAAGCCTTGCATGCTTGTGAAACTCGAGACGACTGAGTCGCCTGTTTCTTCTGTCTCTTGCTGCGGCCGTCGGTCTCGTGGCCGAGCGCATGCCGCTTGAGGAGGTCCCTGCAGGTGTATCAGCGGTACGCGTCCTCTCCTAGAAGCATCAGGGCTTACGGGCGACCGAAGCCCTTGTTGCACACCGAACATTCGAAGGGCTTCTCCTGCATATCTAAATTGGTCCATCAGCGACGTCCTCGCCCGCGTATGAGATGGAACAGAGAGAACGCGGCTTACGAGAACGAACATGACGCGCGAGATGGTCAACCCGAGAATAACTCCGCTCGCACTCTGCGCATTGGAAGAATGCCCGGGTTTGTGGAGACGCATTCTGGTCCGCCGACGTTGACGACTCCATAATCCTGCGGCATCGCAAGCCAACGGTGAGAGGGGCATGAGTCTACGCTCTTTTCGCCCCGTTCGTGCCAGACCCGCCGTGCTCCCCAGATGCGGGTAACCCCGCATCTCCTTTTATCGAGATTCAGACCTGCTGCAACTTCTTCGGCCCGAAGCTCTAACCGGTGTCCCATCGGACTTATTGCCGCCTTTGCTGATTGGGCCGAGGTGCTGCCAAGGTACGCGAAGGCGTCCTCGGCGCTTCTTCTAGCGTCAAAGGTGTGGACACCATCAAAACTCGCGATGTATTTGTTTAAATCGACTGGTCTATAATCCATTCACCATAGTTTGAGCGTCCTAATCGCTCGACCTTACCCCCGGAATCGTGCCCGTATCTTCTCCCAACACCTTCCCTCCAACCTCCAACTTCTCCACCGGGAGCAGCACGTACATCATCCGAGCCCAACCCCCATTACCTCCTCCCTCAGCCTTTGTCACATTCCGCCACGCGTGGTTCGTCCCGCGCTGGATGCTGACGTCGCCGCGCTTCATGACGCGCTTCTCGCCAGAGTTGAGGATAAGCTCGACTTCTCCCTCGAGCACAACCCCGTAGTCGATGCTAACGGTGCGATGCATTGGGCTAAGCGCACCGGGCATCATGTCGACTATGCGAAGGACTGTCCCGGTAGATATCGTGATGCCAGGAAGATCGCTAAGATAGTTTTCGTAGGTCCGAACCTGCAATACGGTCACCATCTCCTGGACTGAAGGCGAATCCTGCTCCGAAACGTACATCTTTGTCATTGACTACATCGACGGGGAACTGGCTCGTTGCATAGCAGAGCCCAAACTCCGCGCCGTCCGGCAATCGCTGGTATGGAACGTCCTCCGAAATGGAGGTATCGAAAACCTCTTTTCCGTCTGGTGTATGAGAGGTAATGAAGCGTTTGTTCTGACGGATGTCTTTGGTTTCAGCCATTTCGATGGAGGTGTTGGGTCTGATGGAATGACAAGCCAGGAGGAGATATTGCAATATTAATAAAGCGATGAGTCCCGCTAGGAGAGTTTGAGAGCTACAAAGCTTTTATCACGTGGGAATGTCCGCGAGGCCTTGCGGAACGTCTCCGCGGCTCTTCCGATGTGGAGAAGCGGGGTCTTCTCACGTTCTCAAACACTCCTCCATGTGCCGGCAACGAATGCCAAAGAGCGTAGGTCCGATTCCCCGTGATAGCGCAAAGGGAGCGTTGCTCACCTTGAATAGGCTTAATGACGCACGAGCCGTGTTAATTAGGGTTTCAACAAAGAGTTGAGCGTGCACATTCGTAAAAAGGTGGATTACTCAAGACCGAATCGATAACCTCAGACTCCCCAACACCCCCTAGCTCAAGCTCAATCGACCCTTCTCGCTGCGCTAACATCCGGCACGCCCTCTCCCTCTACAATCTTCGCTGCAACGACCTCGTAGATCGGGATTTCCGCCAACCGGCTTGCAACGTGGTGTAGGGTGGGCAGTGCCTCCCAGTCAAGTCCGTCGAGCTTGACAGATGCGTTGCTCGCCTTCTTCACGCTCTTGACTTTGCTGGGAACCACTTTACTTTCCTCGGCATGCGGCACAAAAACTGCATGTTCCGTATCCGCCTTGCCCCTGTCCCCGACCCTAGGAATATACCTATACACGATGATTCCATCGTCGTCGGATCCACCAATGGTTCCCTTATCATCACCAGGATCCACATCCTCCAACCCTTCCCAACTGAAAGAACCAAAAGACGCCCCTTGCCAGCTGGCACTCAAACGGTACTGGTTGCTCCGCTTGAATACGTCCAGCGCACAGTACAGCTTTGGCATGCCCAGCTCCTCGCGCCCGGAAACAATGGGATCGGCCAGCGACTCGAAAAGGATCGGCATGAATGTTCCGTTGAGGACTTTCCCGTTCTTCATGGTATATTGTACGCCGTGAATATACAGGCCCAGGTGGCGATAGCCGCTCCCTCCCAGCCATTCCATCTTATTCAGCTCCGTCTGGCTGAAACTGGCATAGGCAACGGTGCCGGGCGAGGCGAAGCTAAAGCTCGGCGATGGGAAGAGATTCTTGAGCAACGTAGCTGAAGTTTTGAACTTGATACTTGCGGTGCAGAAGGTGCTGTGCGTTGCCGTCCTAGGCTTCCCCTCGAAGTTCTGGCGAGGACCAGGCATGGGGCCGAAGGAGATGGGCATTCGCCAAAACATATTTGGGTCCTTGGCCCACTGGTGTTTGCGGAACGCTTGCGTGCTGTTGTCCCACTCGTCATGCCCGAAGTTGTAGTTTGTGAACTCCATCATGTTGCATGAGGAGTCTCCGGGAGTGAGGTCGCGGCCCATGATGCGGGAAACGTCCTGGATCCTGTGGGCGCGCTCGTAGCGAATGGTTTCGTACAATTTAAGGCGCTCAGAGACCTCCTCAGGTTTCGTTCCAAGAGGCAAGACTACAGCAAGGGAGGCAGTATCTTCAATGGCAACGCCGGCACCTTGGCCCTGATCTGGAGGAAGGTCAGTTTTGCAGGCTCAGATGAGAGCCGGGTATCCACCAGGACGGACTCACGAGGCGTGAAAGGGTGGGCAGCATCTCCCAGAAGAGCAAGCCTGTCATTCACCCAAGTGGGGATGATATCCATATCCAGTAACGCCCAGACCTTGAGCGATTCAGGGTCCGCTTTACCGATCAAGGACACCAGAGCAGGTTCGAACCCGCTGTAGACGTCGAGCATGTTGTTGAGGTTACCGCCCTGGTTCCAATCTGCTTCCTGTCAGCGAAACGTCTGAGACGGGGTCAAGGATTGCCATCCAACCTTCCGTCTTCACTTCCGACAGCTCACCAGGGTGAATGCAGACGAAATTCAGCAGCTCGTTATTGTCGCATGGATACATAACAACTCGCCGATCCGTGCCATACCAAATGATGAGCTCGCCATGTGTCTCAGCGAACTTCGCCGTCTTGGGATCATCGAGGGCTGCCTTGCGAGGCACGAGGAAGCGGAACGCGCTCTTTCCCGACGAAAACGGCGTCTTGTCGCCGCCGGGAACTTTGCTTCTTGTTACCGACTTCATACTCTCGTTAGCGAATCGTCCTCGAAGGTTGGATGGATTTCACAATCACGATGCGGTGCACTTACATGAACTCCGTCGGCGCCAATCACAACGTCGCCTTGAACCTTCTCGCCACTTTCGAGTGTCGCGGTCCCTGAGGAAGGATCAACATCTACTAGTCGACTACAAGTACGGAGCTCCACTGGGCGGCCTTTGCCCTCCGACGACACGGCCATCCTCTTGAGTTCGTTGTGAAGACGAACGCGGTGAATAAGGTGCCATGGCTTTGAGCTTGTCAGCAACGACTCGCTGGCTCTCCCAGGTATAGATTGCTCACATGCTGCCAGATCTTGTTCGGCTCAGCGAGAGGCACATGTTTGAGCAGAGTACCATCCGATTTGTACTCTGTGATCTAATCCCCTAACTGTTAGCTTCGAGGCCGGAGGCAGAGCATTGAGCTGCACCACCAGGAGCATATAAACTCACGTATTCCGTCTTGTTCGCGCCAACATTCTCTGCGTATAGTCCCATGCGACGTAGCAGGCCATTGCAGTTAGGCGCAAGGTGCACCGCCGCGCCGACTTCAAGTGCGCAGCTCGATTGCTCGAGGACCTGCGACCCCGTATGTCAGCATTCGTCTCCGCATGTATGAGCGAGCGAGCTATGAACTCACGGTAATGCGATGACCTTGCTGCCTCAAGAAATTCGCAGCGCTGAGGCCGCCAATTCCAGCCCCAGCAATCACAATATGCAGGCCTTCGTCTTTGCGTGCTACTGAAGCCGCGACTTGCCCATTGCCATTGGCGAGGCCGTTTGCGCCTGGCGCGCCGTTCGCATGGCCATTGGATGCTGTTTCCGCTGTCATCGCAACTATGGTGGGAAGTTGAAATGTTTTCTTTTTGGGTCTCAAACAGAATACACAGAATACCAGTGGGAACTTCAGATGATTACAACAGTAACGGGAATTGCATATTCAAAGAGCTAACACCACCCGAAGGGCGGATCTATTACCGCGTCTATTTCCTATTGCCTCCGATCGCTCGGTGGACGTGGGGATCACGGCATGCGAAGATGCATGGATGCTGCGTTTGGTGTTGTCGGGAGCTAGCTAAATCGCGGGCAGTCTGAGAACTAAGGCCAGCCGGGGCAAGTTCCGGCAGCAATAAAGTTCGGGGCCACTCGGCGCGCTCCATGTGGAGCCGAAGTTAATCGTTCGGGACCACATGTCCCGCTACGTGGATCAAATGTGGAGCCGATACGGCCGCACGACGTTCTGTCGCCCTGGAGTGTGATCTTGAACGGCGTCTCTGGGTCGGAACAGGCATAGCTGGAGTTGCGCAAAGGATCTGAGGATGTGATACCTGGACGACTCGGAAGACTCAGCCTTCCCCGACTCCGTTCACAATGGAAGCCACCAAAGTCGCTCTCGTTACGGCCGGTTCAGCTGGTCTTGGGGCAGCAATTGCAAGATGCCTCGCTATCGACGCGAAGATGAATGTCATCATAAACTACTCCTCGAACACACAGAGAGCAGAGGCTTTGGTTAAAGAACTGCAAGGCAATTGTCCATCACAAAAATTCGCCGCTTTACAGGCAGACATAGGCGACAGAACTCAGGTCGAGGGACTGGTGGAGCAAGCGCTCTCGTCCATGGGCCGCTTAGATGTCGTTGTGTCCAACGCCGGATGGACGAGGATGACTGACTTCATGGACCTGGACGAGGGCGTGACCGACGAGGACTGGGATCGCTGCTTTACCATAAACGTCAAAAGCCACCTTTGGTTGATGAAGGCGGCGAAGAAACATCTAGACGATACTGAAGGGGTGTTCATTACCACCGCCAGCGTGGCCGGCGTCAAGCCAAGCGGTAGCTCTTTGGTATGTAGGCGATGCCAATCCGCTCCACGTGGAACACGTTCTCTATCATGTACAGGAGCTGAATGCTACAGCCATACGCTGTATCGAAAGCCGCGCAGATCCACCTCGTCAAATCGCTGGCAATCATCGCCGCCCCGAAAGTCAGAGTCAACAGCGTTTCCCCCGGAGTTCTGTTGACGGCGAGTATTTCGCTGCATGTTTGCTTCTTCCGGAGGCTGACGGTGAATAGGAGTGGGGTCGCAAGTTCCCTGAAGAAAGGCTCAGAGCAGTGCAAAAGGCTAGCAAGCTGGAACGATTCGCAACGGTTGAGGTGCGTGCATAGGACCAGAGAAACTACCCCCATCGGGAAAGACGCTGATAGAAATTTGGTGCAGGATGTCGCAGAGCAAGTCAAGATATTCGCTTTAAGCAAGTCGGTGACCGGACAGAACGCGGTGGTCGATGCGGGATTCAGTTTATCAATTTGAGATTAGCATAGACTTAACAATTTCACGTATAGCCAAGTCTATACTTTGCAAGCCGTTCACTGTTCCAGTCATAGTACGGATTGCAGGAGCGGAGTGTCGTAATAGAACTGGCTTTTCAGATTTCTAGGCCGACTAGACTCGCCGAAAACAAGTTTCACAGAATGAAGAGAAGTCCAGGTACGCAATTGGTGACAAGAGGGCGCAAAACGCGAGCAAATGGTGAGTACTACTCGTTGTACAGAACGCTAGATTTTTGGGCCTACCAACCATTCGTGCTCGTTAGGCAGCCCTTCCGCTCGGGACTTATCGCCTGCATCAAGGTACCCGCAGACGCGGCCTTCCGAATCCCATTGCTTACGAATGGCGATAAGCTTCTTACCTTGCTCCTGTCCCCAAAACCGAGTTCTCCGGACCTGGAAGTCTGCATCGCCCAGATAGGCGCCTTCGGAATGCCGCTCGACCTTGTCAAATATGTCTCTAACCCACTGTTGGCAGCCGCGGTCGTCCTTCTCGTCCTCCCAGATCGTATATGAAGCAAAGTAGTGGTCCGATTGCATACTGAGAGCCATGTCGGGAAGCTTCCGGCGCGAGACCGGCGCCATGGAATACCATAACGAGAACGCCTTCTTGTGGGCTAGGGTGGTGAAGGCCTTCTCCAGCACAGAAACCACGTCCGCATCGTTCCGGATGTAGGCATTGTCCGCGCAATAACGGTGGCCGGCTGGATTGGCCCGTGCTTGGTCTTCATACTCTGATTTGAGACTGGTGGGCTTAAACTGCCATTTCTCGATCGTGCCAGAGGGATGCGTGCTCTCGGCCTCTTGCAATGCCCATTTGGCCTGCTCCTCTGTGTTTTTGAACGTTGTGAAGAGACATAAGATGGTTATCTCGTCACCGCCTGGCTTGTAGCTTGCGACTGCAACAACCTCGGTATCCGCATCGTAAGTTCCAGCAATTCCAGTTATCCATCCCATGGCTTTGCGGTACTCGGATACCGGATATATGTAGCCAGAAGTCATCATCACCTTGGGTAGGGGCCGCGTTTCCAAGTAGAAGCGTGTTACAATGGCTGGGAAACCTTTCCAAACAGTCAGCCGGGCCAAACCAGAGGCAAGAAACCTTGGGGTAGCTTACCTGGCCCGGCACCACGGGCAGCCCAGAGCAGTTCGCTGTTCTGGTTTGCGTCGCAGTGGAGCTCCTGCCCGTCGGCGGTGACGACATCGATCGCGTTGACCTTTTCGCAAGCCCACCCCCAATTCTGAAGTCGCATCAGCGCCAAAGTACTTGATAGGATGTAGTCAAAGCGCAAACAGACCTTGCAATTCCAGCCCATTCCACCTTGGAGAAGAAATCCCCCAACCCCAACATCCGGGCAATGACCGCCTACAAAAAGACGGCCGTAGGTCTCAAGATAACCATTGAGATCTCTTCCGACGGTACTGGGCGAGCATCGAACAACCTCAGTCGCCGCATCATAGTATAGTTCCTTGTAGTTCCCTAGGTCGAGCAGTATCGCTTCGTCGCGGACGCTCCAAGCTGCCCAGCTATGGCCTCCGGACCTTACAGAGACACGACACTTCTTCTCAATGGCAAGCCTAACCGTATCGACGATGTGCTGCTCTCTGGTGGCTTCGACAACAGCGATAGGGTATCGATCCGGACGGCGATGATTGAAGACTCGGCCGATGCGGGCTTGTTCGTAGCCTGGAGAGCCTCTCCAGATGATGGGAAGGGAACTTGCTAGAGAATTGGCTGCCATTGTTCGCGCCTTAGAATTCCGACCTGCGAAGGAGTTCGATAACACGCGGAGTGGTTAAGAAGGTCAACCTTCCAAGGCCGGATTTACCTAGGCAGTCGACAAGCAGAAAACATGAACACGCGTCGAATGGAAAAACACTGTATCGGTTCGGGAAAAGCCATGTCCTCGTACGTTCTTTTCTTGAGGTAGGTGTTTGTTCTGAGGTTGAAACGCCGAGTACCGCCGAAATCCCCTCATTTCAAAGTCACAAGGTTCGGTCCGGGTCCACCTTTGACGCCACGCGCGTCCAAGTCCAACAACCTCTCCACATCCCACCTACTGTGCCAGCTTCCGATTTATCTCCGCACAGACCCCAGCGCTAGCAGCTCGTTTCCGGGGCCCCGCAATGCAAATGCCCCGAATGCAGTTCGCTTCTTTCGGATGCGGGTCTTGCATACGGCTACCTGGCACAACAGTGTTTACGCGTGCTGTTATGCGCTGTTCGGCTGCCCACCTAAGGCGACTCTTTCCACTCATCTCAAGTATTACCGTCATCCAGATTATCGAGCTGAGGCAACAGTCTTGTGCCGCGACCTCGCTTTCAGATCCCTTGAATATCTTCCCCTGTTCCATTACCTCGAGACGCTAAAGAACGATCAACAACATGGCAGGCATGAAGAAGGTTGAGAGTGATATCGAAGATATCGCAGACGTCGCTCCCTTAGGGAGTCACCGTATGCGCAATGTCGACACGAACGAGATCATCCTGATTCCCACCCCCTCCAATGATCCTAACGACCCCCTTAATTGGTTAGTCGAATCACGATGCTAAGTACCCGCTATCCATGGAAACACATGGCTGATCATACACCAGGTCTCGAGCATTCCGCTACTATCTAGCGGTACTCGTCTGCGCGGCCATATTCTTCTGCAACTTCCTAGCGGCGGGCCCAACAGTGGCTATGGTGGATATCACCACTGATTTCTTCGGGCCCCCAGGACCAGATTTTGCGAAACACATAGCGAAGGCTGCGTACTTCTTCACGACGACTGCCCTGCTCCAAGGAACCGGCAACTTGATGTGGATGCCCCTGATTGTGAAGTTTGGACGCCGGCCAGCCTATGTGGGCTCTTTCACGCTGTATGTTGCAACGGCAGCCTGGGCAGGAGGGGCGACCACATACGGTAGTGAACTCGCGGCGCGGATCTTAATGGGGCTCGCCTCTGGTGCAGCGGAATGTCTGGCTCCTCTCACCATCTCAGATTTGTTCTTTTTGCATGAGCGAGGCACCGTCATGGCGTAAGTGTCGTTTAACACCCCTGGACTATTCTCATAGCAATTGCTAATAACTTGCAGCATTTACACTTGCGCTCTTTCGGCCGGGGTGTCTGGCGGTATCATCATTGCCGGCCTCATTACTATCAACCACTCGTGGCGGTATATATACTGGGTTGCGGTAGCCCTGATTGGTACCTGCGTCGTCCTTGTCTATTTCACATTTCCGGAAACCAACTACACTCGCGAAGCTAGCATTGCCGGCCCTGCCACGTCTTGGGATCCCGAGATAGCAGAAGATGCCCATCTACGCGGCAAGGGAATAGTACATCAGGAGGAGCATCACCGAGAAATGCACCGACTATCTTTTGAACGCAAGTCCCACGAACATCAGAAATCCTCGGACCGAGCTCTCAAGGTCGAGGATGCTTCCGGCCCCGCGGATCTTATTCCAGAGAAGAAGAGCTATATTCAGAGCCTCGCTCTTTGGAACGGCAGCTACACCTCAGAATCACTGCCAAAGTTGGTGATGCGTCCAGTTGTACTCCTAGTGCTACCACCGGTGCTTTGGGCTACTCTTGTCATGGCTGTCACTATCGGCTTTATCGTCGCTATCTCATCCAACTTCGCATCAGCTTTCTCGTCCGCATATGGCTTCGAGGCATGGCAGTCTGGCCTTTGCTTCATATCCGGAATGGTCGGCAACTTCATTGGTATTTTCGCCGGTGGGAAATTGTCCGATGCGGTTGCGGACTTCTTCACAAGGCGCAACAACGGGATACGCGAGCCTGAGATGCGCCTGCCCGCTATGCTGATCAGTTTGGTTACTGGACCTCTCGGCCTCGTCTTGTATGGGGCAGGTATAGATAAAAGCTGGCACTGGATGTGCTCGACTGTCGGCCTAGGTTTGCGTACGTGTCCGCTCCCGCTATTGCTTCGATCAACGCGACTAACTATGCTCGCAGTCAGCTTCACCATCGTGCAAGCCACCAACATAACTCTCGTCTACACAATCGACGCTTATCGCCCCGTCGCCGGCGAAATTGTGGTCACGCAGCATGCTTTTAAGTCCGCCTTTGGTTTCCTCCTCTCCTTCTACACTAACCCCTGGATTGAGAGAGATGGCTATCTCAATGCATTCGGCGCAATGGCTGGTATCTCGGGCGGTGTCATGATCATGTTTATCCCGTTCTTTTTCTTCGGGAAGCGGATTCGACATGCGACCTGGCACTGGGGCTTCGTCAAGAAGCTGGCACATTGGAATGAAGACCGTGAGGTTGGCGAGTAAAGCGCATTGTATGCGGAGATTTGATGCCGCTTTCACTCTATCATACGACTATCGTTCCTCAGAATCCGTAGTTAGAGTAGTTCCATGATTTAGCTTGACAATCGCATGCGCCACAATCTGTTGTTTTGCCTAATGCCAGGATACAAGATCGCGTGACTAGGGACGAAGATGCCCAACCGTCCAAATCCTTCTTTCGGAACTGAGGTGGACACACTCGGAGCCTCGTCCTATGGATGTGGATGTTGCTATTTGTGGGTTCCGATCGGGAGCGAAAGCAGTCGAAGTGCTGGCTAGACCGCCAAAGATCCTCGGGCTGCATAAGCCAATTGTGGGGAACTTCGTGGAGAGCGGGATACCTTCGCAGTGCCAGTTGATGTTTGTCAACTTAAGCCGATTGTTCGCGCATAAACGAACGGATCAGCGTCGAAGGCATCGACAAACACTCCCGGGATCCGAATCGCTACTAAAGTTACGAGCCTTCCTCGATCTCCTTAGCACATATAGCAGCCCACAGTCCTCAGTGGTCTAATTAGGCCCACCTCGCCCAGCACACGAAACCCAATGTCTGAACAAACGCTCACCGGCCTCGTAGCCATAGTCTCTGGCTCCAACTCTGGAATCGGCGCCGCAATAATCCACGAACTCTCCTCTCGTGGCGCCAGCACCGTGGTCAACTACCCATTTCCGCACCTTCGTGCCGAAGCGGAATCGCTGTCGTCGTCGCTCCCAAAGCCGTCGACATGTGTGGAAGCCGACATGTCCAGCATCAGAGGCCCGAAGTCCCTCGTCGACGCGACAATAGCAGCCTTTGGCCGACTAGACCTAGTGGTGAACTCGGCGGGCCTGGCAATCAATCTCCCTTTCGAGGAGCAAGACCTGTCGCACTGGGACCAGCTCGTCAATCTCAACGCCCGCGGCGTTTTCCTCCTCACCCAAGCCGCGCTTCCTCACCTTACCGAAGGCCGAGGCCGCATCATCAACATCGTCTCTTTATCTTCCCGCGCTCCGCCCCCCTTGCAAACGATCTACGCGGGGACCAAGGGCATGGTCGACTCTTTTACACGGTGCTGGGCGAAGGAGTTACCCCCAAAGTACGGGTGCACTGTTAACGCAGTTAGCCCCGGCCCTACGATGACAGAAGGATTTGAGGCTGCAGGTCACGAGGCAATGAAGCTGCTGCAGCCTACGATCGATGCGACGCCAGTGGGCAAGAGAATGGGTGATCCGAGCGAGATTGCGTATGCGGTCGCGTTTTTGTGCGAGGAAAGGTCGAGGTGGATCAATGGGGCGCATTTGATGGCTTGTGGCGGGCTTCACATTGATTAGATTACAAAATTAAGACGGGGCTGAGCAGAGACAGTTTTTCACAGTGTATGTCATGTATTTACTGGTTTTACCTTGAGAGATAGCTCGTGTAGGCGGCGCGGTCGTCCCGAGGTCCCCAGCGAAGACCAAGCTAACTGCTTTGGGAGTAGTGCTCGTATCACATTCTTGCCAACGGCCCACCTGGAAGTGTTCAACATCCGTTCTCCTTCCGCTCACTTTTTGAGCTTCAGGCATTTCGATTGAGAAGACAAGCGGGCTATTCGTACAACGAAACGAGGTTAAATTCACGCCATCGCATGCCAGGACCTCAGGCTACTGAAAGCCGAAACAGAAAGAGGGGCCTCGCAGCGCACGGAAGAGATGCGATAAGCTCGAAGCGTAGGAGGGCGCCGGCTCTCTTCCAGTGCCCAGTCGAGGCCTCCGGCTTCAGACTTGACATCGCACCACCTGGCCCTTCGGCAGCCACGAATCACCGGCCGAGCACGTCTACCTTCAATCTAGTCACATCCGCTGGCCTAGTCGACCCAAGGTCTCTCAAGGAGCAGAGCAATCTCAGTGAAGCCGCACCCGGACAAAACGCCTCCCACCAATCGCGCAGAAAAGGATCATCACACACCACCTTGGCGGAGCCGAGCTGGTGTGGGCCCTGAGAGCGCCGATCAGTTGGACGATTGGAGATGCCATAACAGCACCTATACGCAGATACGAGTGAGGGAACCGTGACCGAACGGGCCCCTGCGATCCCGACCCTGCCGATCTGCCGCTTTGCATCGAACATCTCCGCACTTCATGGTGTCACCAGAACAGATAAGAACTGAAGACGCCATACGCACCACAGCAGCTCAGAAGACGTTATGACGTTTGAGAAGAGATGTCAAGCAGTGTCTGAAGGCTGCTCGTCCCCAACGCTCCGTTCGTTTAGATCCTACCTGGAATAGGCAGGCATCGTGGGCCAACCCATCGGTCCCAGCTACAACGGATCAACACAATTCCTTCCAGAGGAGGCAGGCCTGAGAAGATCCATGGAGGTTGCAATAAGCAGCGGAGCGTGCTATGGTGAACCACGGGAAGCCTATTGCTTGTGTCCGGGTGGCGGATCTTTAAAGAGAAGGTCAGATTTGAAACTCGTATATCGGCACACCTCAAGCCAGCATCAGATAAGGAACCGCGAGCGGTCCGCCAATCGCCGGTGGCCAACGGGCGGCCTCGGGGAATATTCCATCGTCCTTCTACCACACGCTTGGCGGACCGCTTCCGGAAGGTGAAGTGCTAAGCGACCGTGGCTAGCTTCGCTGGCCGGTGATTCGGCCTTATACACAAGCATTGCCGCTTGGCAGGAACTAGATGGCATTCTCATGGCCATGATCTTGCGCCGTTTCTGGAAGCGATATATTAACTCTGCTGCGAGAATATCACCTGTCGCCGTGGGGTGCATGGGATTGCACGACTCTCCCTCTCGACATTCCTCTTCTATCGATGCGGCTTCGCTTCCCACGGCGATTTGGTTCCGGGTGGCTGGAGGCAATTTGCTGATGGGCGATGGGGTGCAGCATGGCAATGTTCAGCTTCCTGATCATGACTAGGATGCCGAGGAGGAGAGACGGGCATCGGAGGAGTGGGCGGCAACGAGGGCCATGTCCAGCATGTATAAAGAGAGGCGGTTCTGGTGAAGATTCGCCGTTCATCACAAGCTCCATCGAGATCCTCTACCTCTTTCTCTAGCAGCCGAATTTGTGCACCCTCGCTCATCATGAAGTTCCTCGCTCTTGCTGCCCTGGCGTCCCTTGCCAGCTCCATCTCAATCGAGCTGTCCAAGCGCGAGTCGCCTCTCGATGTCAAGCTCGAGATGACCGGTAATACCGAGCTCAAGGCCTCCGTCACCAACACCGGGTCTGAGGACCTGAAGGTGCTCAAGACTGGCAGCTTCTTAGATGAGACTGCCGTCGAAAAAGTCGAGGTCTTCCAAGGCAGTAAGTTTCCACGCATCCATGCCCTCTCTCGTCAGGAACGGCGGTTGATACCCTGGTGTAGGCTCCAAGGTTGCTTTTGAGGGCATCAAACTCCGCATCAGTACCACCAACATCCCGGAGGAAGCATTCCAGGTCATCGCTGCCGGACAGACTGTCGAGACATCCTTCGACGTCGCGCAGATGCACGACCTCACTGCTGGAGGCGCTTTCGACATTGTCTCTTCAGGCACCCTCTCCTACGCCAAGGCCGACTCCACCGAGCTGACCGGCGTTGTTTCCTACTCCAGCAACACCATCTCGGCATCCGTCAATGGCGCCGAGGCCGCCAAGGTGCGTCGTGCCTTCCTGGAGAAGCGGTCCTACGTTTCCTCGGACTGCACCGGTTCCCGCCGCACCGCCACCGTCAACGCGATGTCGAACTGCCGCTCTCTTGCCCTGGCCGCCTCCTCAGCCGCCGGCTCCAACAACGCCAAGCTGCAGGAATACTTCAAGTCCACGACATCGAGCACTAGGTCCACCGTGCAGACCGTCTTCAACCGGGTTGCGACCGAGTGCGGCACCACCTCCGGCGGCTATGCGGACTACTACTGCACCGACGTCTACGGCGCATGCGGCAGCAACGTGCTGGCATATACGCTTCCCTCGCAGAGCTTCATGGTCAACTGCCCGTTGTACTTCAGTGCTCTTTCCGCGCTGAGCAGCTCGTGCCATGCGCAGGACCAGGCCACTACTACGCTCCACGAGGTGACGCACTTGACGCAGATCAGGGGCACGCAGGACTATGGGTATGGATACAGTGCCGTTCAGAGCCTGTCTTCTTCACAGAACCTTAACAATGCTGATACGTATGCGCTCTTCGCTAACGGTATGTTTGAGGCTCGTCTTTCTTCCTGGATATCTTCACTAACACTTGCTTAGCGATCTACGCTGGCTGCTAAGTAGCTACGCCATGAAAAATTCCGGCGAAGGCAGGGGGTTCGGCAGTCCTGTTGGTGCAGTGTTCCGGGTTGGTGGAGTTTGGCTGGATGTCATGTCAGCCAAGGATGGGGCTTCCGGTTCGTCGTCATGTACACTAACTGTGCTCTTACCAGAATGCAAGACCCTTCATCGTACAACCTGCTCTCCCTAGGGAATCAAGCTCCCTCTCTTCGTACCTCGTCTTGATCGCATGACGCATGCCTCGCACCTAGCTCCAAACCTCTCAAGCAAGCACCCCAATGCCTACCACGGAGAGCGCACAACATCGCCACGCGTTGCACATCCAGCCAGGGGAGTTATATCGCCGATACATCTTTATGGAGGTAAGGTCTGTACCCATCTATTTTCTGTCGTTCCACGTGCCAAGCAGCTCTCCCTTACTTCGCTCGTATGTCTAATTAATCTCTCCTATCTACAACCCAAATAGGAATCTTGCACTAGGCGGGCGCGTGCGCAGATCCGAAACGCGACGAATGCGATGATCGATCATGTAGCATAGATACGAGCCGCAGTGCCACGAAAACGGTTCGAGAAAAAAAAGTCAAGACCCCATCTTTACCCGGTTGATAGATGAATACGAAAGCTCGCACTCACCACTATATATAGGCTTCACCACATCACATCGCTCATCGCCCACCGCCAAAAACTCCAGCATCAGCATCTCCAACAACAGCCCCCCAGACACCGCACTCACAATGTACCCTTCCCCCCTCGCCGCCCTCTTCGCCCTCCTCTCAACCCGCGCACTCGCCTCGCCCCTCGCCCCCTCAACGCAGCCCATATGCCTAGAAATCTGCTACCTCCAAAAGCCCGACTGCGCGCGGAATGGAGTTCGTCCGCTCTCTTCTATCCTGTCCTACTCTATCCACCCTTCCCCCCTTCTTTCATTCTTTCTTTTAGCAAAAAGCTAACTAACTCACTCCCCCAGTTCCCCATGCAACAAAACGAGTGCTGGACGTGCTGCACACGGGAGCCGCCCAAGCCGGAGCCACCGCTAGCAATCTGCCTCGCGATTTGCTACTTTGAGAAGCCGGAGTGTGGGAGGGGGAGTGTATGTTCTTTCCTTTTTTTTTTTTTTTTTTTTTAAAGGATAGAGAGGCGGCTTTGGGTTTGGGTTTGGCTGTAGCTTTGAGGAGGGCAAGTTCAGTGCTGACGTCGATGCAGTATGCCGCAAAGCAGAACGAGTGCTGGACGTGCTGCACGCCGCAGCAGGCCCAAGTACCGCCCACGGACGCGTGAAGGACCTGCTTGTGCTTGTTCTAGCCATGGGGGAAGATGCGGGCGCGCTGTGGTTGCCAGCTGTAGGCGGGCAGGCGAAGTCATTGATTGGAAGGATGCGTTGGAGTGGAGTGGATTAGGGGGATTTACTACCTAGGTAAGCGCGTGCCAGTCAGCCTGTAGATATTGGGATGCTGTCTACTGGCAACCTAGCGAAGAGCCGTGCAACCTTCTTGTGGCTTCTCCCGAAAAACACCCCTGATGAGATAGCTAATCAGTGAAGAATTCGAGGAACTTTGGCCAGATCTCATGCGTCTCTTTCCAATTCCAACGGAGAGGGCCGTCGACCTGCACGTTGAAGAACTTCGGCTTAGACTGCCGCTGTGGCCGGACGACTATTTCAAACAAGGATATTCTAACTAAGGAATGACACAAACAACCTTCGGGAACTCATCTGTGCCTCATCGAATGTCGTTTAAACTTAGACTACGTTGAGGAAATACAACATCACACCGGCCATCGACCCTTTACGATTACCATTTTGATTCCTACGTTAAGCTAAGCTAAGCTATGGAGACAGGAAAAAGAAGCCCACCCAAATGCACCCGAACCATAACCGTCCTTGCGCAAAAGAAGCCACGGGAATATCGTCTTGAGCTAATGTTACAGGGCCTCCATGTTACTTGCGTTTTTCACCCATCCTCTCCATATGTTGGTTTCGTGAGGTCGTGATGCGTGAGAAATCCACACCTAGCCTACAACGATCGAGCGCAATATCGCTCGGTAAGATCAGTCCGCACGGGCATTGGAACCGTATCATCGACTTCATCCAGCTTTCATCTACAACTCCTCCTTGACGCGGTCGGTAGCAGACTTCGCGCTAGAAGCAGCGGCATCGTAGCCCTTCTGGGCGGATTTCGAAGCGGCAGCAGACGCGCTAGCGGCAGACTTAGAGAGGGAAGAAGACGCACTGGCGGCGCTCTTGGAGGCGGACCCAGTAGCGCTGCTGAAGCTAGCCTCGCAGCCAGTTGCCATTCCGAGCTGGGCCTTGAACCAATTCGTGTAACCCGCAAAGCCGTTGGTCGCCTGAGCGTAATTGTTTCCGGCCTTGGACGTAGCAGCACCATAGGCGCTGGCAGCGGTGGCCGACGCGCTATCGCCATAAAGGCGGGCACGGTGCTTGCGGGCGAGGGCAAGAAGCTCGTTGCGCTTAGAGCCCTGGGGAACCTTGATGCCGTTCTTGTCGGCCCACTCCTTGATCTGGCTGTCGGACCACGAGTCGAGAAGTGCGTCGCTGAGGCTTTGCTGGGCAGCTGCGGCAGAGGAAGACGCAGAGGCATAGGCACTCTGCATGTTCAAGCTAGCGAGGCGAGAGTTACGGCGGACATTAGCGATGAGCTTGTCACGCGTGGTAGGCTGAGGAACGGGGAAGCCGCGCTCGTCGAACCAGGATTTCAGATCCGAGTCGGACCAGGACTCGTAGAGCCAGTCACCGGGATACTGGGCATTCTCCGAGATCTTGTTGGCGACCGACTGGTAGTTCTCTCGGACAGCTCGGAGGAGGGAGTCGCGCTCACGGGGCTGAGGAACGGGAATTCCATGCTTGTCAGCGAAGGCCTTTAGTTGGGAGTCGGTCCAACTGCGCTCGTTAGCTACGTCACACACGCAAAAGTGAGGAAGGGAACCTACGAGTCAAAGATCCAATCCCGGACATTACCGTAGGCCTGGTTCGCCGACTCCTCGGTCTCGGTCCAGTAGTCCTTGACCTGCTGGGCCAGCGAATCCTTGTTCTTCTCGGTGCCCTTCTTGGCCTGCTGGCCCTTGACCGTGAGGTAATTCTGGAGCGTCTGCGTGTCCCAGCTGTTGTAGGGTGTAACGACCTTGTCGTTCCAGTTGTTCTTCACAAGGTTCTCGAGATCTTTCCGGTCCGAGGCCGCGGGATAGGGAATGTTGTGGTCCGAGAGCCAGCGCTCCAGCTCGGTTTCATGCCACTTGTTGTACACTATTATAGTTAGCAGCGTTCCTTATATAGAGACGACTAGGGGTAGAGAATAGTGCTCGTACAATACGCACCAGGTTTGCCGAACCAGCTGCTCGCAATGGTGCCCTGGGCGGCGAGAGCCACCACAAGGGTGGATGCGAGGGAGAACTTCATGTTGCAGTCTATCAGTCGAGGCACTCCGGCTGATATGGATAGATTAAGAGACGAGGGTGCTGCAAATTGAGGTGGGGGAGGAGGAGTGCAGTGGAGAGCAGGCAGCGGCGCAGCTTAAGAGGGGAAACAAAGATGTCGACGTATGTGTGGCAGTGACGTAGGGGTCACGTTTGGCCGCAGGATAATCAAGGTCGCGCCTGCCTGCAGTTAAGTGGCCCGCAGCCAATGGGGCGTTGCGCATCGTGCTGTGCTGCTGCAATTGCGGCTTTCACCGTTGCGCCAGATTCTCACGCAAGGCACTTCTACCCGATTGAATGGCGAGAAGGCTGTTTTCACGGGCTGTAGCCATGGAATTTCGAGAATCCCATCGTGATCCATAGATCGTGCATTTGCGGGGATCGCGCTAAGCCACTGACATCACGAAAAAGCTCGGGCCTCATGCAACGCTCAATATATTCCTTTGACGCGTGTGCTGAGAGAAGCAAGAGCGTGAAAACTCCGTGTGATTACATTTCGGTATGCCAGCTACAGAGTTGCTGGCTACGCTTGAGGACGATGATTCCGCCCTAACAGTCCTTTGCCCTGACCATTCATGCTTTGGCTGCAAATATTGTACATCGGTAACATACTCAGCGCCATCCCTTATGGCTGCTTGTCGCGTCCACCGTGTCCTGCATCTGTCAGCCCTGCCGGCATCACACACGTATTGGCCGACTTACCACTCCAGTACCCCGGTGGCGCCTTGTCCTTCGCCGCGTCCTTGTTACTGACCTGCTCATACGCCTTCTCAGCCCGATGGTCCATCTCCTCGTTATGCTGCCTCACGGACTCGTCCTTCTCACCGGGCGGGTTGTCACTCAGGATCTTTGGCTGCGCACCTTTGACTCCCTTGCCGCTGCTTCGCTGGCCGCTCGGGCTGCTGCTGCCCTCGCTGGGCTTTGAGTCTCCCCCACTGTCGTTTGTGGATTTTGATCCGGTCGCTGATGTGCCTTGGGACGAGCCTTGAGAGGAGGACTGGGAAGAGGCTTGTGAGGTCTCCTGCCCCGGTTTGCCCTGGGCCACCTTCGGCGGTGGCGGACCTGGGTGCTCGAGCTCCTCGCGCGGTCGCTTGCCTTGTTGTTGCGGGTTTTCGCCGGCGGGGTTGCCTTCGCCCGAGCCGTAGTCTTGAGATGCGAAGCGGACTTGAAGACCAGCTCGGGGTGCTTTAGAGAGCGCTGGCCGTAGAGCCGAGGCCCGCAGCATTGTCGACGGTCGGAGGAATTGCATAGTGATTGGTTTGCGTGCGAATGTCAGAGTTGAGGAATTTCAGAAAGGTCGCTGTGAACACAGTCAACTTAGCTGGGGAAGGCCTACCATGGCGAATGACATCATGATGTCAACATCGATGCCAAGAGATCTGGAGGTCCGCTGGGCGAAAGATCCACGCCGCCGCAAGCTCCAACGTCATTCTAAGGTTGCAGTTTCACCAATGCGCATCCTCTTCCTTTGTGGCCTTGTATTTAATATTATTACTGAGCGGGATATTTCCTAAATGATGCGCTGATCAATGCTCGCTGAAGGGTATCGTGCCTAAGTGCCGGAGCAATCTACTGTGTATCCAAGCATGCGCAACCATTGTCCAAAACCAACCTATATATCCAACAACGACAATCAAAGGCAAGATGTAGCCTTCTGAATGCGAGCGATTATTATCAACAGCAAAACGTATATCTCAGTCGATTCCGACCACGGATCCTTCAACCCTCCAGTCGTCAACCTCGACGTCTCTCGGGGCGGTGTGGACTGCGTCGGGGTCCACTTCGACATGGCTGAGCCAGGTTCCGACTCTATTTGCCCCGCGCTTCGTCCCATCACGGGACAGCCCGGCCATGGTAGACGCTGTTACGATGCGGGCGGGAGAAGGACGGGGTGCCTCACGCACGAGGCTGCGACGGCTGAAAAAGGAGGTTCTTGGCACCGACATGCGGACTGCTGTTCGTGCGGCTGAGTTTGCCAAGGGACGTACGGCAAATGAGTCGTTCATATGGTGGCCTCCGGAATTGCCAAGCCCATAAACGCGGAGATTTGGATCGCTGCGGTTGGCTTCGGACGCGGTGGGTGTTGGCTCCATCCTGAGTTGGGCATGAAGGTGCGCGGCGAGAACTTCGTCCGCGCGTTCGAGGTCGCGATCTCCACGAGGGCGGGTGCGGGTACTGAGACGGCGGACTGGTGGAGGCGCAGGCTCTGGAGGAATCTCCACAACTTCGACTACATCTTGTTGTGGTATATATGGGACGCGCATGTCGTTCAGTCGGTCATCCTCATCGAGATGTTGATAGTTGAACCATGGGCAGTTGCATGTCTTCCAAGGGGCTGCACAGACCATGCAGAATTGCGCCGTACAGCGACTAGTACATGTGAGTACATCGGTATCGGACAATAAGAGAATGGCAGCTTACCATGTCATGTGATTGCAGCCTTCTTTAAGCTCAACCAGGGCCCTGCAGTTGTAGCACGTCTGCCAGCCCTTCTCCTTGGCCAACTGCACGACGCGGTTGGTCTCCTCATCCCTCGGGCACTCCCGTCTCGTGTGGAACCTCCCATTGCATAGAACACACACTTTGGTATTGCACCGACCGCAACGGGCGTACTTCCTGCCGTAGGTCAAGTCCATCCGGATCTTTGACGGCTTGATCCACTCTCCGCATCCTTTGGTAGGGCAATACAGGCGGTTCGCGGTGGTATACTCCTGGTATTTCTTGTTCCACAATTTCTTAAACTTATCATCAAATAGGCGTTCAACGTGCTTCAGGGGAATATGTTCAGCGGTGCAGCAGGTGGGAGGCATGTGCTGGGGGTCGTTGACGGAGAGCGTGAATTGGCGCTTGAGGCACGAGTGGCACATGCGGTGGCCGCAGCCGAGTTTGGCTGTTTTGTTCGCAGGAAGGTCATCGTTCATACATACGAGGCATTCGACCCTGCTAGGGTTAGCAACGACGTCTACGAAACGATGGTGGTGGACTGACCTTGGCACCTCCTTGTGCAGAACCCCGGTAGGCGTCCGGGGTGGAGGCCTGAATAGCGTTGCGAGAAGGCCGCCGGTGCTCTTCCGCGCTGAGTCTCTCGCAGAGACTGTATGCGATCTCGAGACAGGAGTCGCGGTGACCGTTGGTAGCTTGAGGGTGCTGGAGCGTCGAAGGGACGGCCTGGTCACGTAGACCCGGTGCGGTTCCCGCGCCGATACGCTCCTGCTGATCTTGGGCACCTCGACAACTCTCCGCACTGATGTGGACCTTGAACCGGACAGGGGCGTGTGTGCTGTCCTGCTGGATGAACCGCCCTCGTCACTCCTCCGCCTTGTCCCCGACCGCCTCACGGTAACCTCCTCCACCACGCCCCGCGACTTCGGCCGGCCGTAGACGTAGTCATCACTCCGGTCATCCTCAACTCTTTCCCGCCTCTTCTTTCGCCGCACTGTGCCATCCCGTCGCACCTCCCTATGGCTGCTCCGGGACTTGTCTTTGTCCCTTTCCACTCGTATCTCCTGAGCCATGCGCTGCGCTTCGCGACGTCGATCAGGCTCGGGCCTAGAGTAATAGGATTCCCTCCTCGCCCTTAACTCATTGATGTCTACTTCGGCCTCTCTCCGGGCCTCCTCTGCTCGTCGGCGCTCGCGTCGCTCGCGCTTAGCGGCAATGTAATCGTCGTCGTGGTCGCGGTGCCGGTGGCGGCGGCGATGTCTGCGCTCTCGGTCGCGCTCGTCAGAGGAATAGTCGTCGTAGTAATATCTAGAGTCACGCTCATCACGGTCTCTGGCCATTCCTGGGGGATCGTGTGCGTATATACAGGGTGCCCGGGTGTCAGCCTCGCGAGTCACAGACGCTGGCAGACACTCAGGCAGCGGTGCAGGAGGGCGTGCGGATAGAGGGCGCTGTGTGGAGAGTTGCGGTGGAAGTATGACAGCGAGCACCTGCAAGCCGGTCGACGTTTAGCTGACCAGCGCACGAGTCAAGACCGGCCTGGCACCCCAGAAAGCGCCAGACAGCGCCCGGGCGGTGAAGGGTTGCAGCGGGCGGAGTGCCTGTTGATCAGTGCCACTCGTCTGCCGTCCAGGGTTTCGCTAGCGTTTAGCGGCAGCCGGGAGCGATGTCAGGCGCGCGCGGAAGGGTTGCCAGCTGTCTCAGGGCAGGGCCATATGATGTATTTGCCGGGACAGCAAACGGCGCATGTTGGGTGCGTATGCAGCGTTGCGCGGCGAAGCAAACCCAACCCCGCGGTATTCGCCAGATGCCGCCGCGCTGCCTCTTCCGGCGACCGTCGGGCTGCGAAAGCTGCGTAGGGTTGCCACCACCCGCAGAGGGTATATTTGCCAGATCTAGCTGTGCGCCTATGTGAACGCCGAAAATGCACGAGAATCGTGCCTCAGTCCTTCTCCAATGTGATTTGCGTCGAGACCTCCCACTTCTGCCCGCCGCTGCCGTACCCGCCGCCCAACCGATTCCGAACCATGCTTCCGATGCGGTCGCGCAGACGTCCCATCTCCTCGAGGCTCCGCACCCGCAGTTTGAGATTGGCCTGGCATAGTCCGTAGTGTACCTGCCAGAACTTTGCCTCCTCCACTGCGCTGACCGCCGGGTCCGTCTCGAGGTCGTACAGCACGGCCGAGACTCCGGGCCCTGAGTACGACATCATGAGCATCTTGCCCAGCGTCCACCCCTGGATCCAGCCTAATGCCACCATGGCAATGGCGACGGAAAATGAGAGGGTGCGGTCTAGCCACACGTACATCTGAATACTGAGCAAAGGTAGGAGAAGGAGAAGCGAGGAGCAGGACAGAGTGAGGAAGTGAGAGGGGTTGCTCAGTACGGACGGCAGGTTCGCAATGGCACCCAGTCTCATCACCTTGCCGATGCGAGCGTGGTTCTTGAGTAGGATTGCCGAAACGAGCGTAGATACGATGCCGCTTAACGCGGCAAGATCAATGCTCCCCTGAGGAACGCGCTCGTGTGCGTGCGAACCTTCGCCGTGGTGCGGAGTATGTCCACCCTTGTCCTCCAGCGCATGTGTCAGACCGTGCGAGATCAGATCCAGCCCCATGAAAAGAAGGCCCACCGACATGCCGAGGCCGGCAATAACTTCGGAGCGTTCAAAGCCGAAGGGATGGCGGATGGTCGAACGTTTCCAGACCTCGAAGTTGGACCCCACGTCGACGGCCACGCAGAGGAAGGCACCGAGGGCATCGTAGAAGATCAGACGGGAGAGAACCGTGAGAGCTAGCGATTCATGCGCTCCCCACTGCACCAGTCCCGCTACGGTCAGATGGCAGAAGCACCACATCAACCTCCACGTCTGCTCTTTGGTCATGCTCGAGCGGTATTCCTTGAAGGTCGGCACGGGCAGGGAGGCGGGGAGCTGGAGCGGGGCGCGCGGCGGAGGCTCGAGGAAGATCTGGTGGGAGACGCTGCTGTGCTTGTACTTGTGCCCGCGTCGACGGCCGACATCCTGTCCATGTTAGCGACTGTAGATGCCTTTCAACGGGGCTATGTACGCACCGACTTGTTTGCCTGCGGCCTCCCCGGCATGTAGCTGACGGGCTGGAAATTGAATGGATTGCGCACATTCTCCGAACCGCTCAGGGAAGGTGCATCTGTGTCAGTCGTTCCGCTTGCGGCGCTGGCGGGAGTATACGGGAAGGTCGCGCTGGTGGGACTGTAAACAGTGCTGGGTGTCGCCCTCTGCGAAAGGGAATCGCTGGGGCCGAGAGTCGCATAGCGGTCGGACGGGAAGGTCGCGGACATGGGAGAGAGCGCATTCGGATTGAAGCCCAGCTTGGCCGGCGAGAGCTGGTCCTCCAGCCCAAGGCCGACGAGGTGGTTGTCGTCATCAGGAGGCGGCGTGGGAGTGCGCGGCGGGACTGGAAGCGGCATCTGGGACGCCATGGCTGTAGATAAAAAACGACAGACTGAAAAGAATGAATCAACTGAGCTGCATTGCTAGGTAATCGACGAAGAACGGTAGACAGTGGGTGGAAGAGGCGGCGGAGTGGAGGGGAAATAAAGTGAGCGCCTCGATGCGGCCTAGGCCGGGGGTCGTCAACGGGCAGATCTGGGGTCACCGCTGCAGCCAATCGAGCAGCTCAGGGGAGCCGCCGCCACAGCTCGTATCCGCGAGCCGCAACACCACGCCTCTGCTGACGCTCTAGCGATTCTCGACGTACCATGGGACGCACTCTTTGACGGCCGCCAACACTGCCGGATGGATTGCCCGCGCGGAGAGGATGGAAAATGGCACCACTCCACAACAGCACGACGGCGATGACGCTGTCATGTCCGCGACGCACGAGGTGAAGAGGAACGGGGAGGGCGGCACCCAGCTCGCGCACAAGCGGAGCATCTCGGGCAGCATTCTGGGCAGTCTGCCGTTTCTGCGGGCCTCTGCAAAGGACGCAGCGCCCCGCTCTCCACCGAAGCGCGACGAGCATGAGGGTGCAAAGCGCGGGTCGTCGCTGGCGAGCGCGCTGAGCCAGAGCCAGGGCAGGAAGCGGAAGGGCTCGCTGAGGAAGAGCATAATGGGCAAGAACATGATGCGCGAGCGCCGCAACTCGCTGCTCAACCAGCGTTCGCCTGCCAAAGCGCCCGCCGTCGACACGCCCATGGCCCCGGCCTTGCCCGACGACGACGAGCCCACGCCGCGCCGCTTCAGCTACGAGAACGTGGCGCTCAATTCCTCGTCCGACAGCGGGTGGCTGCCTGCCGGCCGGCTGTCTGTCTCCACGTCCACCGCCAGCAGCTTCGCCCACGACGCCCCCGACGACTCGACGCCGCGCCTGCTGGCATCGCCCATCACCAGCCCCACCGGCCCGTACGCCTCCACGACCGACGACGACGAGGGCCTCTCCTTCTTCCGCCCGTCGGCCTCGAGTAGTAGCTCCTCGTACAACGTCGCAGGGCTGCCGCCGCAGGGCCCCGTCATGTCGCTGCAGCGCCGCCGCTCGAACCGCTCCGGCCAGCACTCGTCGCTGACCATCGTGCACACGCCCGCCGACATGGCCCTCGACGACGAGTGGGACTACGGCGAGACGGAGTGGTGGGGATGGGTCGTCCTCGTCGTGACATGGATTGTGTTTGTCGTGGTCATGGGCTCCTGCCTCGGCGTGTGGAGCTGGGCTTGGGACGTTGGAGAGACGCCGTATGCGCCGCCCGAGCTGGAGGACGACCCCACATTGCCCATTACGGGCTACTATCCCGCATTGATGGTATGTACAGCGGTCATGGCCTGGGTCTGGGTTGTGGTGGCCTGGGTGGGCATGAAGTACTTCAGGCATGCAAAGGTGGTTGGCGACGATGGCTAGCCGCGCCCTTGCAGTTACCCCATATTTCCTCACATCTCATAAGACGACCCGAATAGGGGCGCCCGTTTCTATTATTGCAAACTATCATCTAGGCTGTTGTCTTATCACCCGCGTTATCGCCAATAACATCTCGGGTCTGAAACACTAAGTCTTAACACATGTCTTAAGCCATCTCATCACACCCTATTCTCACGCTTGCCTTAGCAGGACAAGTAGCAGCGCCGTATCTCAAATTCCTGAGCAATAGCTCTCTTCATATGTCGCGCACACTCCACTTCAAATGTCGGCGGACGGCCGTCCCTCGTTGCTCATCTCGCTGCCTTTTTGGCGCTCGGTCCACCCGGACGCTGGGTCTCCTGGCCCTTTCATCGAGCTCATCTCCCTCTAAGCAACCATGGTCCGCATACCTCGTCGCACTCATAGCGTCTCCGGACCACCCTCTGCGCACTGCGTGTTGAAGGATGTTGCTTGTTGCTGCAATATGGTCAAGGTAATGGCCATCATTTCTCGTCGCCCTCGAGTGCACCAATCTTACGCGCATATATCTAACCCAGGGCAGATCCAGCAATTCTACATGGCAATGATGGCACTTCGCCGAAATCCGCGCAGGAAGTGCAAGAAGGAAGAGACGCCAATACCAGTCGCTCAAGACCATACGGACCATTGGACGTCAAAGAGATTGTTGGATGCAGATACACAGCGGTCAGAGCCTGTAAGGCTCCCGAGAACTGTACGGTGAGTGTTCGGCTTCGAGAAGAAAACCAACCCCCTTTGACGATTCTCGAAGGCGCAAACCTCTCCATCACACGCCCCCAAACCCACTGGAATCTACAGAGCCCTTTCCCTTTTTCAGTCTCCCAAGGGAGGTGCGTGACCAAGTGTATGCAAATCTCGTCGTTCGCCGCGGTCGACACATCCCCATCATCGAAGCGAAATCCATTCTCCGCGAACAAAAGAAACGGACCACCGCGCAAAGGACCCGCGAACGTCTCAATCTCAAACGCGCCCAAACCGGACGTCGACCCATTACTCCGCGAGAAGCTGTTGCTGAACCCATTGTTCATTTGAACGTGCTTCAGGCTTCGAAGCTAACCAACTACGAAGCCAGTGACTGCTTCTACCAGCAGAACTGGTTTGCAGTCTCCATCGACAATTTCCCCGCCACCACGATCGAGACGCCATCCGGCTGGGATTATGGGAGAATTACGAAGATGCAGCTGGAATTGCAGCTCAAGGATGCACAGCGGATGAATAGTTATATTGACTGGATCCCCTTCTTCGCTCAATTCCCAGCTTTGAGGTCCCTTCGGATCATCCCGACTTTTCACTCAAGATACTACGACTGGGCGCGTTCGGAGCTGAGCGATTGGAACACAGCTCACTACATATTCCGGGCTTTCTTCAGGGAGCTACTGGCGACCATTCCAGAAGGCCTGGTCTTGAAACTAGGGCCTTCGAGCGACCCTGAAGAGAACATGAAACTGGAGGGCAAAGCATCGGTTCACAGAAGAGTTCTATGGGACATGTATGCGGAGCTGGGCACTAGGACGGATTCGGGCGAGAGTAGGGACTTTGTTGCCGTGGGACAGATTGTGGATTACGGGCCGATGGATGCTATGAAGGGTCAGGATGTCGTTGGTTGAGTTCACTAATGCTATAGTTGATGACTGATGCTATGATAATGATAATGCTCTGTACGAATACCCCCATCAATAAGTCACTTTTGGAGGAATAATGACTCTTAGTAACGCATTTCTTTCGATCTAGGTTTACTCAGACACGAGCGAGATCGAAGCTAGCTTTGGCGTTCCGCATTAGGCCCTCCATACTGCTTCCAATCCCACCATCCAACGTCTTGCGGGTAAAAGGATTCCAGATCAATGCCTAAGGTTTCCAAAGCTTAAAACAAGTTTGTTTGCTAAGTTAACTTAAGCCGATATGATCTTATGATCCGCCTCTACCCATGATCTCCAAGCGAAAAGGCTGTGCGCATGAATAGAGCACGACGTGAAACGAGCCATTTGATATGCACGACCTAAACACACCCTTCTACGTTATATCACTTTTTTCGAATGCCACTCGCCGTGACCGAACAGCTGCCCCGCAATACTCTGCGTGAAACTTCTGACAAATGTTCAACTGCCGGTACGGGAAGTGTGGAGTGAGAATGGGAATAGCATTGCAATAATGCCCTTCTTCCAATCTCTCGGCCTCTGAGGGTACGTCAGACCGCTATTCTCACCTATAATGCAACTACATATGATGCATATGAATGTTGTCCGTGTATAGTCTACCTAATCTGGTCTAGTCTGCCAAGCATGAATCTTAAGCCCGCGGGCTGCCGTCATAGCTCCAATCCCATGTCCAGCGGCAACATCGCACAACCAGCCAGAATTCTGTCAGCACCGCCTCCATAATGCAGTCTTCGCCCCTCGCCAATCCGCTGGCAACAGTCGCTCAGCTTGAAACCTCTGGATCCCAGCTCGATGGCATTCCAATTGACCTTGAGAATTCGGTCCGCTTCGACGGCGCCCGACTCACACAGGCCGCGGGAATCCTGCTGCGTCTGCCGCAGGAAGTTATTGCGCAGGCTATAGTAGTGTTTATGAGGTTTTGGGTGGGTCCCGAGGGCGGGAGTTTAGCCGAGTTTGGCGCTCAGGTAGGTTGCTCAGCTGTCGTTGAGAGAGGAACGACCAGGTGCTGATACTATGCAGCAAGTCTCCGCAGCCTCCATGTACCTGACGACGAAGCTCTCCGCATATACAAAGTCCGCAAGAAGCATCATAAACGTCTATACCTACCTCGATTCCCTCCCCTCCACGTTTGTCGATCCAGCGCAGCTGCAGGCTAAGAAAGCGGAGGAATACTACGTATCAGAGGGCACATACCAGAGGCGGAAGATGGAGCTGTTCGAGACAGAGCAGCGGATACTAAAAGTCCTGGGCTTTCAAGTGCAGGTCTCGCTCCCATACTCGCTCTGCATCACCTATCTCCAGGCGCTGGACGTCTTCTCGCATCCTCGCGCCTCTGACCTAGCTAGTCGAGCCATGGCGCACTTGAATACGGCACTGCTGAGCCCACAGGTGCTGTACCTGACACATCAGCCCCCAAGTTTGGCTACTGCTGCGATTTATCTGGCCGCGAAGGAGGTCGGGATCAAGCTCCCTGATGTCGAGTGGTGGGAGGTGTTTGATACCGATCGAGAAGAGCTCGGCTTCTTGGTGGTGGCGCTGCTCAGTGTGGAGAGTTTCGCGGCCAAGGAGCGAGCCAGCTGGGGCAGTAGGAAGGTTCCGATGACCGTGGATGATTTAGAAGCGGAGATGAAGAAGAGTGCGAATGGGGAGGATTGAAGAGGCCTTGCTACGCAACTAATACCAGCAACCGTTTCGTACTATGCCCCGGCGCGCCCTCGATCACGAGGGGTTGTCGAGCCCCACTCGCGTAAGTGTGACAGGTAAAGCTAGGTCACAGAAGGCATCGCGAAGCCAGTGAAGCAAGCAGGACGGCGGAAGTAAATCCGCCCAATCCGTGGATATCGCGCAAGTGTGGTTTCTGACGTCGCGGAGACCTGAGTTTACAATGCCTCGGAGCGGGCGTCGCAATGGACCGCACCTTCCTTCTCCACTGCACTGCTCTTTACAATGCCTTTGTTCAACGCCACCATACAAAGCCTATTACGCTCCGGTAATCCGGCGACAGACCCTTCTCAGAAAGCCCAACTCAATCTGTCATCAGATATTCGATGCCCTCATGGACGACACTCAGCCACCGGCATCAGAGGCATCGCCTCTACAGATGAACGTCATGGGCGCTTCACGCAACCCGGAATATAATCTTGGCGTCACGTCGCCTCGCTTCAAACGCCGGCAAGATGGCAAACGTATCGCTCCGGTGTCGCAGCTCAACACTTACACCGGACGCATGCTCGCACGGGAGCAGACTACGAAGACCGACAGTTACACCGAAGGCCTTGCCCGCCCGGCCGAAACAACCCAACACGCTCGACTAATCGCCGAGAATGCCTCAGCGCCGCAAGTTGAACGGCATGAAAAGGCTGCATCATCCCTCTTCCGGAATCATAGTGGCGATGTCCTGTCGGAAATGGAGCATGCTCGTTCCGACATTCCTACCAACAACAATCTTTCTGACCGCGACCGGCTTACATCTCAAAGGCCGCGAACTGAACTATCTCAGCTGCTCGGCATGACTCGCAGTAGCTCCCGGAAAGGCACCATTCAGTCTCAGAAGGAAGCCAATCCAGCGAGCACCACTAAACCCCCATGCTCCGAATGTGGACAGTCTGAGGCCAACCACAAGGCCTCGACGAGCTTTAGCCATATCTGCAACACATGTCGCCGCTTTGTCCCGGCAAAGAAGATCACGGCCTTACAAATCTCGACTTCAGCGGATCGGCCTCTTCCAGCAGAACCGGCGAAGCCTGCACCTCCTTCCAAAGCCCCACGATCCGTCAAGTGCAACACGTGCCTCCCGATTCCAAGCTATCTTTACGAGGAGTACCTGCGTTTCTTCCCGCCATGCGCGATCTGTGGCTACATGACAGATATGACGCTCGCCGATCTGGTTGCCCATGAAGGTGAAGTTAAGGGAATATCTGACAAAATTGGCAAGCGCGTCTACGGCCCAAGCAAGGAGTTGCAAGACTGGTGCGTATATGTCGTATTCAGTAGCCGTAGCGTCAGCCGGCACGATTCGAAGAAGAGTGTGGCTGAGAGCATCGCGTCGACCGAGTCGTCAAGGCTGAGGCGGAGGGGCGCAGTCAAGCGGGCGGGGACCGGTAGTACGAGGTCATCCATTGCGAGCGCTGGGAGTGGGAAGTCGACCCATCCTGGTTTGATACCTCTCGATGAGGGAGGAAGGGATATCAGGTATGCAAGGCAGTTCAGCTTCGATGCTCTTCCGAAGCAGGAATCCTCGCCCTGCTCTCCGACCCAACGTCAGCGTCATACTTCAGACCATCCTGATAGCCCGACGTATCTCCCTTTTCATGGGACTAGGCGTCACTCGGTTGATGCTCACCACATGCGCAACGTACCGCAAGCACGTGGGAATCCAATGGTCGCCGCCAGCGATCAGAGTACGCGTCCTATGGCGTCGCGAACGTTTTCGGATATGTTTGGAGAAGAAAGACAATCCTAGAAAAGATCATTTGAGCGTCTATTCTCAACCTGGCAAGCGATTTGATGGATACTCTCGTGGCAATCTTGCATCTTATCTAGATCTTGAATTCTTTGGATAGTAATAAGAATCTGCCAGGGTATGCAAAGATTTTGCTTTTCCATCCTTATCCGCTACTGTCTTATGTGATAGTGCAATACCTACTTATGCTCTGGCCAGAGAAACCGGCCCCGACGCGACAAACGTGTTAATACTCGAACGTCTGTCCCACTAGCTTTTCGCTCAAAGCCCACAACTTCTCTGCGTTCTCCCTGCCCTTGGCATGCTCCGCCCATGGATCATCGTGATCGACCTTGCAGTCGCACAGATACGCGCCACTGCGATCTGCGATATTCGGGTCCAGAGCAGCTACGAGGATGGTGGCACAGCCTTGGGAATGCGACTTTGAGGGGACGAGGAGATTCCCGTTGTCGTCGACGAAGCCTACACCGTGTGAGTAGGTTGAAGGAGGTAGTTGCGCAATGTAGAGTATCAGCTACCTTTCTCCTTGAAGACCTCCATTGGGACTTGGCGAGTGAGGTTCGTCAGGACAAGGCCTGGATGTACGCTAAACGCCGTCACGCCCTTCGCCTTCAGCTTCTCAGCAACAGCAATAGCCGCGAGGATATTCGCCGTCTTCGACTGTCCATACGCAACATCCGGATCATACTCCTTGCCTTCCTACCCAACGAGGTCAGTCACGCCCCTAATATCACTACCCTTTCCGCGCACGTAACTCACGTTGAAATTCACATCCCCAAACCTCACGCCTCCATACACATGCCCCAAGCTGCTCAAAAACACCACCCTCCCCCCGGCCTGCACAATCTTCCCCATGACCAGATTCGTAAACAGCCACGGCCCCAAATGGTTCGTCGCAAACTGCAGCTCGACGCCGTCCTCGCTCGTGCCCCACGGCGTGCTCATGATCCCCGCGTTGTTAATCAGGACGTCTATGCCTTCCACATCAGTCCAGCTGTTCACTGTCTGCGCAGCTTCTCGCACCGCGCGCGTGCTGCTGAGATCGAGGGTTAGCAGGCGGGTCGGGCAACCCGGCGCGACGGATGCGATGGCGTTTTGGGCTGCGGCGAGCGAAGCTTGGGAGCGCGCGGCGAGGATGAGGAGGCGCGGCGAGTGGGTGGCGAGGGCGCGGGCGGTGTGGAGGCCCAGGCCGTTGGGGGAGACGCCGGTGATGAGGATTGTTTTGTTTTTTATCTGGGGGGAGAATAGGGCGGTGACTTCTTCGGCGGTTGTGGAGGGGCCGAATGTGGGGTTTGACATTTTGGATGGGGGCGATGGGGGAGTGGGCTAGCGGGATGATTTAGTAGGGGTAAAGGGTTAATGGAGGGGATAGAGTGTAGTCGCTGGCGTTAGGGATTGGTGTGTGTTTATAACCAGAGGAATTGTGCTGCTGGAATCCTTCGGGCTGGGTATATGTTCGAGGAATCGGTGCCTGGGAATAAGCGCGTGTTGTTCTCGCTAATGGAAGGAGGGAGATTCGTAAACTCCACTCCGGATGTCGCCCTTGCCGGCTTTCAAGCCTGTTTCTAAGTCGTTTGTGCGGCTCTATGAAGGGTCCGCTCGGAATAGCCGTTGGTTCGCGGGCCATCTTTGCTGCTGGCTCTTCTGGAGGCGCTCCCGGTAGGAAGTCGGTGTTCGAAGTAATAGCACGAGAGAAGTAATTCTGGCTATTCCTGCTTGCTGCACTGGGTCTCTGGAAACATTGGATGCGGGCGGCTCTTCGGTCTATTCGAGGCCGGAGAGAGGATCTCCGAGCATGTGTCCGGTAGCAAGAAGTGACTGTGCTTGAGGCGATATGTGAACGAAATCTGGATGTAGGCATAGCTGGACCAAGTCGGGAAAAGGCGCATAGTAAGGCGACGAGATGCTGAGCGACAGCGAAGTTAATGGACCGCTATGCGCAGGCCTCATACTGGTTAAAGAGGGACAGAGAAATGCGTCGTTGAGGAAAATTCCCTACCGAGAGCATCTGCCTTTTGTTGTGAGTTGAATAATCTTAAGTGAGATGGGATGAGATGGAACCGGACTGTTATGGCCGAAACTTGAGAGAAGTGGTGGAATTTGTGAGGAGTCGTCGATAAGCACGTGGACGCTAAGCTAAATTAGCGCGAGCAGCTGGCAACGTCAACGCGTTCAAGTCCACCTCATCTCCAATCCACAGTCAATTATCGCACACAAAATGAGATCCCATGGGCTTCGCCATGCCTTGGGCGTGCTCTACGCGCATCAATGGCATGTTCGAGGCCACGCTCGCACTTTACTTCGCATAGGCAATGGATATACCCTTCACTCGCACGCCGTGAACGAGCTCGATGCGTCAATTCATCGCGGGCATCGGGCCTGTACTAAACAATATCAGCGGTGCTGAGCGGCGGATCGACGGGGCGTAACAATTTAAGGTCGAGAGGCTTAACGAAAGTGCCCTGGGTACTGCGCCGCCACTGAGTGAAAGCGTAGATAAGAAGCTCTTCCAGTACTGGAAGGCGCGAAACCTCGGTACAGTGGCAATGTTTCTTTTCACTCCTAAATGTGGGTCCTCCGGTCCTCATGTGATCGTTCGACAATACTTTCCTTGGCGCGACCGAGGACCGTCGAGCGCGCGACTCCGCGGCTGCCTCACGTCAACCACAACCTCATCGAGCCTCCATCAACCGCTACATCGATTCTCCACCCACACCCCGTTAACCTCGCACAAAATCGTACCTCTCCATTACGGCTTCTGCCCAAAACCTCTCGCCCTCCGCAATGGCAGGGTCGACGTATCCCACGCCTCTGGCGACACCAACGCCTGCCGATACAGCTACGATTGAGCGGACCCAACAGTTAGCTCAGAAGCTTCAACTAGTTAGTAGAGATTCATCTCTCGAACACTATCTCGACCTTCAGAGGGACGTTCAACAGTCAGCGGAATTGCGGGCGCTACGAGGATTGCTGAACACCGGAGAGATGATCCACCTTCGCCTTGCCGTTCTCAGGACCGCGGACCTGCTGTTTAGAGTCAGGCATATGACCTACGTGAGATGTACTGAGCAGGGGCTCATGTTCTGCGTACGTACCCAATGCCTTCCGGCTGCTGAGGAGTTGACTGACTGGTTCAGCGTCGGTACAAGGGCCCGGGAGGGAAGACTTTCCATGCCATGTTGGCGAACATCCATCTATATCCTCTCCGACTCCGGGACAGCAGCGCACCGAATCTCAGCCTTATTAGCAAACGCGAGAGACGGGCCTTTCGCATAAGCTCCTTTTCTGACCTCTATAACCTCTTCCTCACGATACTGGACTACGAAGTAGCATTCGTCGGCGAACTCCCTGCTACTCACGGCTGCCTAATCCCGAAGAAGTCACGCGTGGACACATTGCAGAGCTTTCGAATTAATGATGCAGGCGACAACGCCTATCTGGCTGAAGCCCTCTACGACCACTCGATCAATGATCTTTCCGGTGCCGTTTTCCACCTCGCGCTGGCACTGGATCTCGCCCCGCGCCGATCAGAAAACAATTCTACAATATTCATCAACCTCGACCATACAGTTGACTGGGAAATGCTCATTTGTCCAGTAGCCGAAACTCAGTCGTTACTGGTGAGGATAGGGTTCCAGCGATTTGAACTCCCCTGCAGGCCTAATAGCCAAGGGCGGCAGGTACTTGCTGATGTCTTCGCGGAGATATTGCACGCATACAATGAGGAGGTGAAGTGCCAGAGCGAGAAGATATCAACTACCATGAAGGAGCAACCGGACCAACATCGGGTTCAAGCTCCGCAGTGCGATCCCGAGCAGGCAAAGCTGAGCCAGAGAAGACTTGGCACGAAGAGGAAGTTCGCCGAACTTAGGGTTGAGACACTGGAGTCTGTCGCGAGCAAGGTTGAAAACAGGCCGAGGAAGAAGTGCAGGGTTTTGAAGCTATCTCCTTCCGTTGGCATTGGGCGAACCAGGCCCTCGGCGAGCCCATTGGCGAAAGAGATTACCTTTCTCCCTGAGGAAATGGATGTCTCGGAGGGCCCCCACATCAAGCCCAAGAACAACCCCATCACCGGCACGGAGCGTCGCCCGATCGACACGGCAGACCCCGAACAGGCGCAGAAGACAGCGCAAGCGACACCACCACAATCCGCTACGCCGTCACAAGAGGAGCTAGATGGTTTCTACATTGGCAAGACATTCATCCCATGGCCAACATTGGCGAATTTGAAGCGCAGGTCTGCAGCCAATACCCTAGCCACAGCAGCACCGTCGCCACATTCATCGACGCCAGTCGAAGGTTCCCGTTCAATCACAAGTGAACTGACCACCGACCGCGCCGTTAACCCCACGGACCTCCCAACGCCGGAGACGGAAGGAGTTAGCAAGAAGAGGGCCAGCAATTCAGTGCTCTCTTATCTATTCTCCTTCATGACTGGACGGCATTCCACCGCCGTTGCGAATCCACCCACGACCACCCAATCAGCCGCCACAACCCCGCCCCATGCTGCGACCAGCAGGGAGACTCCAAGAATCCAAACCCACCGGAGCTCAGGCACCGAGAAGTCGAAGATCGCTACGCAAGATGCCCAAAATGGCACTGCGTACACCTTAGCGGAATTCGACCCGACACATCCATACACTGCGAAGGGGATAGGCGCAGCTCTTCGCAGCATCAGGATGAGTCGTAAGGGACATATCAGGAAGAATATTGCGAAGAGGTCCAATAACAGCTCAGCGACTTCGCCCCGCCGGAAGTAGAGCTGTAAAGAAGACTGTGAATGGGCACTCGGGGGGTCAATCAGGAGGCATACGACTCTCCACTTGCTTTACGGATCTTGTTTTGAAGGCACCCAGCAGGACTTTTCCGTCCCGGCGCCCTCTGTTTCATATGAAGCCTCCTTTCCAGAATGTTAATCACGATACGTTAAAAATTACGTATCGAAGCCCAGCTAACGTCTCCGACCCCTACCCGGCGCCTCGATTCTACTACTCCTCGGCCTCCGTCCTCTCCCTCCAAGCCGCCAAATCCGCCGCCTTCCGCCTCTCTGTCTGCTGAATCTCCCACCACGTAACCACCACAGGCCTCCCCGCCCCCTGACTCAGATCCGCCTGCAGTTTCAGATACCCGCCCGCCGCAAACCACACCCTGACCTCTCCCACCGGGGCTCCCGTCTCCAAAACAATAGGCTCTCTTTGCGCCGTCTTCAGGGCCACCAGACGCCGCCCAAACCAGCCATCAAGCTCCTTCGCGCCACTAACCGTCCCCCACTTCTCCTCCTTGCGCCGCGGAATCTGGCCCACGCACACCCTCTTCTCCCGGTGAAAGCACAGCATGCCGTCCCCGCCGCAGCGCTCGAAATCCAGCACGTCGATGTCGCGCACGAGATAGCGCGTGAAGTACTCGGAGCTGTACAGGACCCAGTACCCGTTCTCCTTGTAGGGGTTCTCGATGGGCACGGCTTCGTCGCCTGCTTGCATTCTGGCATGCGTTTCCGCGAAGGCGCGGCGGACTTCGGTTTCCTTCTCGAGCTGCTGCTGGATCGTGTACGTGTTGAAGTCGCGGATCTGGCTGTCCGGGTCGTGCAGCGGGATGTTGGCGGCGTAGTGGATTTCGAGCTTTTCCTTGGGTACTTTTTTGGGGATGTGGCGGAGGAGTTGCTCGAGTTCGGAGAGGGTAAGCGGGTGGTTTAGGGGGAAGGTGCGCTTGTGCCTGCGTCTGCGCTTGCGCTTTTGCTGGAGCTTGTGCTTGAGCTCCTGGCACTGCTTTCCACGCTGCTGCTTTGAGGCGGAATGGCGTGGTTTAAGTTGGAGCTTGATGTTGAGGTTGGGCTTGTGCTTGAGCATGGCGCATCGGGGAAGAAGTATGTGATTGGTGGTAGCTCCATTTTGCGACAACAGGGGTGAGAGTAGAAAAGACAAAAGGCGAGACTTGAGAAGAGAAAAGAAATGTCGTGTGTGCGATCTGGGATGGTTATTAGTCTTGGAGTCGCGTCGCGTCGCCTCGACATCGCGAGGGTCCATGCTTTATCGGATCAAGCCATTCAGGGACGCTGCAAACATGGGTTTAAGCCACCTATGCTCCAAAGAAGAAAACTTTCATTTCCACAGACTTTTGCGACTCATGACGCGCGGCGGCGTCGCGAAGATATGGGATTGCGTGGAGGGGCGTTCGTGAAGGTCATTCACCCTGGTATCTCGTTTTGGGATAGCGTTATGCCGAAATGGGTATAGCGGGATTCTACAATCTAATCACATTGCTCCCGCATAACTTTTGCCTAGGCCGGTCTACACAGCCAGTCAGCGTAGTCCCACGACTATACCCCTTGTAGGAGCAGCTTCAGTTTCCAGAAAGGCAGTCCAGTTCCCGAAGATCGGCATCGGCCATGCTATGGCTGTGCTGAGATCAGCATGGCCTGCCCGAGGCTACGCATCAGCACATACTGTACACATTGTCCTGCGCCTCCCACTACATGTCACCGCCCTCCGCGGCGCCACCGTTGCCTCGCGCTTCCTGCCCGTCTAAGTAACCGTCACTGAACATCGCTGTTCCGGCTACGTCGCTATGAATCCTTCCCAAGGCTTAGCGGCTCCTCGGCTACACGGCTGATAGTGTTGACCTAAGACCGTGACGTTAAGAAGCTCGTCGCTTGGGAGATGGAAGTACCTTACTTGGGGATAAATGGGCGCGTTATGTATCTCGGGAATCTAAAAAGTTCTTGCTATTCGTTGAGTTAGGAAGAGGTTTGTCTACGGAGTCACCCGGAGGCAGAGATGTATCCAGCGGATCAGACACCAGGTCGCGGCCCGCGGAGTGAGGAGCGCGAGCACGGACGGAGAGAACCAGAGGACAATATCGCGCAGCGTGTGTATATCCAGATCATGAGGCCTGGGTATCTTTAAGACCTGATAACATCTTGCAGCGCAAAGAAAATCCACGTCAGACATCGACACTACATCTTCTCCCACCTCGCCAACAACCGAGCGAGCGAGCGCTGCCTCGCGATCGAATTACCACCATCCTACTACCCGGCCAGAGTCCGACCAACCCGCTTCGTCTCGAACGTCTGCGTCGTTTCAGGGCCAGCAGCGGAATTCCTGGTCGCAGCCAGAAATAAGACGCGTGAGCGGCCAATTCAACGCGCCGACGCATATCGAAATCGAGCGGCACAAGGATCGCAGCAAGAGCAGGATGGGCGTGAAGGAGATCAGGCGGTTGGGGAAGTGGATACGATAGGAGGCGGGATGGAAAGACCTTGAATGGTCGGTGGAGAGTGCTGTACAGTACAACTGAGAAGTTTCTAGGATCCCATGTACTGTACTTTACAGCGCACCCCTAGTTATTAGAAAGCACACGCCAGCTTCCCGCTTGCTCTACCTAAATGACATTCGAAAGGAAGGACTTGACTCGTACGTATGTAGTGATCGCACAACGCCCGTCTCACCCTCCGCGATACATGACATCATCATCACGCCAACCGCGCCATCCCGCAACACAACCGCCACACAACACCAACTCTCAAACGTCCCCACTCCGCAAACCCTCTTCCTATTTCCGCACCCAAATTCTTGCTTCGGCGCCCCCGTCTCCTCAGAACGGCACGCCTCACTGCCGCTCCGCGACCCTTTCCAGCCAGCGCGCGCTGATTGGCCAAGCCGTCTTTCCGGATTCGGCAATGACGGACAAAGCAAGTGGCTCGGTTGGGGGGCCTAGGCGTAGGAGTGGCGCTAGGATGACGTACGGGGGGTGCGAAGGTACGGGGTGGAACTTGTTTATATAGGCTGGGTGCGTGCTGGTGCGGGTGTTGCAGGTGTCTATCTATAACTCGACGAGGATTTTACTGCTTGCGAAGCCACGCACGCCTTTTGGAACTGCGAATTAATCGCAAAAAAACGAGGCGCCTGTGTTGATCGATCGAAAGGATACAAAAAAGAGGAGAAAAGAAAAAACACGCGGGGTAGAAGGAAGCTATGGATCCAAGCCGCAGGACCTCATCATCGTCCGACATGCTCCCGCCCTCCTCCTCCCGCCAACACTCCGACTCCTCCGTCTCCAAATCCTCATCAACACGACATTCCTACGACGCAGCGTCGCCGCCGACAACGACATCTGCAACAACGTCAACAACAACCGCCCCACACCATCAATCTAGACAGTCGTCAGGCGCGCAGGCCGACCGCGACTCGTCCAAGGCAGAATACCCGCCGGGCAGCCCATCAACGTACGACCCAGACACGCCACCGCCGTACACGGGGAAAGCGTTAGAAACGCAGAGCGGCGTGGGGGAAGATAGCAGGAATAGGAAGAGGGACTATGCGCTCGAGATGTCGCGGCTGATTGGGAGGCAGCTGGTGAGGAGTTTGAATGGCAAGGGTGGTGGTGGTGGTGGTGCGGCTGGGAGTTGATGCTGATGCGGGGGGAGGAGAGGATGAGAATACGGGATTTCTCATTACGATGGGCTGATCCCCCGTGAGGAAGAAATAACGCAGCGGCTGAGAGACGGACGAGCAGGAAGGCCCGATTGATTCTCAGTACGCAGGCATCTAGCCTGCAGGCCATTACAATTCATGACATGACATGACATGCCAAGCAACCCCGAGCAAGTTTTGAAGTGCAATGCCCGATTTAAACCCGTTCCCGGGGTTGTCGTGTATGCGGTCCTACTTGTGTACCGAGAGAGGTAGTCTGGTAGCTAGCTGACGGGGAAACAAGATGCGAGATCGAGATTCAGCATTCGGCAAGTTGCCCAGCCACGAGGCGCCACCTCATGACGCAAACGCTACTGCAGGGACGTAGACCCTCGTTTAGATCTGCTCTGCTGCGTTAAGTGAGTTAGTGCTAGAGGTACCACCAATGGTGAGGCGGTTGGTACCGGTACCATGGTTCCTTTAGTTACGCCTAACCCATCAACACCGCGGTGATGTAGGCTTCTAGCAAAACTTCCCAATAAGTTGGTGGTACGGGTATCGTGAAATACCAGGGCCTTACTGTCTGTTTCAGCTGCGCACTCTCGCTGGAAGAAGATCGCCCCGGTACTCTTTATTTAGAGAAGACTACTGGCCCTGGCGTTACCCATACACGCAGCTTACAGGTCCAGAGTACCAATCCTACTCCCGGCGCCCCCGCCAACTCCCCATGGCCCTTCGCTCACCCTCCTCCTCACCATAGCGAGGACATCATGCCGTCCGCCCACCTCTTCTAGCTTGCGGCCGAGGGCTTTCAGCACGTCGAACTTGGCCATGGCTACTTGATATGCCGCGTTCTCTGCGCCGCCTCTACCACCAACAAGATTTGAGAATGTCGTCGCTGGTTTGAGTAGTGTTGGAAGCACGCCGCCACTGAGGGTGGGATCGAGAATGAGATCCAGGCCGGTCTTTGGGAAGTTTTGGAGGCGGGTGTGAGTGATGTCGTTCGCGGGAATGATGTCTGGGACGGGAGCGGATGACCACGACGAGGTGATAATGGCGCGAACCAAGGCAAGAGCCGCGAGCGCGTTTTCCTTCATCGCGATCGTTTGTGCGTGAGTGACGATGTCGGAGAACATGGAGGGGTGTTTCGAGTAGTAGAGAGAGGTAAGCAGACGTGCAAAGACGGCCTCGACTTCGGTTCGCTTGGGGTCAGCCCCTATCCTCTCAACCTTTGGGAATGTGATTTCTTCCTAGAGAGGGTCAGATCTATAGTCTTTGTCCCTCCACATCTCATTAAGCATACTTTGGGCGGGCCATGGAACACAGCTGCGAGCGTCTTCAGCGCATCTTGAGTCGTTCTCGTGATGGGAATATCTAGCAGAACGCAGTCATCCCAAGCCAGACCTGCTGAACGGCGCGGAATGAGAGTTGCTCTGGGCATCGCGGCCAGGATACTGAGGTCATGTGGCTCGCACTTTCGGATGTTTCGGTGGACATAATTTCGAATAACCTCCATCTCGGGGCTGTTCTCAAAGTTGGTGGGATATGCGCTAGCATGTTCGCTGATATACTGAGCTGTGCGAGGACTCAGGAAAGAGTGCTCTAGGCCTGGGCTATCGGTGGTATGGAAGTCGATGATTTGCTTGTGGATGCCCTGGTCCCTGAGAAAATCTAAGGACAAGCTGGAATCGTAAGGTCTGTCCCTATGATAGTCAGAAGCCGTACCTTAGCAGCGTTTGCCGAATAGGCAGCGGTAGAGTGGGTTGAGATATGGGAGGGAAGACTTACAGGAGATGCGGCTTGGTCTTCACCGTGGTTATGAGCTCGCGGAAGAAGTTGACGAGGGTCACGTGCATCAGAATGTCGTCGTCAGTGTCGACCATCTTCAGGGCGGCGTAATGAAGAAGGCCTTGACCCTCGCCTAGGCCAACCTCACGTTCGACTTCAGAACCGTGGCCGGTTGCAATGGTATTCCAATCCAGCGCACCGACCTTTGGTAGCCATTCCAGCAGCCTCGCCTGTGAGATAGTCTTTTCGCGCTTACTGAGGAGAGGAAGGGGTGGCGCCGATAGAGGTGTGAGGGAGGTGTAGTGGTAGTAGAGCGAGTAAATGTCGCGGTCATTGAAGAGGCGCTTCCACATGGGACCGGCTCCATATGCAAACATCGCTTCTCCAGGCACAGTTGTTGGCTCATTCTTAGAAGCACGTAATAATGCTGTGAGAAGGTCCTGGGCTTGGGTGGCCACTCCAGCGTCTGGAGCACAGAGCCATAAGCGGACGATGGCGGCTATGACACTCGGCCTGTTCGCCAGAGCCTGGGCATCATTGCTATTCGCAGTGGCCTTTTCCAGCAGTGACAAGATAAGGCCGTGGAAAGGTGTGGCTTTGAGATCAAGACCGACTTCGAAGTCGAGATCCTTGATGTTCGCAAACTGATACGGTTCCGCCAATTTGACGACAAAGCGGATCAGAGGCGATGGGTCCTGCTGAAGCTTCGGGAGCAGGTTCGCGATCTGCATGAAGAGCGGGCTGGTTTCTCGCCATAGCTGATGTTGGTATTCAGGGGTGCTTGTGAAGAGCTCGCATCTCTCGAGGAGCTCTGTGTCCAGCGGAGTAGTAGGATCCTCGTCTACCTTCTGGAGGTGTGCCGACAGCTCCGCTAGAATTGCAGGGGCTTGCGCCATGTTGGGATCTCGGTTGGGTACGTACTTGGTTTTACGGGTTTTCGAAACAGCACGAGTCCAACGAAGGGGTATTGTGGCGGGTTGTGGCCGCTGACGGATGACTGGAAGAAGGTTCTAGCTGTGCTCATGTGACTGCGCGTGGCGAGGCCGTCGGACGCGTCCCTTGGGATTTCATGCAGCGGATATCGCGTCGAGCCCGCCGGGGTGTCTTTGGAAGGCTTTCCAGAATTCACGGGGTGACGTCAAGGGCTGTTGTCTCGCGGGCCTTCGCTTGGCGCAACTTTGCTGACTCTCTTCGTTCACGATCTTCGCATTCCAGAGGCATCCAAACTCCTGGCAAGCGAATGAGAGGGACAGCTAGTCTGCCTGTGAGGTGTAGCGGAGGGCGCGGCGGGGAAGGCGGTGAAAGCTCGGCTCTGGTGCCCCACCGCAGCAGTAAAAGACCCTCAAAATTCTGACTCACCCATGCCGCTGCCTCCACGGATACTCTAGGCGTCAGAATTGCTTTTGCTGCTCGCTATAGCATACTCGGAACCAACATCAATCGACTAACCACAGACAGCCCAGCATGGCGCCCGGCCGAGGACGCGGCGGCGCACGCGGCGGCGGGCGTGGCGGGGCTTACAACGCGGCGCGAGGGACAATCACCATCGCGGGCACTGAGCTCAACTGGGACCTGTCGGGCCTCGAGATCCAGCGCGCCCCAGCCGAGCGCTTTCCGGTGAGCAGCCTTTTGTCTTCCCGCACCACCACCCCACCCATCGCGTCTTTCTCCTGCGCTTTTGCGAAATGTTGTTCCAGCCGTCATGCCTCCTCGCCAGCCGTCGCTTTCGCAATCACCGTCACAGTCCACGCGCAGCAAATCGCGGAACAGCAGGCTAAAACTACACCAGGACGCCCCTCCGCCGCAAGCGCCCCCGGCGACCGCAGACGAGAGCGCAATCGTGCAGCACCACCTAGCAGTACGCGACCGCATTCACGAAGGCCCCTTCTACACCATCCTCAACGACGGCATGAGGAATGGCCTCAAGCGCAAGGCCAATGAACCCGCGCCTACAGAGGCTTCGCTCTTCAACCCCTTCACCGATAACCAAACCTATTCGTCTAAATACCTGAAAGTGCGACGGAGGATACCCAAGCTGGACTCGCGGCCATATGGTGAGTTGGCATGACAAGCTTGGTGGGAAGAAATTGGACTTACAACCGGGCTTCAGTCGTCGATCTGTTTCCACCAGAGCTCCGGCAGATCCTGAACGGCAGGTCGAGCGGAGAATCAAACAAGAAGCGCATCCTTTCCGTGTCCAAGGTCAATGCCAAGTCGCAGCTCGATCGCATGCTCAACGCTGAAGAAGCGCGGACAAAAGAAGCCGAGGCGCGCGGCGATGACGACGACGACGAGATAGACGAGGACGAGGAGGCAGAGGAAGAAGAAAGCAAGCCCGATGCCGTTGACGAAGAGGACAACTGGTCCGCCGTTTCGAGCGACTCCGAGGAATCCGACGATGATTACAACGCCGAGCAGTACTTCGACAACGGCGAAGACGACGATATTGATGATGCAGATCCATACGAGAACACCTACGAATAGCACAACCGCGTGACTAGTTTTGGTGCATGTAGGATGGGCAGCCGGCGATATCGGTGGCTTCACTGCATGCTGGCATCATGGGCGTTTCAGGCGAGGTTGATACCCTTGAAATTCGACGTTTTTACCAAGTAACATGTTTCGTTCGTTCTGCACGCATACAAATCTCACTTGGTGCTTTGCGCACTTGCATGTGGTATGCGATGGGAGGACATAAGATATCACACATTCAATACCACAAGAGAAAGTCACAAGTATCCCGGGTATCTTCACAAAGCAACCGAACACCAAAACGCCAACATAGCCAGAAATCAGCCCAAAACACACCGTCTCCCTCCTTCAAGCAAAGTCATCCCCCTCGTCCTCCTCCACCATATCCGCCCAGCTCTTCTTCCCCTGCTCCTTCCGCTCCTGTTCCTTCTCCTGCTCTCGTCGTCGGTCGCCCTCCATCTTCATCTGCCACTCCCTCCGCATCTCCTCTGTTCTTCCTTCGAACCTCTTCGTCCGCTCCTCTTCCCTTTTAGCCTCCTCGTCTCTCCTCCTGTCCTCGAGCAAAGTCTCAACTAACGTCTCGTTACAAAGAGCAGACTTGCGACGATGGCAAGCCAACCGGCGCAAATACTGTCGAGACATTAGCGGAATCGGCTCATGGTACTGCTTGCCCGTCCAGCCCTGCTCCTCAAAGGGATCTTCGTTGGCGAGGAGCTTGTTCCGGTAGGCGAGAATGCGCTTAGCTAAGGCGACGAGGTCAGAGTAGGCGCTGAGCGCGTAGACGAGGCCTTTGCTGGGAGCCTCCTCGTCGAAAGACACGCCGGCTTTGCGGAGGACGCGCGGGAGGCGACGCTCGCAATCGGCGTCGAGCTGGTTGGCGTCAGCGGTCTTCAGGCCCGAGACGACGACCGCGGAGGAGAAGTCGATGCTGTTCGACAGCGAACCGTACGTGGAGTCTGAGTCTATGTCTGTCTCCATCTCTTCCGGCGACGACACGTATCCGGCCAGCCGCGTAATCTTGACCCCGTCGTCGCCCTTCAGGTACTTGTGCCCGAACACAACGACCTCGCGGTCCAGCTCCGCCGGCTGCAAGCCAAAGGGACCCAGCAGCTCAACGCACGCGTCGAGCAGGCAGCCACGCCCAACCGCACGCTCCGCCTCCGCGAACCGTGGTACCTCGCAGAACTTACCAGTCCGCAGGAAGTCAAGCAGCGCCGAGTCGCCCATGGGCGCCCGCCGCAGGTACCCGGTAGCGGCTTCCTTCTCTTCCTTGCAGTGCAGGACGTAGCGCGCGATGGCTTTTAGGTCCTTGTCGCTCGCGACCTGGAATTTCCGCGTGCTGCGTTCGGTGTGGATGTGCACGCACGTGCGGTCCTGAGCGGCTGTGCTGGGAGACAGGACGGAGAGCCCTGTGATCCGGAGGGAAAAGGAGAGCGGCGCGCCGGTGAACTTTAGGATGGATGAGCGCTCGCCGAGGAGAGAGGTCGGGAGACCCAGGGCGGTTAAGAGGTGCTGCACGGTGTCCAGGGGGTACTGGCAGGGGAGGGTCTCGAGAGCCATCTGCAGATGGGTGGAGGGGGAGGAGAAGATGGCGTCGAGGGAGGAGAAAGAGGTGGTCATGGTGGTGGTTGTTAGAGAGTAGTAGTGTTGGTGTTGGTGACTGGTGGTGAGGGTTATGAAAGTGCATGTGTGGGTATGAGATGGGCAGTGGGAAGAGGGCTGAAGAACTTCAGGAGGGGAGATGCAGAGGCCGTCTTATATGCGATAGATTTTGCACCTTGGGCTTTTGGGCTTCGCAGCAATTGCTATTGGGGTTGTTGGGATATGGTGGATTTTGGGACGGCGAATGAGTTAAGGGTGGGCGAGACGTAGGGGAGAGCTGTTGGGTGGATTTTTTGAGGGCGACGGGAAGGTTTGGGAAAGTTCAAGCGGGATTGATGACTGACGGTCGACAGGACCACGTTTCTGGACTCGAATTTTCGCCTGGTTCGAGTCCGACCAGCGGCGCTGCTGCAGATTTTTCTACGAACAGCCATGGACGCGTTGTTCGAAAATGCAGCGGGTCACTCGAGGTCACCGAACGCTCTGAGAACATCCTTCCTGCCCAAAATCAGCATCGTCGACATTCTCTAAGGCCTGGCCCAACTGCATACCGGGATGGTTCCACGCAATGCAAAAGAATTCTCTTGTTAGCGAGAAAGTATCGGACGGGGACTGCTGCGAGCACTTGCATGTCTTCAAGGTGTTGAGTCCGGTGCCTGATCAGATCCGGCCACTCTTCGTCAACACACTTCTCTCCCTCCTGTGTTGACTCGAATCTGCCCCGCTTCAGGAAAACAACTGAGTCCAAGCGCTGTTCTAGGGAGAAGTTTCGCACCGACCTTAGGTTCTATTCACCCCAACCCTACGGCATACCAGTCGCTCTGAGCCTCCGATACGTCCGTTTACCTTTCACTTCATGTGGCCTAGTCAGCGAGCCTTGGCAGGTCACGACTTCTTTTATAGCAGGTCGCCGCTCCGACTGCTTCCTGCTCTCCTCACACAACACCACCCCATCGATCCCGAATCCGCAGGCACCATGGATGAAGACAGCATCAAGCATGTCTCTCGGCGTCTTATCCTCCAGTCTGTCTCTCAAATTCAGCGCCCTCGAAAGCCGGCCCACCTTCACCCCGTCCTCGGCGTCACCGAGCTACTCGAACAAGTCCTTGAGAACCTGCCCATGGGCGACATCCTATTTGGCGCTCAACTGACATGCAAACTCTGGAAGGAGTGCGTGGGTGGCTCATTGAGACTCAAACAGAAGTGTTTTCTTGTTCCGGTGGCAGCTGAGGAGCACCTACATTCGCTTAGCCTCAACTCTAGCGGAGTAGGGGTCCGTCCAAGGGACTACCACACTTGCCCAGCTTTCCTCAGAGACATTGGTGAGACCTCCGTTGCGTATAAGCGGCTCTGGGACGCACTCATCAGCGGCGAATTATACCTCCGCAACTTTCAGCAGCTCGTCTGTCTCTACACCCTCCACATGCAAAACGGAAATTGCGACAAATGGGTGGAAGGATACGACATGTATTTCGCGGGCGGGCGACGTTATCTTTTGGGCATCCTGACTCAGCGGTGCATCCATCCCTTCATCCGCCAATGCGACGCGCCCCACCGTCCTCTGCTGACATGGGCCGCCTATGGCTCCGAACTGGTGTTCTTTGTGGAAAACGCAGGTTTCAACGGCATATCCCAGATCCGATATCTCATCGGGGTCTTGAAGAGAAATCTAAAGGGACAGTCAGCTGCAGCTTCCTGGAGGACCGCACAAGTCTCGCGACCGGCCTGCTCGAAACTAACGGTCCCTGTCGGATCTTCGAATAATGCACGACCGCTAGACAAGGAAGCAAGCACTTGCAATACCAATGGAGTCACGGTTGCCCAATTCTTCCAGCTTATCGCGGAAGTGTGTGCGAAGAGGCTCCACGAGTATCCAGAAGATGACTGGGAACTTGAGTACTCTATGTATGGCGCCAATAATCCGCATGAGGGCGCATGGTGGAACGCTCCTCGATATAAAGAACCGGATGCCGAAGATACGGAACATCCGGAGTTCGCGAACGGAGACTCGGACGCAGACGAACTGCAGGAAGAGGGCGAAGACCAGGAAGCCAAGGAGAGACGGAAGTACATGCAGCGCGTCCCTCGGGAGGTTGAGGAGTTCAAAGCGCTTGTGAGCACGCACGGAGCCTGATTAGATCTGCATCACTAGAGGTCTTTGGGCTTCTGCATCGGATCCTAAACTGACTTCACCTTGGAATTGGGCTGCACATTTTGCGCGCCGCATTTTCCGCAGTGTGCGGCACGCTCAGTATCCCGAGCTGAGCAGAACTTGAGGTGGCATCTGTACTTTGTACATGAACGCTCTCGGCATTAGTTCTTTTGATGGTGCACTTACTTACTTTCTTTTCTCCTTACCTTCTTTTCTCCTTACCTTCTTTTCTCCTTACCTTCTTT